CCTTGGTATTGGTTTTCTACGAGTAGGAACACTCCATCGTACACAGGAATCTGTGTCGCACGTCAAACTCATGCTCATCTTCACCCAGATAATCAATACAATATAACCAGCTATTTCATACTTCCATGTCTGTAAAGTGATACATGTGATATGTAAGAGATATCATAAGCAAAATGAAATACCAGGATCATAAAGGAAACTTACTAACACTAGAATGGAAGTTTTACTTCCTGTAAATTGTTTAGCTAAAATATCTTATAAATCAGCTGGTCTTGAGCTTTAATTCGGCTATTTCATTGTTGACTGTTACTGTTTAAATTTACTTTTTTAAATAAATATGCAGACATTTAGAAAAACAAATGTTACTCTTCTCTAACAATTCATTTCCAAAACAACATGAAAAATAAAAAAGTAAGTTAACCTGTATAAAACTCGTCAATTCTTCTCTGCAAGTTGTACAGAGTAATCACCAATAGATAACCAGGCTATATTATCAATGCATAATCATCTTCTCTTTCAAAGTTGATTCTCTTGACAATCTCACTAAATTTCAGAGATTCAAATGTCTTTTCCTTCTCTGACATTATAGATAAATTTGTTTCAAGTCTTTTTATAGCTGTTTCAATAACATCATCCACAAGTTTTTTGGCCTGTTCAGCATAGACATCTGGATCTTGTTCCATGGTTGATATTTAAGCTAAAATATATGGAAATTTACTGTATTTTAATGTCACTACCCGGCATTGATTATCTTTAATTAATATGTTGACTAATATTCCTGTAAAGTCTAATATATATATCTTGAATACAAAACTGGTTACTAAAACGGATCTTAAAATTATCTTAGACAGGAAGCACAATGTACAGATTTAAGTTCATAGTCAAATATACACATGCAATGCATTACAAAACAAAATCCAGTATTCAGTCAAGAATACAATTTTGTGTTTCCGTAAGTTTTACCCATGCTGGAAATTTCATCGGAATGGGGGTGCCAGATGAGTCGCAGATAATTTTGCTGCTATGAATGAAGTTGTAATTTCATATGCTGTAGTAAGAAAATAGTTACGGGTGTTATGCCATAAATTTCCACATAAAATTGTTTTAATAAGGTAAAAAAATTAAAATATGATTGTTTATGGTAAGATATGCAAGAAAAAATATCTGTCATATGTCTGCGGTTTGTATCTGAAATTATTATCTGTCCCTCAGGGACTCCCCCATGGGTTGGTCCCCTAAGAACAGATATTCCGATCTGAACCAGAACATAATGACAGATATTATTACTAACCTGGCGAGTGTTATAATTTATCAGAACCCTGTAAAAACTGTAAAATGTTAGAGGGTAACGAATTATGGCCACATGTAAACTCTCCAACATATTAGGAGACTCCCACTTTCTGCAGTCATATTTTCAAAGATTTTTCATAAAATAAGTAGTATTTTCACAAATTAAAAAAATCTACAGCTGTTTGATGTCAAACTTTCTTCTTTGTTTATTGCATATTCTAAAATCTCGCTCTTTTAGAAGAAAAATGTCCCACTTGATCATTCATTCATTGGAAAAAGTTCACATGTAGATCTATGCCACCTGTGATAAATTACTCATATTTTATGAAATAAAACATCCCACATTATGTAAAAATACATGATAAACATACATTATGATTAATTTAAAGTAAATAATTCAACAAGAAATATTTCAAATATCAAAACACTAGAGTCAGTGTACCTGGAGTAGTACACTTTTTTAAGTAAAAATAAGAAAATTATCTTATAGTTAAAAATTCTTCTTATAATTGATATTAATTTGAAAATTACATCCTTTGCCCATAAAAACTGATGACCAAAACGTTTCTATCTGAAGTATGTCATACTTCTAGGCGCACTTGATTTTAAGCAACAGGAATGGGCCAAATATGATAAAAAGTGGACTCGGTTCCGCACACAAGGCCATTTTTATACTGAAAGGTTATTTTACATCTTAAACATGTGTTATAAATTATTTAACATCTCTAAGTCCAGATAAGTTATATTTTTTTGCAAATTGTCAGGACTTCAAATAAATTTAATGCACATTCTTACAACAGTTTACAAACATTTATTTCCAAGCATAGTAGCACACAGAAAACATGTAACAGCAATTGAAATATACTTTTTACCACTCGTAGGTAGTAAAGACAGACATAAAATATTGTTATTGAAGTTTTTTTCATCTGTTTAGTTATGATTTGTTCGATTAAGAGTTTGGTATCATTTTAAACAAAAGAATCAAGGTGAAATGACTTGACTTTGGTAGTTGGGAGAAGTTAATTCATGTGCATATATTTCATAACTAACAGCAAATTTGCCATAACAAAAACATACATTTCTTTTCAAATATATATTTTATAATGATCTCAACATTAAAATAGAAATAAGCATGGTTTAATTGCTGAAAAAGTTGTTTTCATGTGTGACATACACAGCCATGTACATGTATTTACATTTTCGTCTGCACTGTCTAGGGAGAGGCTGGGGTGCAAGATCCCAGATTATGTCATATCCTGTTGGAAACATGCCAGTTCAGTGAAACACAAATGAAAACTGAATAAATTCATTTGAATTTTCAAGAAAAAATGAAAAATGGGAAAGTGTGCGGGACCGGGTCCTGTGCGGAACCGGGTACACTGACTCTATGTCAAGACGATAAAGAAATCATGTCATGCATGTGAACCCCAGCCATAACATGGCCTTAGCGCTGATATTGTATATAAATGGTTTGCGTCATTTAGCTTGTCAGCTGAACACATACTTACAGTAACTCTTTATGGCTCCAAATGTATAATTTTACAATATTCAGTTTTTTCGTCTATCCTCCATATTTATTTACTTCCGTTTCCATGAACCTGTTTGCTGTTTTAGCCAATCAAATTGAATTAGTAACGATTCGCCACAATAACGATTCGCCACATAACGATTCGCCACAGTCAAATAACGATTCGCCACAGTTAAATAACGATTCGCCACAGTATGATTATAACAATAATTTTCTTAGTTTGACTAGTCCTAGTTCAATTATATCAACATTTTTTTTTTAAATAATTCGACAAGGACAATAATAATGTTTCTAAATTAATATAAGTAATGTGAAGTTATGGCCCCAGCGCAGATTTTCAATTTTAAGCATTTTGATAACAATACGTACAATCTTTTATTTACAAGAACCCAAAATTCTATCCAAAACAAAAAATAGTGATTTAAAAAAAATCCCATATATCACGGGTTTATATGACATATAAATCCGTGCATATATATACTACAAAAACTTTTTATAGTATATATATACGGGATTTTTTTTTAAATCGTTATTTTTGTTTGTTTGTTTTTGGATAAAATTTCGGGTTCCTGTGCTCTTAATTATGTTTTTTTATATTCGGTGTACCTGAGACATTTTCCAATCTATTCCTGTCATATTACACTTAATTTAGCAGAAAAGACGTAATTGATGCCATTTTACGAGGTAACGCCGAATTCGTGAATGAAGCACTGAAGCAACGGCGGTTATCTCATTAAAAGTAGCTAAAAAAAATTTACCAGCTTCCTTCTATCGTTAAACGACACGTGCAGTTTGACAAATGTCTTAGACCTACATACAAAATATGAAAACATAATGTTTTAAATGTACATATTTATTTTACGAAAACACAAAAGTCACCTTCAATTTAAAACGGCAATCAGGTTGTCTTTGATTTAAAGAAGTAAACATATTCCAGAAAAAAATTGTAATGCTAGTTAAAGTATAATGTAGTTGCCGTATGGGCTAATTCATTTCCTTAAATTTGATTTAGAATCAAATGTTTGGGTTCATTTCCTTACTGTACACGTGTTATTAGTTTGGGGAATAGCATTGCACAGATTCGGCGTTACTTTTACGTTAACTTATTTGCACATTCCTGCGATACTCGATATGCACGGTAATATATGTCAATTAATATTTTTATTGATGTATATACATGCCAAATATAAAAAAAACAGGTATTGCAAAAAAAACCAAAAAAACATGCGTTCATTATGAAAATTAGTAAACGATTATTGATTAAGGAACGCATAAAACATTTGTCACACCTTTAATTTTAACAAGCCAATTATCTTAGGATTGTAGAATATTTAATTGACGCCGACATATTCCTTTTATTTTCTGACAATATCTCCACAATTTAATTTGAGCCAATTTAGAAGATTTAAATTCACCAGCATACACAGCTTAAACAGGACAGTCCTACTAGTTTTTTGTCACTTTGTCATTGTTAACAATGAGTTTTGTAATTTTTGTAATAAAATATGTTCGTTTTCATGTGTTTTATTCAATAAAAGCTGCATTTAGTATAATTTTCCAGGTTATATTATTAACAAATGTTGACTAATTTACATTGTGTTTTGTAATTTTGGTAGTAAAATATGCTCGTTTTCATGTGTTTTTATTCAATAAAAGCTGTATTTAGTATAATTTTCCAAGTTGTATATTATAAACAAATGTTAACTAATGTGCAATGTGTTTTGTAATTTTAGAAATTCAGTATGTTTGTTTTAATGTGTTTTTATTCAATAAAATAAATCCCGGTTTTATCACTAACAAATCACTGTGTTATGTAATTTTGGTAATAAAATATGTTTGTTTTAATGTGTTTTTATTCAATAAAAGCCGTTTTTAGTATAATTTTCAGCATTAATTCATGTAATTTACGAATGAAATATAAAATGGAAAGAAGGTTTCATAGACAGTTTTAATACAGGTGTGAAAAAGTTTGTATTTTCAACATGTGGCGAATCGTTATTTAACTGTGGCGAATCGTTATTACTCTGTGGCGAATCGTTATGTGACGAATCGTTAATGTGGCGAATCGTTACATTACCATCAAATTTGGCTTATCAAATAATAGCACGCATTGGTTCCCAGCTTTCTTCCAGAACTACGTAGTGGATATAGAAACCAATACGTTGACCAATTGAAGATCACGTAACATTTCTAAAGCTTCTAATTGGGTAACAGTTCAATGAAAACAAATATGGCGGGCGAAGGAGACAGACATGAGAATCTAAGTTTTTCAAACACAAAATCACCGTGTACTTTCAACCTTACCCGCTTACGAGAGCGTGTTAAAGAATACATAGACAAGGTTTTAACCACATGCACATTATTTAACATGTTTAATGATAACTAAGCAATTTTCAAATCACAAGACACTTGGGGCCGGGGGTTTACACAAAATTATGTGTGACTTTATGTGTGAGGACCTTCCTATGTCCTAAATTGAACAGGTTGCAGTATCACTGTTTGGCCACCCTGCCCCTGGACGCCTGCTACAACCCAGAAAAAATAATACAACACTCTTAGTCTTTCCATAAGATACCAAATACAAAAAAGAATTTAAAAAAAAATCCACTATCTACAGGTCTAGGGTTTCATAAATTATATAGACACCTTTTGGGGACAGGTACTCATACCCTAAGGAAGGGGAATTTTGCGTTGTTTTAAGGCAAAATTTGGAAAATCATGTTATTAATATTATGTAGTTAGTGTATTTTTTAGGGACGTCATCTGGAGCCAAAACGGCCTTCCAGATAATGAGATATCCGAATCAAACATCCGGATGTTCTGATCGTTGTTATATTTTTAGATGTCTGATATGACGTAACCATTTTTTTGCAACCTTTTTCAAATGTAGTATTTCGTTTTTCTTCCTTTTTAATTGAATGTTACATATCAAAAGTTTTTCTGTTATTGATTTTATTTCTTCCATATAGAATACGACTGTTATCAATAAATATACCATTTCAAAAATATACGATTTCAAATGAAATTAAAATGAAATTCACTGCCGATTGTCTGAATTCCTCAGTTAGTGCTATAATACACAATAACACTGACTCGCTCACATTTGTGTAAACAAAATAATACCCGTAAAAATCAATATAATGTTAACACACATACAATTTACTCACGATGACCTTTGACAGGCATGTAGCCGGCTTTTCAAAAGAATCTGCCAATCTTTGATGTTTACCATTATTTAGCCCTGGCTGTTCTATTCGAATCATCAAAGGAGTTGCCAAAACTTATATGAATTACACACATTTTTAAGTGTTCTTAAGTGAAAAAAAAACTGTGTAAAAAATTGTTTTTAAAACAATGCACATGTTTGATTAATACTAAAAGAGAAAGTTATTCAATTTCAATTAAAGCTGTGATAATTAACATATTATTATTCGTAAGTGCATTTCTTGATTTGATTATTTTATTTCTGCAGATTTTTCATTGTCTCAAAATAAGGAGTCGACGGGTCGGTAAGCCGAAATATATATAAAAATAATAGCCTAAATAAATATTTAAATTTGGACACAAAAAATGTAACATCGTTGCGATGACAATCGCACGGGACTTAGAATATTCATCATGAATCTTACAAAAGTTAAATTTGATTAATAACATTCGTAATTATTATAGTAATTATTGATTTTTTGTTCTGATGTGTATTGTCAAACTAAGGTACAATATACAATATGGTGTCAACACCATGTCTATGATTATCTTAACGCATGTATTTATCACATTTTCTCAATATTCTAAAATATTTTATACGAACATCCGGATCAGAAAATCGGCTTCGGACACCGAATCGTGATCCGAACGTTCGGATATCCGGACTCCTAATGACATCCCTAGTATTTTTTTAACACATTTACTCATTACAAAGTTATTTTCAATAGTTAGTAATTTTCCTACCATTGAAATCAATAGCTAGTATATATTTTTAATGCAGACTAACAAATAAAACAAATTATATTAAGTTGATTTATTTTAGAATTTGGAGGGATTTTTTTCTGAGATAGGGGAAAAATACATATGATTTTCATCATTTTGAGAGGGGAATGGTACACATATTTGGCGTCAAAAATGACCAAATGAGTGCCCTGTTTATGGATAGTCATAGTCTAGAGATTTATAGATATTAAAGTTTTAAATCTATATGTTTTTAGTTCTGTACATGTTGTACAATATTATTATGTGATTAAAGTCTATATGCCTGTAACAGCCCATAATTGGAAATAAAGTTAATTTTTAGCTCGACTATTCGATAAGAATAAGTAGAGCTATTGTAGTCACCTGAGCGTCGGCGTAACCACTTATGTTAAAGTTTTTGTAATAGTTCAAATATTTTGAAAGTCCATTGACATATGGCTTTGAAACTTTGCACACTTGTTCACCATCATGACCCCAATCTGTAGACAGGAGGAGGTATCTCTATCAAGCATTTTGACAGAATTATGCCCCTTTTTCGACTTAGAATTTACGTTAAAGTTTTTGTAATAGTTCAAATATTTTCAAAGTCCATTGACATATGGCTTTGAAACTTTGCACACTTGTTCACCATCATTACCCCAACCTGTAAACAGGAGGAGGTAACTCTATCAAGCATTTTTTTTACTATCAAGCACTAAGAATAGTCGAGCGTTGCTGTCCTACTGACAGCTCTTGTATTCTATGAGGTATGTTAAACCATATGAAGGTGGGGCGATAGCCCAGTTGGTATTAAGACCACTGGCTGTCACTCTTGAGGTCCCAGGTTCGATCCTGGGTAAGGCCATCCTTAAAAAAATGTTTGTTTGCAGTAACGCGACTGACTCACAAAATTTGACCCTACTCAAAATTTTTCATGGTCTGGATAAAAAATTATTTTTTTTGAATCAGAAAATTATGCCTTGTGCTTTGTTTTCATTCTTTTAAAGGTTAATAGAAGAAATAAAATGTAGGTCTTACTAAATTAGAATTCAGTTATCAATTTATTAATTGTTACCAGATTATCAAAGCATATATTGTCCAGCATTTTGAAATTCCATGTTTATTTGGGAGTACAGTTCATTAAAAAAAAAAAAATCAACCTACCTACCCACCTTGAAAATTCTGGGTCGGGTTACTGCAAACAAACATTTTTTTAAAGATGGCCTAACACCCTTGGTATTTTTCAGAGACACTTTCAGTGTTTCCCACCTAAAAAGAGGTGTTTTGGTAAGAAATCCAGCTAATCCTTGCATGTACATGTATCAGTTCTATAAACTAGTCATGTAACAGAAACAACTTCCAGGGGTCATTTCAATAAGAGCTAGGGACTGGTTCCCTTGTATCTTATAGCTGTCTCTGTAATGACTAGTCTAGAGTCCTGTCTACCCTCTACGTCCCGCGAGGGGTTTGACATTAAATGATTTATGGAAGAGTGATCTATAGATGTTTCATCTTTGATGATGACTGAAACTTGTGTAAAAAGTGAAAAAAATCATCAAATTGCTCCGAATCTTACCAAACTGTTGCATTTAATCAAATTATCGGTAACCTTATTCTATTTAACCTGCAGTTACATTACATTACAAATCTGTGTATAGTGGTGACATAATAATATATTGATTGATTTTAACTATACAAATCTGTGACACAGTGACACTGATAATAAAGTACTAATTATATTCAAAATAACACTTTTTTTCAAGATCAGGTTTTAAAAAATCCCAAATGTATAATATTTTCTTGACAAATCCTACTTGCACCTCTTAAATACAAATAATGATGGACTGATACTAGGTTGAAGGAAAATCTATACGTTTGTTCACATTTAGTCTGAATACAGCTCTTCCTTTTGTGTTACTGTTATTGGTACATTTTTTTAATTTAATGAAATACTTAAAGTATTTTTTTTACTTAAAAGTAACTTTTAATACTAAACATACGTGTTTAATATGATGTTTTGAACTGTATTTCATTCAAGCAAGTCATATAACAGTTTTAACATGTATAACATCTAAATCTTATTGCTTTCAGCACCACTATGATTCTGCAGCATTTTGGGCAGACAAATTGGTATCATTGTCAAATGGTAATATTTCTTTCTAATCATAACACTGCTAATTTTTTGAATGCAAATATTTCCTTAAATTATAAGAATTTAAAAAAAAAAAAACATTTGTGTAGGAAAAGAAGATGATATACTCTTTCAGCACTAAATATCTAATATCAAATTGTTAATCTAATCAAAACCATTAATCATTTTTTAAGGAAAGTTTAATAAGTACTGACTGAATAGTAAACAGCTTTCATGCTTTAAACTTTAAAGGGAGATAAAATTGTGTGTCATTCAGTTCAGCTAGGTTTCAGTCAGTGCCTGGACCATCAAATTATCAGATGTTTGGAACTTTTTTCCAATGATTCAGTCTGTTTAGTTTATGTTGAATCCAAAGAAAAAAAGTTTTTTAAGTCTGTCAAATACATTTCATTTGTAGTTAAAAATCTTAAATTTTTTAATAGTTTTCTAAAAAAAAATTAATAAAGCATAAATTGGTAATAAAGTTTACTTAAAAATGCTATACATGTAGGTGCAGTGGAGGATGTGTATTGGTATGCCCAGACCCTGTACAGTACTGGCCAATATCACAGAGCTGCAAAATGTATTCTAAATAGAAAATTGCACAAAGTAAGTGAAAACTGTATTTACTTTATGCTAGTTAATGAAATAAGGGTTTTATCTGTCATTCTGTGAAATAATATCCATATTACTCACAGTATATCTCTCACATTGTGACAGATAAGGCCATCCTTAAAAAAATGTTTGTTTGCAGTAACCCGACCCAGAATTTTCAAGGTGGGTAGGTAGGTCGATTTTTTTTTTTTTTTTAATTGAACTGTACTCCCAAATAAACATGGAATTTCAAAATGCTGGATAATATATGCTTTGATAATCTGGTAACAATTAATAAATTGATAACTGAATTCTAATTTAATAAGACCTACATTTTATTTCTTCTATTTACCTTTTAAAGAATGAAAACAAAGCACAAGGCATAATTTTCTGATTCAAAAAAATTTTTTTTTATCCAGACAATGAAAAAAAATTTTGAGTAGGGGCAAATTTTGTGAGTCGGTCGCGTTACTGCAAACAAACATTTTTTTAAGGATGGCCTAAAGCTGTGCCCAACTTTTGTTATGTCAGGATAGATAGTAATACAAAAATTATTTATTATGATTGTGTAAAATTGATAGGAGAATTGATTGTTGAATTTTGTTCTATCCAGCATATTTCTTGATTTGATATGATTACTTTACTTAAATTGTAAAAAGTTGCACCACAGTGTTGACAATAATCTTAAATTAGATTGTTTTTCCGCATGAGAATGGTAAAGATATCATCACATTGAGAAAATATTTTATCCACATTTACACTTGTAATATGATTGTGTAAAAAATATTGCTGGTTTCTCAGATATTTATGTGGGATATAGTGTACATGTATATCATGATCAACAAACTAAATATGCTCTATTTATTACTTTTATTTTTACTTGGCTATTCATTTTAGCTCACCTGGTGCCCTGTGGAGCTAAAGTATGGCAAAGTGTTTTTGTTTTTTGTTTCATCTGAAGCCCCGCTACATGTATATTGATACTTTCTGATGATATAAGATATGAAAAATATGGACATTTTTATGAAATATACATGTACTGTTTATTCCTTTGGAAAGAAAATTTAATATTTGTATCTTCTATCACTGTAAATGATATATGTATATATATAAAACATATCAATATTATATGTGTATATTTTATAGAACCATATGTGCTGTAGATATTTAGCAGCTAAATGCCATGTAAGTATTGAACTTGTTTTCACATATATCATATAATATTGTCATAATTAAACAGTATGTGTCTGTCTCAACTCTTGTCTATTTTCAGGGAAAAAGAATTTGAGTATTTTTGGAATATTTATTTCATAACCACCACAGATATTATCTCTTGATAAATAAGAATTATAATAGCTGAACTATAATGTATTATTACCCTTCCAGATTTTTTCTGCCTTTTTGATTGGATATTGATCACCCAAAAGAAATTGATATTACCGAGCCAGACGGGTAATATACATATTAAATTTCCCCGATTGGTACCCCACGTTGTAAACAACATGCGCCGTGCGATGCGCGTACGGTTTGATTTTACGCGATATAAATTCCGATTTATAAGCACTTTTAAACTGTCAAATGATAAATATTTACCAAAATAGAGTAATGATACATATTCTCGTCAGTATAGGAAGCAAATATGACCTTGTGAAAGCTTGATATTAATTCCAAAAAAGTGCGTTCAACAGACTACTCCTTTTCTCTTGTTTACATCCGTTATGTTCGAAAGAAAATACGTCATGTATTTATGTGACGTCATGTTATGGTGAAGGGGTATCCTAAAGGGAATCTTATTTCGACGTTTCATTTGAAGTAGCAATGATTTATGATAAAATCGTCTTAGGTCGGCACGGGAAGGGTAATAAAATTATTATTTTGGGTTTGGAGTGATATATGTGGATATATTACCTGCCAAGATAAAATATCACCCTCGCCTAACGGCTCGGGTGATATAAATCTTGACAGGTAATATATCCACATATATCACTCCAAAACCAAAATAACATATAGTATTTTAAATCATTCTAAATATTGTTTATAGTTATAATAAATACAACACATGTTTTTAACATTATGTGACAGTGAATTTCTTGTCTAAATAGGAGACTTTGTTTTTTTTCAAAGAGCTAACTATATCTAGCATTATGATTTAGTAAAAATATTTTGGCATGCCAAAGCTAAATAAATGTACTGAGATATTTATGTTGGTCAGAATCTCACTTCATAGAGGGGTGATATTGCCCATACACAAAAAGGACACCTAAATGCACAGTACAGTACATTGGGTTAATCTAGCATTAGATAGTGGGGAGATGCATATAGTTGGTTAAATAGTTGGATATGTTAGATAGTTGGGAGAGGCAATTTGGAATTGATTGTATATAAATGAATATTTAATAGAAATTTAACTAAATTAAATTTAATATAATTAAAAGATTTAATAATGACTGACTTCTGGTATACTATTTTATATCAATGTTTATATGATTATTGTTGTTGTTTATTACAGTATGAATGTAAGGAGTATCAAGAAGCACTGGCTATATTAGATTTTGTTGAACCTTGTTCTATACAGCCTATCAACAAGAAAATGTCATTCAATGTCAACCAGAGTATATCAGAACCAGATACTTCAACTAACAAAAATGTTAGTATAATCTATGTTGATTTTCTTTTATCATATTGATATGTGAAGAGTATAAGAATTGTATTGCTGGTATAGATCTAAATATCTTACTTGAAGGTAACTGTTTAAGGCTGGAACTGGGCTCTGTTGAGTTTCAGCTGAAGAGTTTTCCTAGAGCGGAATATTTCCATCTATGGTCTTTAAACATACAATGTATTTATGTAAGCTTGATTGCCAAACAAGTTTTTGCAACTTATATAAATCACTTTTGAGTCTGCTTCCAGGAACCAGCCAGTACTGGTGTCATATGAAGAAACATGGTCATGACCCAAGTAGGGCTCGAACCCCTGATCTCTGGGTTGATATGCAGACACCTTAACCTCTAGGTCACCGCTTCCCATCTATAGTCAGGCAGCCAGCAGCATTTTACATATTAGTTATAGATCGAAAAAGGAATATAACTGTTCAATTGAAATTTTCTTGAGAGATTAACAGTACAAAAAAACTGTATATGTTATAATATAAATAACACAGTATGACATAGATTTGTGAATAACAGTAAAATTATTATTCCAAGGAAAATACTGTTACCTGAGATGTTTTTACGAGGGATGATATTTTTGCTGTTACTCACATACCTATGTGTTATTTATCATATCACCCCGAACAAAGACTTCATAGGAACAATGTTTTGATAGTTTTTTTCTCCAGATTTTTACTATGAACAAGTACTGTTACAAATTTGTTTGTCATGTGAACAGTGGTACACTTGCATTAACAGTAAGAATATCTGCTATTGGCCTATGGGAAATTAACATTACAGAAAAAGTGAGGGGTAATAATAATTAATAACATTATTCATTATTTAGATGGAGTGTTCTATGAATGTGTTACGAGGTCAGATATATGAGGCGATGGATAACAGGACACTAGCTATGGAATGTTTTAAAGAAGCTCTACGGCAGGACGTGTATTGTTATGAAGCCTTCGACCTTCTCGTAAACCACCATATGTTATCTTCACAAGAAGGTACGATGATGGTACAGTTATGTAAACTTAGTAACTTTGGTAGACACCTGTCTGCTGTCTCTACACTTTCATTGTTTCATTTTGAATTTAAATTCAGCCAATCATATAAATTGGTTTTTAAAACAGTTTCTTAATTAACTTGAAATTAATGTAATGTATTTTTATTTTCACACCTTTTCAAATAAAATGAGTAGTTCTTTTACAAAGTGCAATTCCAATAAGATTTTATTTTAATGTTGATGTTTGATTTTGCAAATTTTATGTTTCTCTTATTGTCACTAATGACTTGAATACCTTTTAAAAAAATCATCAACCTAAGCAGATGTGTGTTTTAAGAGTAAGACCAGATAAAGATGGGGAGTCATAGTTTGACCATAACATTGTCATTATGTTTGTTAGTGTAAACAAAACAAAATATACCTTGCAGCCCCCTGGACCCCCAGCAAACTTTCACCTATGTATAGAACATTGTACAACAAAGAATAAATATGAAAATTTGCATCTATTACAATATTGTTAAATTAATATATTGTAGAGAGAGAGTTGATAGACAGTCTACCATTTAGCTTGCAGTGTCCCAGCGAGGAGGAGGAACTTGTTAAATTTCTGTATGAAAATAAACTGAAAAAGGTATGTGATTTCTTGCTCTTATTGTATTTGTCCTGTCTATCAGTCCACCCATGCCTCCTTACCTAGCTACGTCATCATCATTATTCATGCAACAACTTTCATAATTAGATATAGCATAATCACTGGGCAAGAACTTTGAAAATTAAAATGTGATCTTTACCCAGATTTGGCATTCACCTTCAATGCCATGATTTTCAAAGTTCTGGACATTTCACATTTATAATAACTTTGTTTTTAACAAATACTATTTTTTGTGGTTTTTTTTCAAACACATTTTGTAACATAGTTTTAGGAATTACAAATATTTAGGTATATTATTTAAGAATGACAATTATGATATATTTGAATCTATTTCAGTATGACAGACCACAAGAAGCTAAAGTACCAGAAAGTTTAGAAGTGCTCAGTGATAATTTAGATATTATATGTAACTTGGCAGAGAGACATTACTACAACTGTGATTTTAGAGAATGTTATAAATTAACTACCAAGTAAGTGATTTATTGTTCAACAAGGACTTGTGTTTCCCTTAAAACAACATATATCATTTGTGATTATCCATAACAGTAACTAACTTACACATTATCATTTTTGTTTCTACATGAAATGAAACTTTACATCATTAAGACTAGGATTCTTCATAACATTAGACAATAATGTGTTAAAATCTACTTTAGAGACAAACAAACAAAAATCAAAGCTTGAATGTCAAATTATGTGAGATGCACTGTAGCATTTTGATTTATTTAGCCAAGACTTATCTATCATGTTTCATGTTTGTTTTCTCTATTTTTAGAATATTGAATACAGATCCATACAATAGTACATGTTTACCACTTCATATAGCAGTGATGGTAGAATTAAAGAAATCTAATAGTATGTATCATTATAATTGTATCTTCATGATTCTATTAAGGAATTTTACAAAAATATATATTTCTGATAAATCCTGTGTGACCTTTTCTTTTACAGTCTAGGGAATAGGTGTGATTTCTTAAGTCAAAATATGATTATTTCTATTTCATTTGACAGACTACTCTGTTTATCTGAAATTTATATAAGGATATTAAAGCTTTCCCATATTCACATCTGAAAAGTTTAAACAATTTTGTGAATTTTGATTTCATCATAAAAAATTGAAGTGCTTTTATGAAGCAGTTGTAAAATTTTATATATTAGTATACTGGTATATTGTATGTACATCGAGTTTTGTTGGTCATATATTAAAATGTAACCATTAATCCTTGCACATCTGAACAGAAAAGTTACTTATTTACTAGTATTTCTTGAGTTAAGAATTGTTTTATTGTCATTTCATTGTTTTCTCTCTTACAGGTTTATTTTATCTTGCCCATAAATTAGTTGATCTGTACCCTAACAAGCCAGTAAGTACTTTTTTCATGTAAAACACTTATTCACATGAATTCAACTTGAATAATGTTTACACATCTTCATTTGTTAGTGTAAATCTTGTTTAATACATTTGTAATTGTAAGAGGGGAGGCCAGCCAGCAAAAATACTTGCAAGGTTGGCTTTTCTATTTTGATGTGAAATTTATTTTCATGATAATTGATCTCGGACATTGAGTCTAATGGTCATATACCTCTTATTGCTTTCTCAAAAGCACATGGGATTTGTTGTCAGTTTTTTGTAGAGAAATTGGTAATTACTTGTTAGTTACCCTGGAAAGGTGGTTAAGTTGGCTTAAAAACAGGCTTACAAACAAACAAGTCACAGTAATAGAGTGAAACTACAGAAAATAATTTTGATCTCGTTTGGCTTGGTTGTTAAAGTTTGGTGCTTTGAATCACTTCTGCTCACCTTTTTGGGTTGAGTCCCTGCAGTGACTTAAGTTCTTTTATTGAAGCAAGTGTACAGAAAGTCACAGTTTTCCCTTGGCAGTTAAAAATCCGCACACCTACCGTCAAAATCACCATGTATTTTATTCCATTTCCAATATTAGATCAAAAGCTACTTGGTGTTAAGTTAAGTAAAATGAAAAAATGAAAATAGAAAGAAGTTAACAAGTTAAGTAAAATGAAAAAGAAAAAGAAATCAAAAGAATATGAAAAATATCTAAATAACCTTGAATTTTGTTTTAAGCAGTTATATATAAAGTGGAGCAAAACAGTCAGAAAAAATGTTCCAATGTCTATGAAATTTTTGCAGGTTTCATGGTTTGCTGTAGGTTGTTACTATTTCCTTATAGACCAGAAAGAGGCTGCACGTAGATATCTCAGGTAAAAACATAAGGTAGACTTTTGCAGAAAATTGTGACGCTATTACTTTTTTGTTAAGGTCCATTTCAAAGGTATTCATTTCAAACTTGGTAAACTTTCCATTATCAAAATGTGATGCCATATCAAATGGGGAGTAAATAAAACAATTTATAATGCCTCCATAACCTAGAGGGGCACATAGATATAAGCTGAATCAGTTTTCATCTCATTGAAGCTAAAATAAATATGTTTAAACTATTATGTAAGGAACATTGTTGGAGGACTACTTGTATTTTTCTCTGATGGATTTACTAGAACAAATCACACTGGGTGAGTTAAATGTTTGTGATCCCAGTATACTCTTTAAAAAGTTCTATTTTATTACAGTAAAGCTACTACATTAGAAAGAACATATGGGCCGGCCTGGTTGGCGTTTGGCCATTCCTTCGCTACTGGAAATGAACATGATCAGGCCATGGCAGCATACTTTACAGCAGCTCAACTCATGAAAGGGTATGTTCATGTCTTTATTGACTTATTTACCTTTATCCCTTTTAATTCACTATGCTTTGAATTTGAAACTGTAGTAATGTTCTTTGTATAAGGGGAAGAAATATATATAAACTTAAAATGATCAGCTATTGACAACAGTATAGAGCCAGGTTCATGCTGTCTGACCAGGCTTTATACTGTTGGCTGACCGTCTTCAAATTTCCATCTTGATATCCCCAGATTTGATAATGGGTAGTTCCAACAGTGGAATCTGTACCAGTACATTTAAGAAGTGCAGGAGGTCAAGAGTTTATGATGCCTTGTTAGCTGTATAGACAAAACATTAGGTTTCATTGGATTTAGATTTGTGGTAATTATTTTTGCTCTTCACTATGGAGATTTAGTTATAGGCACTCTTTTCTATATTATTGGTTGATGATTTCAAGAGATTCATGTTTGAAATTAACAGTCTACAAAACAATAAATATAGTTGTGTTACTTGTGTATATGTACTAAATTCAGGAGCCCTTGTTAGGTAACTGCCTGCCTGTAATTTTCTAAATTTCTTTTGGACTAAAAATACACAGACACTCGGGGTGTGGAGCTCAAAGCACCTTTAAAATCCAAATAAAATGTATATTTTTTAAATCCAAGCACATGTACTGATCATATATTATATATAAAAAAAACTTAATATAAGCCGTTTTGAAAAAAATTCATATTTCAACGTCTATAATAATACACAAGATAAAAATGTTCGCTGGAAAAAAATCTGCACACCTACCATCACCATGTATTTTATTCCATTTCCAATATTTTCACATAATCCTTTGGTCCATTGACACAGAAGATATAATTCTTCATGATGATGGTCAATTTTAAACTTCAGAGTCAATATAAACAACGCAACAGGCAAAATAAACAATAAGATTATCGCTGTTATACTCCATTTACAAAATATTTTGACAAATTCAAATGTGGCTCCCCAGCTTTGCCGTGTACAAATACGCCCCGCTTTGAATTATGGCAACCAACATATTACCGAATGGCTCCGCCTATAGCTAACTTGTTCTCATCTTCAAAGAGCAGTTCAGGATCCTTTGGGAAATTGAAATAAAACAAATTTTGTATACTTGAACAATTTCTTAGATGGTGAAGAAAAATCAAACATGTTCATAAAATGAAAAATAAAGTAAAGAATCACAATAGTCTTGTTTATTGGTCGTTTATAGTATATTAAGCAACTGAATTATTTTCACAGATGTCACTTGCCAGCACTTTATATTGGCCTAGAATATGGACTAACAAACAATCCTAAGTTAGCAGAGAGATTCTTCCGGCAAGCTCTTAGTATAGCACCAGATGATCCATTTGTTCTTCATGAGATGGGTGTGATAGCCTTTTCAAAATGAAAGAGTAAGTGAATATTTGTGAAGTCTATGTCAGGGGTACTTGTTGACTTAGTTGTTCAGTCATTTTAGTGTACTCAGGTTGCTACTATAAATACTTTTACAAAATAGTGACATTTTATTATGGTCTATACTGTATTCAGTAAGTACTAGATTTGAATATTTTGCCAAAATTGATGACTCCAGACAAGTCCATTTAGTTAAGGTGACAACGGAGTCAATTATTACTGAAAAATACCTAAAATAGAGATTCTTTGCTTAGTAGATTTATAAACCTTTTCTGAACCAATTCGTGATTTAATTTTGAAGCAGTTAGGTCCAAAAAATATTAGTTTTAACGTTTTAAAACGGCGTACCTGTACCATTTTTATTGCTATTCGCGTAACCTGTCAATTTATCGATAACGCTCGCCCCCCTTGTTGAGGCTCAATGAGGGAAAAATCGGTGTTCCATTATCCGGTTCACCCGTCCTATGGTCCATATCTCGTATTTATGTATCGTACTACCGTACATCTTTTATGAATATCGTCTACCTTTTATTTAAGCATTTTTATAAAAAAAGAATTGTCGGCCAATGTAGTAACATAATGTATGAAATATAAATAATTGAAGGCTTAGCGGCAAATGCACGACCCACGGTTGATTTTTAAATAATTGCTAAATCCATAATGTGTGAAAATAATTTGTCTGTCCCGTTAATCTGATAGATATTACATTGAGTTTATAATGGAACTTTTGTACGGATTCATCGGCTTGCTTTACATTCAACCTCGTTTTCTAACAATGTCAAGTAAAACAACAACAAAAACAGACAACATTTTTTTATGTGAACGCCTATATGACTTGTGGTAAGGTGTCCCTGAAAAATTTCTAAACCATTTTAGATTGTTTAAGGATGATCATTTCTCATGAATCAATAAAAAAAGATATAAATATATATTATCGGTGAATGCTCTGAATAAATTGTTCGCCAGTAAATCGAACACAGTACTAATAAACCTGGGACAAAGTATGGAATTTATTGTATATCCCAGTAGAAACTGGATATCTATGCCGTGCATAGATGATTTTCATGATAAAAGAAGTCATAAAGGTCAGATCATAATGATCGAGTGATACTTTTATTTCTATTATAATATGTCAAGCATTTATTTCAATTTGGAGGAAGAAATATATAATATCTCGTTTTTATTTTTACATTTACCATGGACTTTAAAAGACCATCAGAAGCTCAGTTTTTTGTTATTTTAATTTATATTTTAACGGAATTTCATACACGAATACACAGACAGAGTGACACTGGTATAATATAATAATAATGCTGATGATATAATAATAATAAACTTCAAAAGTGAAACAATAAATACCCCGCTAGCGGTGCGCAAATACGTTCCATTTCCCCCCCACCGAGTGCCTCAAATTTTACCGAAAGTCACGTGACATGTGCGACCGACAGTAATCACGTTTAAGATTTGAAGAAATTTCTGTTATAAAACTGATATTAATCAGCAACTTTTTAATTGGTCAGATGTCACTGGGTCATAAAATGTTGTTAGAGTATGTTAGCGCAACTTGTGACCCTCTCTGGTGCGATATTTGTGTATTATGCAATTATTTAGCGTGAAACGTAGGGTCCGAAGAGAGAACAGCCGATTTATGACACTTCGTTGATGCGGGTCGGACTAACTTTGAATCGGCATAACTTTTTTAATAATCAAGCAATTAACATGCGGTTTAAAGCACATGAAAGGGAATTTATTTACGGAGGGACCGTGTCAGGGATTTTTGTTTGCTCAATCAGCGACTTAATTATCTTTAATTACGTAATATGTATGGTGAAAAAAGTCGCATAAAATGTTTGACGTTACGTAATATTTTTTGAGAAAAGATAGAAAAAAATTTGAGACACGGGTTCCCCAGATATATATAAAAGTATGTTTATTTTCCAAAAGTTTTGATGACAAAAAAAAAAAAAAATGACTTTGATATGACGATTTAAAATTTTAGGATTTTTATTAAAAATCAATCATTTACAAAGGCATTTTTTTCAAATATGTTATTTTTTATGTTGATCAACGACATTTAATGCACAAAGATTAAATAAATAACAATTATTACTAAAATAAATTGGTTTAAATGACATTTATGTGAGTACCACGGAAAGTGTCTGTTGTCACCTTAAGCTAGAGATTATTGACATTGCTATGGAGACAAAATTATTCAGCTAAATAAGTAACTAAAACACCAACTTGCATCAGGAGGAATGTATCATGTAGATATACAAAACACTATCATAAAGCTGTCATATGTAACAGGGGGCCAATGTGGAAGATCAGTATAGTCACTTTTAGTTAGAGTCCCCATGCAGAAGAATGCCTTCACAAATATTGAATCATTTTATGTAAGGATGTTAAGTAGTTGGTTTACTTCTGATGCTGAACAGTTAAAAGTTGCTGACTAACAAATACTTAGACCTTGTCACTGTGGATTTGAATCATGCCAATGATTCTTTGCTTGGAGGAAACTGTCCACCCAGCTTACACCTAGTGGTTCTACTTAGATAACAGGAAGTTATCAATCTTGAATCTAGCTTACAGAAGGTCGTAGGTTCTCATCCAGTAACAGGAAATTATCTAGCTAGCTTAAAGAAGGTCGTAGGTTCTACTCAGGTGACAGAAAGTTATCAAGCTAGCTTACAGAAGGTTGAAGGTTTTACTTGGGTGACAGATTGTGAAAGAAAGCATGATGGTGCACCTTAGGTCTTTCTCCTGGAATGAAAACTTTCCTTTACAGTATTATATGGAGTCATTTAAAACAGAAAACAAAACTTAACCTGCATAAGTTTTATATATATGAAAGAATAATACATGTGCATTTTTACATTAAAGGTGGATGAAGGCAGAAACATATTTCAAGGATGCATTGAGGAGAATTCAGGTGTGTGAAAAACAAACAAGTGTACCAGAGAAATGGGAGCCCTTACTGAACAATCTTGGACACACATGTAGAAAACTCAGGGTAAGATGTTCAATCCATATGCTCTTACTTTGTTGTCACAAAGATACTGGTTTTGTGTGAACTATTTTCATGTGTATATAATCTAGTATGAATATAGCTTGGTTACAATCAAGTTAAAAACTTGAAGGATTTCATAAAAACTCAAGGATTTCATATCGAGGTTTGTCACACAAACTTCCCAGTTAAGACAATTTATGGCACACATTTTCCAAGTTCAGTATTGTTTAACTGTGATGTAGTACAAAAATCTCACAGCCTTAAAGGGAAAAACAAGGTTAGAATAAAAACTTGATTTCAGAAAACGAATACTATAAATAATAAATCTGCAAATTTTCTGCCGCCAAATAATAATATTAAACGAATGATAACGAAATTTTAATCGCTAAATCGCCGATTTCTACAAATCAGTAGGCGCGGCCATGTTTGTGTATTGGCCATATAAAAACCTCGTGCGCGTGATGTCATTTCCCCACATCTTTAGATTTTTATGATAAATCTAGTTGAATCGAAGCGAAATATTTACATAGTAAAGTATTGACGCAGCCAATTTGATTTTCACAGGAGGTGTAGAGGCAATTTTTTTCTTGTTCAAAATACGTAACAATATCAAAAAAATAAAAAAAATAAAAAAAATAAAGAAACAAAAAAAAAAATCAACGTCTACCGGTCGCACCACTTCAGGCCAGTGATGCCCGTTACTCCAAAAAATGCTATGTTATTAAAATCTCATCTTTATGAAATTAAACAATTTTCACAGAGTTAATAAATAAAAATTTTTATTTTTTAAAACAAAGTTTCAAAATCAAAAAATTTGGCAATTAAATAAAAAAAACCACCACGAAAAATTTGCTTTTAATTATTAAAACGGCAAAAATTATCATTTTATTAAAATCCTACAAAAACGTACCCTTTAAATAAAAATTTGAAAATTTAAATTTTTTCCCTTTTTGATTCTGACTTTAAAAATTAAAAAGGGTGTAAATATGTTAGAAATTTGATGAACATTTCAAAATATAAGAATCTTTAAAAAAGAAAATTGGGTTTAAAATGTCTGTCATATTGTTGTGGTTTTTTTTTACATTTTAATTTTACCCAAAATTTGGAGGGCAAAAATTTTTATTGGCTGCTCAAAAATCTCATTTGCATAATTTATTCACACAATTTGCTGGTTCTTACTACTTATGACCAATACTGTGCATTATCCATTTTAATTGTTCCTAATTTGCACCAAATGTTCCTGTCACACTGTGTACTAACGGTTTTTATTTGCTCCTTTGTATGTTCCTCTGTGCCGACAGACCTTTTGATCATGCAGACAATGTTTTTCCTGATTGGTTAATCACCCTTGTCAAATATTCTAATGACGAAATAGACATTTTTTTACGGCTCCATCAGTGAACTGAATGACCTTAGGGGGAGTCAAGTTTATACTGTAAATTACAGCATTTCATACAATAGCAACACATTTTTTCAGTTACCAATAATCATTTTGAATATTAAGTAAGATTTATGTTTTTTTTTTTTTATTGGATTAAATTTACGGTAGTAGAAAATGCGCATCTGTTGGGTGGTAAGTAGATAACGTGGAAAAAAGCTATAGGGAACTGGATAAACCCACAGGCGCTAGTCACATAATCAAATATTTTACATAATCGGTCTATATATGTATATAAAGATCTTTATATACATAATTATTACATATATAGACCGATTATGTAAAATATTTGATTTGTGACTAGCGCGCTGTGGATAAACCCTAAGATTAATGCGTGATTAATAGGGAAAATTATGGCCCAATGGGCAACCTGTTGCTGTTGGTACGTTTGACTGGGTGCCTAATTAACCGAACGGAACAGTTTTGTTTTTCATACGATTTGGTTGGGCGATTTTCCTGCCGCCAAATTTTATTTTTAGCGTCAATGTCGTAAAATCGCGGTCCTCGGAAATTATTCTGCATATTGGATTTAGTTGATAATTTACGCTGAGAAAAAGATACATGACCGGCGATGTACCCTATTCAGATACAGCTTGTCTAGCGAAAATTAAGTACCAATAAAAGGATATATCGTCAATTTGAAGAAGTTCTTCTCAAAGTACCCCAAATTAAATTGATGGTTTATCTTTGAAAAGTAGGCAGTCATTGCTTAAATCATGTGGTGGGATTCAATCAGCAAGTTTGAAAATCGGACAAAATTAAATGATAATTAATGCCGCGGCGTCTTCAATTAAAAATTAAAAGCAATTCAGTTCCATATGATGTTTTCAAATAAATAATAAATAATGTACGCAATAAGATTAATTAAGTTCTTCGTCAAGATATATTTCAGTTGTACAGCGTGTACACCTTTACCGGAAGTGGGTAAAAACACGTCACAATCTCGTCTCGTCTGTCTCGCTCGGGAATGACAGAACGCCAAAATGGCGGCGCCCATGAACTTATTTCTCAAGTAAAAAATAGTGTCTTAAAACACGAATTTCTCACTTAAATGGTTGATGTCAACAAAAAAACTGTCATGGTACCTCTTTTTCAATGATGAATATTTATATTAGACAGACATCATTCCATCCATTCCTATTCCTTTAAAAACAAAATCAATAAAAAAATTACCCATTTTCACACAAAGTGAAATAATTTGAATATATATTTTTAACAGAAAACTTGATGAAGCATTAGAATATCACCAGCAGGCTCGGATCTTAGACCCTCAGAGTCCCTCCACCTACTCTGCTATAGGCATTGTGTTAGCTTTAAAAGGGGAAGCAATCGAGGCAGTAGATTATTTTCATAAGGTTGGTAAACTCTTTTATGTGAGGTTAACTATCCAGCTAGCTTACAGAATGTTGGGGTGTTCCAACTCTGTGTGCCCACTTTTGTGCCTGAAATAATTCAGAAAAGCATCTGATGTCTTTTGATATAAATAAGCTAGAAAGTCACCAAAATGACCTCTATTGTGTTTCAGCGGCATTTAACCAAAAAACAAGGAAGAAAATCAAATATATGAAAGTTTTTTGAAACTGGTTATATTATAAAAATATATATTTGACTTGATAAAAATGATATATAAATGTTGTTCAATCATTTTTAAAAATTAGAAAATTCTATACATTTTTATTTGAACCATGATAGATTTTAAAAGCATAATTGTTTTTATTTTCCCATGTATGTTTTATCTTAACAGGCTCTAGCAATTAGGAGAGAAACGATGCTTTTTCTACAACATGTTTGTCAAAATCTTGTAGAATCTCTGATGTTACAGCTCTCACCTAGTGATGGTAAGTCGGATTTACTGATGATCAAATTTACAAGAAAACTTCTCTCATGATTGACATTAGGTATAAACATATAGATTTACCCTTGTTCATCAGTCACACAGTCTATTTTTGACTCTAGCGGCATGATATATAGAACTTTCGTATAGTGCTACTAGACAATGCTAAGTGATAACTATATATGTTGAGGGCGAACCACAGTTCATACGGACATTTACAAAATGCCACATACAAAATGTCTTAACTTTATCTAAAAAAAAAAAAATGATTTACAGTAAAATTGGTAATTAATATCTCTCTTGACCTACTTATGCATCAAACCATGAGTCCATAACCATTTATACTCCAATAAGTAGTGGACCACCTTGGAAGATATTGTTTAAAGCTGAAAATATGAAATCGTTGATGTTTTTACTGCATACTATGACCAAAGGGCCACAATTACAAAATGATTTTTCATCAAGCAAATGTATGTATCTTTAATGCTTATGCAATACTTGAAATTATTTCTTCCAACAAATGGAGCTGTAGCCTGTACTATGTAAAATTAGCCCTGTAATGTTAAAAAGTCTGTGTCATTTTTTTTCTATTCTTAGATGTTTATTATTTTATGATTAATGTACATGTACTTGTATTGGAATAGTTTTTTATCCTATTCACTATTTGATTAAAAGGATAAGTTTAAGTGCCCTCAATAGATAAGAAAACTGAATTTTTTACAGCAATAATTTACTCTTGATGAAATTTATTTTCCTGCTAATATTACTGCTTGTAAAGGAAACTTGATGTAATAATATTTTGTCCAACGTTGTCTGACAACATACAATGATATCAAAGGTAAACATATGAATAAAAAGGTCATTAAGTTGATTATATGGTGCCAAGACAAGCTACTTTTTGTTACCATTTATAGTAACATAAGTACAGTACATGTATCATGGCACAAAATTCATATCTTTGCAAGTTTGGCTAATAATCTGTGAAAATTGCATGGAGGTAAATTTTCACACCACCTTGTGATTCAAATTAACCCTTTAAGGTGATGTGTGCGGGGTCTGTACTCAACAGCGAAGCTGCTTTTTGTGCCCTCAAGTGCGCAGGGATCCTCATTAAGCATAGTCTACCAACAGACAGGTTAATTTTCACTGGGAGTTTAAAGAAATATATATGAGCCGCATTACGACAAAACCAACATAATGGGTTTGCGACCAGCATGGATCCAGACCCGCCTGCACATCCGCGCATTCTGATCAGGATCTATGCTGTTCGCTATCAGTTTCTCTACTTGTTATAGGATTTGTAAGCAAACAGCATGGATCCTGATCAGACTGGTCGCAAACCCATTATGTTGGTTTTGTCATGAAATGGCTCGTATTTATTTTTATTTTTTTTAAATTTCAGATGTAGAAGATAGCCCTGTGTTTATGGCTCCAACAGGAGTGCCTGGTTTTTTCATTAAGATGATCACAATGATTCGAAGGACTTACCGCCTCCACCTATGATGAGACTGACATCAACAGCTTGAAGATTCATCAGTGGGCAGATTCCTCCGCAGTAGACAGTAAGTAGTCTTATGATAGAAGAAGTAGAAATGGGAGATTGAAGAGAAACTAAATGAGCCGCGTCATGACAAAACCAACGTAATGCGTTTGCGACCAGCATGGATCCAGACCAGCCTGCGCATCCGCGCAGTCTGATCAGGATCCATGCTGTTCGCTTACAAACCCTATTACAAGTAGAGGAACTGATAGCTAACAGCATGGATCCTGATCAGACTGCGTGGATGCGCAGGGTGGTCTGGATCCATACTGGTCGCAAATGCACTATGTTGGTTTTGTTGTGACGCGGCTCAAATAATGATATAAAAAACCCACAAACACTGTGAAGGTTTGATATAAAAAAATACACTTGACAGTAATAGTCTTCATATCTGAGAGAGTTGCTATAACATATATAATCACAGTGCTGAGGAAAGCAGTTTTTTGCTACAAGGACAAGAAATATTACAGATCTATTTTTACTTTTAAGCATTTAGATTTTACCTATGCAACCAGTGCATTATCTTGGCAATTCAGACAGTTTATATTTTGAATTTGTCCCGAAAAATTATATCAAAAAAACAAAACATTCAGTTTGAAATATAAGTAAGTTAGCATAGTTTGGTTAATATATTTTAAGGTATGCACACCTTATATAGGCTGCAAAATGTACAGTTAACTTCACTGTTCAGTCAGATTTCGAGGGAGAGCAGGCTTGCCATTTATAAAGGAAATGTTCCGTTATTTCTGAGTATTTTCATTGTAAAAGATGCATAGTTCTGATATGGCTGGAATGATTTTGTAACTTTGTCTTCTTATTCATGTTTAAAAAAACCTGCAACAATAAATGCACTTATTTGTATATTCATGTAATGTATACTTCTTAGAATTTTGCTTGCAAATTAATGCATTTCTTTGTGGTTTTAGAATATTTTCCAGATAAAGGGCTTCAATCCTTTTTGGTCAACTTATTGAAGTTTAACAAAGCAATATTGAAGCACATTCATTTTTTGTTTGCTTTGAACTGCTTGTCCTTTTTTAGGAAAACGCAGGAACAAAGAAAAACAAATCTCACTATTTTGTAATTTAAATATCCAATTTATAAGTTTTCTCTGTGATTTTCTATTGGTTAATTATAATTATTACTCATCAATGGTTGGGACAAGGGGGTATGAGTGTCATTTTGACAGTTTCTTGTTATAGTAGGTTAACTCTTGTATATAGGGACTGGTTGGAGTAAATGAAGTACTTCACATATGTGACATGTGTCCTTCACCTTCAGTTAAAGCCATCATATAACTTCAGCCCTTTCTCTGTGGTGTACCAAATGTCATTAACCTTTACCACCAGTATAGAGCCAGGCAAGTGTGACCAGGCTGTACTGTAACATGGTGTGGTGCTCACTTTCTGTGTTTGATATTTGAAACAGCCTAAACATTGAAATGGACTGTTCCAAAATGGAAGCTGGGCAAATCCAATTACACAAATTCAGTACATTTAGGTCATGATTCGTAAATTACCACAAAAAATTTGTTTTTAATGCAGTAAAATATGTTTTATTAAACAAGTATGTATTAAGAATAAACAAATTGGTAAATTACTAATACTTTGCTTTATTTATTAAAAGCACTTGTCAAATTTACTTTTCTTATTAAGTTAGCATGTAAAAGAAAGAGTTCATATTATATATTGTGCAAGGAACATTTGACTCCTACTGTATATGAGCTTCACTTGCTGTAAGTGATAGTAAAGTAGGCGTAAGTTGGGTAATGTGCCAAGCTTAAGGTAGGTTGTTGGTTTTACCTCTGTGCTATAGTACCTAAATGTATTGAGAGTGTTACGCTATAAAGACATATGATCTTTACGGTATTTTTGATTTAAATTCTGTTTTCCACGCATGTATTATGCTTGTATTCAGATTATCTTTAAAAGGTATATAAATTAACCTCATGTTGGAAATAAATACATAAAGGAACAGTACATCATAACTGTCTCCCGTATAGTGTTCACATATTAGAGGTTTCACTGTACGTTTTATCTTGACATCTAAGTGTTAAATACATGTTCTAACATATGGTGAATTGTATCTTGAGAGCTACAACAACTTACTTCCTTTTTATGATTTGATCTGAAATTTTGAAATGAACCAATTATAAATTGATACGATACTTGTGTGTTGTCTCCCACCACTTTATGTTGTCATTACTGTGAGAATATTGGTGAATCTAAAACACTTGAAATTTTCCTTGTTCCTTTTGTTACATACAAATGATTGCTATGATATTATATGGTATAATATTAAACTATCGTATAAAACATTTTATAGAAACATAATATTCCAGAGTCCTTTTGATTCACGGACAAGTATCATGCTGTACAGATATGATATAAAAGGGTCCATTAAAAGTTTTCTGTAACTTACTGTATATGTTTATTGTCATTTAGAATATTTGTTGAGTGTGAACTGTGAAAACTTTAAAACGACTTGAAATCTGGAAGTTAAACTTAATACTCCCTCCACTTTCATACAGAATGACATTTAACTATTCATTGGTACATTTAACCCGCGACGTAGAGGGGGCGGGTGCAGATAGAATTATTTGCGAATATGAGTATAAATGTGTACATATAATCATATTTTAACCTTGTTATTAATGTGTTAATATAACTACTATATATATGCATGGCCCAGCGCTTCGATACATATAGACAGAAGCGCTTATATGCATGATAATAATAAACTTTTTATTTATAGAAGGTAATATATACAAAGTTTACACACACAAAAAAGAGAACATGTATATACTTTTCAGTACGGCCTTCTGATTTTACAATAATGCAATTACAAAGAAAAAAAGCATATTGCAGTAACATTTGTAAAAAAAAAGAACAATAATTGTAGATCTACATGATGTATAAAAAATTTGAATTCTTTTTTAGCTCACCTGTCACAAAGTGACAGGGTGAGCTTTTGTGATCGCTTTTCGTCCTGCGTCCGTCCGTCCGTAAACTTTTACTTTAAATGACATCTCCTCATAAACCACTAAGCCAATTTCATCCAAACTTCACAGGAATGTTCCTTTGGTGGTCACCTTTGAAAATTGTTATAAGAATTTAATTCCATGCAGAACTCTGGTTGCCATGGCAACAAAATGAAAAAACTTTAAATATCTTCTTATAAAAAACCGAAAGAGGTAGAGCTTAGATATTTGGCATGAAACATCTTCTAGTGAGTGTCTACCAAGTTTGTTCAAATAAAAGCCCTGGGGTCAAAATTGGCCCCGCCTCAGGGGGTCATTGATTTTCCCTATATGCATATAGTAAAAACTTAAAAAATCTTCTTTTAAAGAACCCAAAGAGCTAGAGCTAAGATATTTAGCATGAAACATGTTCCTTATATGAGTATAGCAAAAACTTAAAAATCTTCTACGAAAAATCCGAATAGCTAGAGTTCAGATATTAAGCATGAAACATTTTCTAGTAATTAAAGTGTCTACAAAGATTGTTCAAATAAAAGCCCTGGGGTCCAAACTGGCCCTGCCCCAGGTGTGTCATTGTTTTTAACTATATGTGTAAAGAAAAGACTTGGCCAGCTAGACCTTAGATATTTAGCATGAAACATCTTCTAATGGGTGTCTACCAAGTTTGTTCAAATAAAAGCCCTGGGGTTTAAACTGGCCCCGCTACGGGGGCCTATATACAGGTGAGCGACTTCAGGGCCATCATGGCCCTCTTGTTTTGTACATGCAAACGAAAATTCATATATTCTTTAATGTAAAGCTAAGATATTTTCATTTGTCTTGCTGACATTAATTATAGTACATATAGATAAAATCACAATAATTAAAAACATAACAATATCAACATTATCAACAGTTACACTATGAAGTGGTGTTGGTTGGCATTTTAATTTTCATCATGTAGCTAATTGTACAATATGAAAACGATTTTTACAGCTGTTTTTTTTTTTTTTTTTTTCGAATATTTTTTAAAACAGCAATGCTGAAATGAGAATTTTTTTAGTACTAGATCTTTAAAAGCGAGTGTTGATTTATTGTGAGAGAAGTCAGTATATATTCTCCTCGGTTATCCCTTCAGTGGCTTATAAAGATTTTAACAGGTTATATGGCCATATATAAACGGTTATATTGATTTATACCTTGAGTTGCTAAGCGAAAGCTATGTAGCAAACAGCACTTCATTTATTGCCTGTGAAGAATGTATATATCGAATTTATAATACAAACGTTCATTATAGAAAAAGGAACATAATTTCATGAATTGACAACAGTCGTGTACGGTACGTGTATATAGTTTATAAAAACCATACGATTATCAAATGCAAAGAGACTTTACAAGCGTGCAGTATTATAAAACAGTTAATAATAGTTTGTTTATGTTAAACGCAGAATACTATCGTCGGAGCCAGTCTTCAAGTTGCTCATTAAATGAATTTATGTTACGATAAAAATTACAAGGCAACGGGTACCACAAAACCTCCTTTGATTTAATCTTTGTCCGTATAAATGAACGAATCTCTGATGTCATATCTATATTAGAAATATCACCTATTATAACAGGCAAAATGATATTCCGTTTTGAGTATATGCCCTGATATGCAGCTAAATTAAACTCAAAGGTGTTCCAATAGTCATTACAGTAAGATGGCGTCAACAGTGCTATGACTTTACGACTTTTACGAATAGTTTTGGGTATGACACTGTATAATTTTTCATTGCCATCAAATTCCTCGCGAATGATTAATTTGTACCCTCGGTTTTCAAAAAATGGGTATACGTGTTCTGTAATTGTTCTATGCAATGTGACGCCATTGGTGATGTCAAAATGCTGTTCGTATGAAATGTAAGCGTCTATTTGAAGCAGAGGTTGTTCTTGATCATCCGGATGGTGATATGGGTCTATTTTGACTCTCCCTATATACCACAGATAACGTATTTGCCAACGCTTGTAATAAAGTAATGCTATAACTGAAAACACAAGTAATAATCCGACAAAACCGACCACACATGACGTCAGCACTATCCATGACGTGCATTCATACATCAGTTGTTCTGGTAAAATGTCAAGTGCCGATAAACTTATCACAGTTTTATTGATATATAAGCAATGAAGTTCGTCTTTTTGAACGATATTAACTTTTGTGTTGGCAAGCCAATTGATAAGATCTTGATTGTTACAGTCACACAATAGAAGGTTTCCGGTTAAAACAAGTTCTACTTCTCTTTTCGATGCTATGTAGTCAAGCGCATCCCTATTTTCTCTAGATATATATTCTATTACATTATTAAACAAATCTAGCTTTTGAAGATGTGCCATACGCCGTAACAAGAAGTTTACGTTTCTTATCGAATTGTTAGCTAAATTCAGAGTTTTTAAATTTGTCAAATTATGAAATATATTGTAAGGAAGTTCTTTTATTGCATTGTTACTTAGATCTAATTCTTCTAGTTTTTCCTGACTCGAAAAAGTTTGGCAATCATTGTCTCTGTTTAGAGAAGGGCCAATCTGATTGTTTTGTAACAGAAGTGTTCTAAGGTTCCCCATGTCGACAAGAGCACGTGGACTGAAGTACGTGAATCTGTTGTTTGACAAGTTGAAAAATTGAAGTTCTGTTAATCCACGCCAAGGTCCAAGGAAAGCTTTTAATAAACAGCTTGAAGAATCTAAATATCTTAATTTATTTGGTCCAAATGTCAAAGATGGCACAGGGATTCCTAATTTGATGTTGTTCATGTACATTGTCGTCAAATTTCTTGGTAGATCAATTTTGTCGTCTTTTTTATTATGACCATTCAAATGATTTAGCATATTGCTTATCTGTTCATTTGTGTTGTTGTCTTTATTTGTAACAGAGTCGTCAATAGTGTTGCTATATTGATAACTTATATCCAGCGTTTCTAGACTTTCTAATCTCCGGAAGTGGTCCAGAAATTTTCCCGAATCAATTTTATTTTCCTTTAGAGATATATATCTGAGAGTAACGGGAAGATTTTCAACACATTTAGGATCTATGTAAATAATTCTATTCCAACAGAGGTCCATTGTTTTAAGTGAAGTGTTTGTAAGCCCTTTCAGCATATTTTTTGTCAAACTTATATAAGCCGGAGAATTTCTACACCAAAAGTTGAATCGTATCATTTCTATATTTGTTTCATTTAGCCCAATGGTAGCGTTTTCAATGCCATCTGAACAAAGATGTCGATTATCCGTTATTACTAATGTTGTAAGATTTACCAAACTTCGGAATACATTTGGAGCTACTTTTATGACGTCACATCCTTCAAGATGTAAATGGGATAAAGGAGTTTGTTTGAATTGTTTGAAGGTATTTTCCGTTAAAAAAGGCATATCGCAATATCCATTTTCACCATCCAAATACAAGGCCTTTAGATTTGATAGCTTAGCAAATCCTTCGCTAAATTCTTTATTAGGTAAACCGTCTAAATGCAGATATCTCAGAGAAGTTGCAGACGACAAAGCAATATCCGGATAATAACAAACACTTGTATATACACAATTTCCTTGTAGATACAATTGAAGGAGTCTTCTTAATGGTTTAAACAAATCGTCTGCGTACGAACCATTCTTGTTTAAATAGTTATGATCCAATGTTAATAGTTTTAGTTGCATTAGACCGTTGAAAACTCCACTTTCTAAGAATTTGATTTTATTACGACTAAGCCTCAGTGTTTGTAAAGTTGAAAATCTTGCAAATGTTCCAGGTGAAATTTCTCCTATATTATTATTGGATAAATTAAGTTCTATAGTTTTGTTAGGAACACATCTGAATATATCAGATACATTTGTAAGTCCTAATTCCGAGCAATCTACAGTTAGCCTCTGTAAGTCAACTTTACAATTACATTGTTTGAGAATCTCCACTTCTCCACGGGTAAAATAGACAATACTTATCCATAAACACATTTGGATAATGCCTAGTTGCCGGTACATGGTTTGTTGAAACATCGTTAAGTTAAAACATCAATGATTAAAACATTGATCAACATAAGTTTATTTTCATACGAAAGCTAACGATCTGAAAACAAACAAAAAACGAAATATCACCCGCTGAATCGTGCATACATAGAATATATGAGCTGAAATTTAATACTCTTGTTTCGCCTCTATTGCCCAAGAGTGAACACTAATCTTTTATATATATATGATTCATAAGAATGCACGCCTTGTGAAATTTTATTACATTAATTGATAATGTATATATCCATCAATAAGTACGTTATATAACTCGCCAACAAGTTAGATTACCCATCAACGATTTATATTACCCACCAACAAGTTATGTTACCCACCAACGTCTTATATTACCCACCAACAAGTTATGTTACCCACCAACAAATTATATTACCCACCAACGTCTTATATTACTCACCAACAAGTTATGTTACCTACCAACGTCTTATACTACCGCAACCAACAAGTTATATTACCCACCTACGTCTTATATTACTACACCAACAAGTTATGTTACCCACCAACGTCAACGTTATATTACTCACCAACGTTTTATGTTTTACCCCACCAACAAGTTATGTTTACCCACCAACAGTTTTATATTACCCACCAACAAGTTATGTTACCCACCAACGTCTTATATTACCAACCAACAAGTTATGTACCCACCAACGTCTTATATTACTCACAACAAGTTATGTTACCCACCAACGTCTTATATTACCAACCAACAAGTTAATATTACCCACCAAACGTCTTTATATTAATCACCAACAAGTTATGTTACCCACCAACGTCTTATGTTACCCACCAACAAGTTATGTTACCTACCAACGTCTTATATTACCAACCAACAAGTTATATTACCCACCAACGTCTTATATTACTCACCAACAAGTTATGTTACCCACCAACGTCTTATATTACCCACCAACAAGTTATGTTACCTACCAACGTCTTATATTACCAACCAACAAGTTATGTTACCCATCAACGTCTTATATTACCAACCAACAAGTTATGTTACCCACCAACAAATTATGTTACCCACCAACGTTATATGTTACCCACCAACAAGTTATGTTACCCACCAACGTTTTATATTACCAACCAACAAGTTATGTTACCAACCAACGTCTTATATTACCAACCAACAAGTTATGTTACCCATCAACGTCTTATATTACCAACCAACAAGTTATGTTACCCACCAACAAATTATGTTACCCACCAACGTTATATGTTACCCACCAACAAGTTATGTTACCCACCAACGTTTTATATTACCCACCAACAAGTTATGTTACCCACCAACGTTTTATATTACCAACCAACAAGTTATGTTACCCACCAACGTTTTATATTACCAACCAACAAGTTATGTTACCCACCAACGTTTTATATTACCAACCAACAAGTTATGTTACCCACCAACGTTTTATATTACCAACCAACAAGTTATGTTACCCACCAACGTTTTATATTACCAACCAACAAGTTATGTTACCCACCAACGTGTAATATTACCAACCAACAAGTTATGTTACCCATCAACGATTTATATTAACAACCAACAAGTTATATTACCTACCAACTATTTATATTGTCTACCAACAAAATAATATACCCACTCAAATGTTTGATTAGCAATCCACAAGTTAGTTATAGTACCCACACAAACAAAATTGAATAAATAAATAAAAAAAAAAATAAGTAAAAAAATAAATGAAAGATAAATAAATATAAATAAATAATAGAAATGAATACAGGTAAACACTGATCATTTCAAATAAACTACTTAGAATTATATCTTCAAAACATTCAACATTATGTCTAAATTATCAAGGAATTTCAGCAGGTCAAAAATTCGAATCTGTTCCTTTGTCCGGAAAAAAGCCCCGCTAATTTGGCTATAACAAACTTTTTTCCTGCCATAATCGTATCCCGGCGGCGCAGCCTCACACAGAACGTGTAGGCCACTGTCTACATATTTTTTTTTAAAAAGTGAGAAAAAAAAATAAAGATAATAAATGCTCGCCGAGTTGCATTAAAACACCATGCGTTCAGATCCATGCTAATTCTCACGAAAATTTAAAAATATAAAATATTGTAAAGTGTAAAATAAAAAAAAATACACATTGCAAACTTTTTTCTCATAAAGTACCGAAAATGTGTCGGAATATGTAAAAATAGCTCTTACTGCGTTAGTCACGCAGTATAAATAAGTAAAGTGATAAATAATGCAAATCAGTGATTAATCGCACATAACATGTAAATTATTACTTGAATCTTTTTTTTTACTTTTCTTAAAATCTAAGAACATTTTTATAAGTTTGATTTTCTTGAAATATTTTGCTCATCTGGATGCATGCCGCTCAAAATATTGTCAGAATGCTATGCTTATAATATCCTATCGTGTGCAATAGGCGCACACAAATCCCAGACATTTCCTCAGTGGGAAAACAATATCTTGAAACAAGGGACTCCAGATTGATAAACAATTTAAATAAATATATAATAAACCTCATTATTTTAATGTGCATATAAATATAAAAGAGCTATTAAGATGTAGCGCCTGGGACGCTTGGAAGAATGCCAGATTTATGTTATATGTACCTTATTTTTCAATATATATATTCTTTAACATTTGATATTTTTTACCAAAAGTTATTAAAATCCCTACATACCTTGAAACATATCCAGTATATTAGCTTTTCATAAAAACCGTTTGAAAATTATTTTAATATACTGGTTTACTAACTAACTCTGGTTTATCAAACGCTTGATTGACACATCACATAAATAACACTTGACTTGCTTGATGTTAGCTAGACATTAAAAGTACACGGATCTATACATGTATACAGTCAAACCTGTTGATAAAGGTCAACCAAGGGAGAGGCCGAAAATGTCCTTTAAAGACAAATGGTCTTTATTTGGAGATTAATTTGTTATTTTTCAATCAATGAAAAGTTGTTTTAACACGACCTCTACACACATGTTGATCTTTATACAGAGGTGTTCGTAGATAGGGTTAACTATACATTGTTTTATGGACGGGAGTTGTGCTTACAAGTGCGTGCGTGTGTTCAATATGGAAAAACGGGAGCGACTGACTCGAAACCTTACTATAATGTTTGTACAAAAAACCTTTTTCACACAGTACGATATTGTTATTAATTTAGTAAAAAATAAGAACATTACATGAATAATCTAACCGCTAAAGATATAACACAGATGTCGTTGGGGCAAAGGATGCCTTTTAATTCCCATTCGGTATTTTTATAACCACCTCTCCTGCCTTACGATCACTCGCTGTCGGGTGCCCACATTTTAACGATATTTACGGGCCCAAACATTGTCCGTTTCTCATAAAGAGGACAGTAGTTACTAACGTAATTTATTCAGCAATCTATCACATGATTTAGATACATAGAGGATATTCAAGTTTTTTCTATAAATACAGGAATTATTTTCATCGAGTGGTTTAAAAAATAAATTTTTAGAATTTAGAAGAAAGAAGTCTGGCAAGACACCAGTGAAAATATGGAAAATATGTTTCACTTCAGTTAAAAGTAATTTTTTACAGTGAAAATACAGAAAATGAAAATTATTTCATCATTTTTTCTCCATTATTCATTTATAGGTATATTATAAATTTTGTTATTATTTAACGATGACAAACATTGACTTCGGAACGAAAAAATAAAAACGACAAATGAGCCGTGTCATGACAAAACCAACATAATGGGTTTGCGACCAGCATGGTTCCAGACCAGCCTGCGCATCCGCACAGTCTGATCAGAATCCATGCTGTCCGCATACCAAGTCTATTACAAGTAGAGAAACTGAAAGCGTACAGCATGGATCCTAATCAGACTGCGCGGATTAACCCATTATGTTGGTTTTGTCATGACACGGCTCAAATAAGAAGTTTAACACAACAAAAACTGTTTTCTGTTTTTATCGTTTCCTGATAAAGAAAATCTCACCATAAGTTTTGAGAACAATAAAGCAGAAGGTTCGTTGGAATCTTTTTTTTTTATATATTTTTCCCCTTCAATTACTTAATTCTTTCTATTCGAAATAACAACATATTTTATGGTATCTGTTTCTTCTATCACAATAAATGAAGAATGTCCGTAACCGGAACAAATGATGTCTCAGCAGCCAGTGTCCGTTTTTGCTATACAGACCTTATGACCGTAACGATTCTATTCAGCCCAATACAAATAGTTTCGTTTGGCACACCATTAGGTCCAGCATCCGGCTGTCCGTTAAGAGCGCATAAACATGAATGGCAAAGTTTGAAGTCTAGACCCGCGCTGTTGGTGATTCGGATATGTTCATTACTGATATAGAGTGTAATGATGTCAACATTGTCAGCAAGAGCGTCGACGATATGCATCAAACTTTAATTGAAGGGCAATTGTCGCTCGGATATACTGTGATGTTAGGAAATAGTCCCTGCGTCTCTGCATCGTTCATTTGGTCATTATCATCACCCCCTTGAATGGAAATAGTCATGAAAATATAAGAATATTTTAAAAACATTGAACAGACCATTTTAGAAGAAGTTAGAAAAATATATGTGTATAATGATCAATCTTGCGAAGAATTTAATTAATGTTCATAAATAAACATTTACAAATTAATTATGTGAACACTTACAAATGAACACTAAACTATACGAAATGTAAACAAATAAACGGAAATTGTTGGTTCAAATTATATCGGTGAGAAAGAAGATATAATCAAACTTTCCTTTATCTAAAAAGGCGGTGTATGCTGTTGGTAAACTTTTAGACTTTATAAGTTAGCTTCTGAGTTGGTCCATATATAGGCATATCTCTTTGCTCCTCTACGTAAAGTAAGACAAGAGCATCGCTAATTCTCTCGGGCTTATAAAAAGCATTTCTATACTATATAAGCTTAAAAGGAAAATTATGTAATGTTACTCCTTGAAGAAACTCCTCGATACCGATTGTGTGTGAGTATAAATCAGATTGCCGAGTGTTTTGTTGTTCTTTCTCTTTTGTATCATAGTCAAACATGACAGCACGTTCCCTGTTGTCATAATATGAAACCCCAGAAAAAATGAATATGATATTTCTGCCCCTTTCCCTTTCTCTGCCGTCACAATAAGTAAACCCCAGCAAAAATGAGCCAATCAACGGGCATTATCTGGAGTGCGGGTAACTGATACCTGCACTCCAGTTACCGCACTGTGCATGTATATGTATACAATTTAACTCTGACACTTTTTCAACAGGCAGGTCCCCAAACTATGATACAAACATATTGTTATTGTTGAATGAAATAAAAACACAGAGAAACTTCTTTTGCGATCATTACGTTTTTTTTTCAAAAAGAAGTCCTTTTATGACCTTAAAACATACAAAACATTGGTTAATGTAATAAATAAAAGTAAGCAAAACAACTAACATGATATAATGCATGAAGTACTGTAGCATAAAAAAAGAGTAAAGAAATACTTACATATCGTTCAGTTGAGTCATGCAACAGTTAATACATAGGAACTTACGTATTGTCAAACCATGTAGCGTCATTTCTATGCGCGGATATGTAACCTTTTGGTCGTACAAACACAATTTAAATATAATGTAATTGGATATACATTTCATGAGCTTGCTATTATTTTTCTTTATCAACCTGAAAATAGGAAAAGCAAAAACAGTAGGTTGCTTAAATTATTTCAGCAGATTATGTCATATATCAAATCATTTACATAAAGCAAACGCATAAGACATTATACATCCCGGTTAAGGCCTCAACAGCAGTAGGCTTTTGAAGTAACTAAGATGTACCAGCAAATCTTAATGTGTGAAGGCTACTTTTTCTTGAATTCGTAAAATTTAAGTCTAGGTGTAAGGGTTAGGACATGTTCTATTTTGAAAATCTTGTACAGATTTCTACAGACCTCCCACAATGACAAGTAACAGATTATCAAATTATCTCTTGATAATGGGTGTAATGAATGAAATTCCAGAACAATTAGAGCTAAAAGGTAAACATAGTAGTAAAATGGGGTAAAAATGATGTTGAAAAACTCTTCAGGAGAACCAAAGTTGTGGTATATTCGAATTCCAAATTATTCCGAAAATGATTATGTCCCCGTATTGAACTCAATCAGGGATGTAGTTTGTAGGCGGCCAGATAGCTCAGTCAGTAGAGGCACGGTACGGTATTCCGAGGGTCCCATGTTCGATCCTCGGTCAGGCTGCGCATTAAAAAAAAATGAAGGTGCTTCACTCATTACTCATGGAGAAAAAAATATTTAGTGAGTAAAGTATGTAAGGGATCAATTTGGAGGGACCTTTATTTTAGGGAAACCTCAGATGATTCCTACAATGCAGAATTACAGTCTGATTGCAATTAAGTGTTGTATTGCTTTGAAAATTGTACATCTTATCTCTAAATATAGTTGTACAACTAAATCCTACATTAAAATGACAAGTTAAACTACCTCTATTTTCGATACATTGATAGCTAAAATGTATGGCCGGTATTTTTATCTTTTCCTTCGTCGCCGGCATGTTTTCAACAAATTGATTATAAATGAAATGTAAGAAATTACACGACATGACGAATGTGACGTTTTCATCTTTGACGAGCTCGATATTCCCGCGTATATTTAAACCGATATTGACCTTAGATTCGATGTTCTCCATTGCAAGAATATGAATCATTTTGTTACTTTGTAATTAGCAAGGCTTCATAAATGATTAAATAGTACAAGAGGAGCATTGTATAAGAATGTTTGTCATGGTTATTAATTATAATGCATACATGTATATACTTTTGAGATAACTTCTTTACACAATTCATAAAAACTTCACATTTATTTAACCCGTAATAAATCAAGCAAAACTTTAAGACTCTATAATTATTATCATAAAGTTTTTACGTACAAGATACTGGAATGCTTTCCTCTGTTGTTTGTTCAGTAACTCCACTACCTTCTGATGTATGTTCAGTATTTCTCGTCATCTCTGTTGTAATAAGTTGACTTTTTGAACTTGTTTTTGGGAGAGAAGACAGGCTAGTTTTACTTTCCTTACTCTCTGTTAGCCATGGCTTTTCATTCTTCTTTGGCCATGAAAAGCCATTACTTTTGCTCTTCGTTGACCAAGGAAACCTATTGCTTTCGCTTTTTTGTGGCCATAAGAATCCATGACTTTTACTCTTAAATCCGGTTTGAGAGTTTTTGTCTTCTTTAGATGATGAACGTGACGATTTGTATTTACTACTGTGTAACGATTTTCTATGGGAGTCTCCTGATTCGGAAGAATGACCTTTTACTGATGCCTTAGATTCAGAATGTTTTGATTCCTTTGACGAGCTTTCAGATTTTGTTTTAGAAGATGAAACGCCCGACTTACTGATAGAGTTTCTCCAATTATTATTAAATGTGGGCCTTTTAAAAAGCCATCCACCCACATCTCCAGCTTTATTTGATCTAGAATTTTCTCGAGAACCAGACGTCTTTTTGCCAGATCCATCAACATTACCCCAAGAGCTCCAATTAGTTTTTGTATTTGAAGGTTTTTTTAATACTCCGGAGTTACCAATTCCACCATTTTTGCGTGATCTAGAACTATCTCGTGAACCTGATGTTCTTTTACCAGAACGGTCAACATTACCCCAAGATCTCCAATTTGTATATATAGGTTTCTTGAAAATGTTGAAACCACCAAAGCCTCCAAAATGACGTGATCTAGAATTATCTCGTGAACCAGATCCTTTAACACTGCCCCATGCATTCCAGTTTCTATTCGTTCTTGTAGGCTGTTTTAATAAAGATCCAGTCCCAAACGTGTGTAAATCTTTATTATAAAATGTTTTTTGGTTTTGAAAGTTATTGCCGTATATTCCCCATGTTGACATTACTACATCAAATGAAGCTGCTAAAATGATAAGTTTCAATAGAGTACCCAACATTCTGAAAATATATCATAAGTTGGCTCAATACATATAAGTAACCCTGGAAGGCACCTAAAATGTGTACTTTATACACCATTGTCGTCTATAATCATTTCTTTTGTTCGAATCGAAATAATATTTTTTGTACAGGTATGTTTTCATAAGCATTTGAATTCCTCTTAATTTTAAGAACTAGTAAAATGTAGGTGAATAGTTATTGTTTTCTTAAATCAGCTATTTCTTTAAATGTTACGTTAAACCATAAACTATATAGATATGTGAAGAATACTATTAAAACGTTCAAAATGTATAAATTCACAAAATATATAAATACACACTCTATATTGCTATAGCTCCGTAAGCGGCTATGTGAATATACTGCCGTTACTTCATTCAAAGTGAATGGTAGAGATGCATTCGACAGATATGCAGTGGAGTATCTATTGCCTTCCCTGTATTTAAATTGTTAATTAATGTGAGTCAATAAGATAGGGATGGGGCGTCCGTGCCTGAATGGTTAAGGTCGTTGACTTCAAACCACTTGCCCCTCACCGCTGTGGGTTCGTATCCCGACAGGGACTTTGGATTCTTTCATGTGAGGAAGCTATCCAGCTAGCTTACGGAACGTCGGTGGTTCTACTCAGCTGCCCGTTCGTGCCTGAAATAATGCATGGAAGGGCACCTGAGGTCTTCCTCCACCAGTATAGCTGTAACGTCGCCATATGACCTATACTGTGTCGATGTGACGTTAAACCCAATCAAACAAACAAAGAGATATGGGAAGCTATTTTGAGATATTTATATCAGATACTAACAATTACCCAAGTTATTTGTTCTTATCAGTAATGAAAGTATGAAACTGCAATTCATGATTTAATTTACTAAACTTATCTTAATTGTTTTTATTTTCTTGGCAATGGGTCTGTCTACAAGACACAATTGATAAATTTTCAACTTTTCATTAAAATTCTAGAATAATGATAGACTATCACTATTTCTACAATCTTGACTAATTCATCATTCTATCTTTTATTTAGTTAAACTGTATCAAAATATATTACCTGTAAATATCAATTACTTATCATAACGCAAATTGTTCAGCTGCTAATTAATCCCTTGTGTTTCTCTTTCCTATTACTCAATGATTTTATTTGTAGCAATTCACCACCCCAAATGGAACTTGGAAGGGCCAATAATTTTTGCCGCAAGTGTTACGCAGACAACTAATCCTTTAACATATACTAATTCTTCTATAATCAGTATTTACAAGTTCTTATGTAGGTGATCATTGATGCCTCATTTAACACTGTCATAATCTCAAAGTAAAGATAGATTAGCTATATGCACTTGTGAGAATACCCTTCGGTTCTCCGAGTTCAGAACACAAGTCGTTCATTTTGAAAGAAAGATGTAGAGACATGTTCTGTGTTACAAACTTTATAATGTTATTTGACATGTGTGTGTGTGTATTTTTATTTATCTCCTGGCTTCGAGATACTATGTCGTGGCCACGAGATACTATGTCGTGGCCACGAGTTACTAAGTCGTGGGAACGAGATAACTAAGTCGTGGCCACGAGATAATTAACCAATCAGAATACACTATATATATATATTATGATTCTTTTTAACTTAACAACTTACTTTAACATGCAACGTTAATCTTTGAAAATACTGAAGATATTCGCTATGAACTTGTCTTTAGGATCATATTACAAAGTCACCTTCCAAGGTCCATCACACAAGAATTTTGACTATAGACCTTTGTTGGGACAGTTCTGTGATATAATTGGTCAGTTTGTACGTACTACGGCCTGTTAACCTTGTTTATACGATAACTTGAGAAGGAATAAGTAGGGACATTGCCCATGGACAGTATAAAGGAAAAATCCTTGTCTGAAGGGACAAGCAATGGTTTATATAACCCAGAAAGATCATTGCACCTGATCAGTAGATGACATCTAATAATTTCGAGGTCATTGGGTCAAAAATCAGGGTCACAGTGACGCTAAATGTAAAATTATTGACCAGTCAATAAGTTGTATAAATGGCACTTTTACAGGCTGGTGAAGTAGGGGCATCCTTGTACTATAGCACATGTCTAGTTAATTAGGGAAATTCATATAAATGGTGTAATCTGATTGGTTATTTATCTCGTGGCCACGACATAGTATCTCGTGGCCACGACTTAGCTATCTCGTGGCCACGACTTAGTAACTCGTGGCCACGACATAGTATCTCGTGGCCACGACTTAGCTATCTCGTGGCCACGACTTAGTAACTCGTGGCCACGACATAGTATCTCGTGGCCACGAGATAAATAAAAACACACGCATGTCACCTTTGTACCTCCGTAGAAGTAGCTTCAATAATAAATGAAATAATTAAATATATAACTTCGCTTATTTTTGTTTCACTTCATCGAAGATTTTTCAAAAGAATTAAATGTTAAAATCATGTCCACGTTCATGCATGAAAAGAGTATTATATTGCATTGATTAATGAGTAATCGACATTCATAATACATTTACTGATGCTTTTAAATTAATACCACAAACTATCTATTCAATTGTTTAAGTTGGCATTGTCATTGTCTAATAATGAAATTAACTAGATATGGAACAACATCATTAAATCTATCATCTAACAAGATGTCCATATTGTCTAGCGAAACTTAATCTAATCTATATCTCTTTCGGGAAAAAAAACAAAACATTTATTCTTAAATTGAATATTTTTAATCAGATGTTAAGGTAACGTGAACGGTAATGCAACTACTAAATTATGATAAACAGAAAAATCAATGTTAGTTTTCGCCTTCTGGAATACTTCGATGGTAAAATATCCTGCCTATAAACCACCTGCTAGTGAAAATATCCACTTTCTGTAGGAACATATGCTGGTTAAATGTCCAACTTTTTGGAACCATCTGTTTTGAAATATCTGTCCTTTAGAAACAATCAGCTGAAATGTAATCCGGTCTGAGAGATCAATCTGCTTGTAAAATCACAACCAAAGGGTCCAGCGCTGCGGTAAAGGACCAACTCTTATAACGCGTAAGGAGATAATACTGTCACTCTTGAAACAATTAATTTATTACGATTTAAAATCCCCTATGCGCTTACATTTGTCATGTTGGCGATTGCTATGTGTAATATATTTTAATTTTTAAAAAGAAAGAAACTAATACAAACAGTATGAACTAGCTAGTACATTTACACTAATTTCATGCGCCAATATTTTGTATTTCAACTAAGGCAGAAAACCAATCTTTTATTTGCTTTGTACGTAGGCTTTAAAATCAACAAAGTTGGGGTCATCGTAATTTCAGTTTACCAACACAAGTGGTCAATGTTTTCTCTATTGATTATTAATATTGATCAGTCTTTTGTAACCGAGTTTTATTTACATGTGTATATGAATTACATACAATATGACCATTTGATAATAGAGTTACTTTTTCTGACGAGATCACAGTGATTATGCAGGTCATGTGACCCTTAGGCTGACTAAATATCGGATTAAGATTTTACAATCGAATAACTCCGCAATGGTGAACATTTTATGACCTCAACACTTTTGAAAGACCATTGTTATTGCGAACTTAAGTATTTATATATGTTGTTTGATTCAATAACAAAGTAAGCAAAATTGTAATTTTTAACGCATTTTTGTATTTGGTTAAAAAGGAAAAGCTATAGTTTTGTGTTTCGTACTTACGGATACATATCAACAACAATTTGACTGTTTGGAAGTGAATAGTGGAACGTCTCTGTTATAGCAAGTAGGTGCTCTTGTTGTTGTTATTGTTATTGTTGTTGTACCTCTCGGTAAATTTAGGTATTCGTTGTTTAAAGAGTTTAGGTAGAAGTTATTATGGGCTGCTGATACGCTACCGGACGTTTGTAATGTCATATTGAATCTGGTTATAATATACCCTCTACTGAATTGTCTTGTCTGTCTGCTTGTGTCACTTTCAGTAGGTTGGTAAACGGCCCAGTTCAGTTACAAGAGCATTGTGCCGGCTGATATTCAATACATTTTCAGCATTATACCGACGGGCAGTTGCCGTATTTTTTACTTGCCTTGTCTGTCACACAAATAACATAGAGAAGTTGAAATAAAGATAAGGGATATAATGTCATAAGACATGTTATATTAAAATTTAATCGCCTTGACACAATGTTAAAAGGTATAACACTGTGCCTACTGAAGTAGCCAGATAGGTTTGGTTTGGTTGGGAGTCTATTTCAAGTTTAAAGAGACTCCACTGAGGTTTTTTGACATAATGGGACTGAAAATATTTGTTCCAGATAAATGTGCCATTTGATGTAGGTTTAGACCATTAATCTTTCAGATTTAAAATTTCATATCATTCGCGAACTTCGTTTTTCCAGAATAATTATATAAATTGCAAAAATGACCCAAAATGAAAAACGTTTAAACACTTTTCATTCAAATCTGACTACGAAAAGCATATAAAATACGATTTTCAATTTATTTCAAAGTATATTTCTTACTATCTTTGCATATATTTCTGTTTAAAGTGTCCCAGCTCATTTATGTAAGAAATTCAAATGTTAAGTTTTTATGCTTTTAAACCTCAGTGGAGTGCCTTTAATTGCGTGTATAGGAGTTGAGAATGTAGTAGAATTTCAAAACAGGGAATAATCGATGATGTGTTTGTACATTTTGTAAATTATTTGATTTTTTAGCAAGTTCAAAAACGGACGTGAGTTAATTTACAATTACTTTATATATCAACAAGAAACCTAAGTGATCTAATCGTCTAAACGTGCCACCGGTATTATCATAACATAATCTCTCAAATCTGGTTACTTCATATAATCCGTTCTTAATACAAATGTTAAAATACACGATATATCACAATATGGGCATTAAACAATATGACCTTACCTAAGGGTGTCAACCACAACCTATTTACTAAATGTATATTATACAAACGAAAATTAGAATTAAATGTCTTTCTTTTTTATGATGTCTGACATATTGTAGATCTTTAATCAGAGGTTAAAAACTGTTAAACGGTTCATAACAAAAGGCAACCGTTATAAATAACAACGGTTAGGCCAAGTTTAACATAAGTTGACATTTCCACATATACTTTATTTTCCCTTAAAGCGAGAGAGCAAGACCGCTATAATAGATATCGCATGCCTTTAAAAGTCAATTCGATGACGAATCCATGAATTGTTTAATCATTATTCTCTTTGTAGAAAAGCTGAGGAGATAAAGTTAAATGATGAAACATAAACGGACTGTCGTCTGGGCGTTACGACTGTTATTGTGGATCGGGTTAGGAATATGTTCCATTGTGATTCTATATCAAGGTATTATATACTATATTACTTGCATTTCACGCGCGGAATCATTACCAGTTTTATAGTACTGCACGTTTGTAACATCGCTTTTCATTGGATAATCATGACGTTTCTATGGTTTTATATACACGGCTGCAATCAATGTATGAAGACATCTCAATTTTTTTCCGCAAAAAAGTAAGTTTACTTATTATGAATTCGTTATAAATATTCCTGACAGGTTATATGACCATATAAAAACGGTTGTTTGCAATAAAATTCCAAACAACCGTTTAGATAGGGTCATAAAACATGTCAAAAATCTCTATAACTAATATTATAATATTCTACGTTTGTAACGTTGCTTTTCATTGGAGTATCGTGACGTTTATATAACCCATATTCACGGCTGCTGTCAATTTATGAAATTATGTCCTTTTTTTCTATAATAAATATAATAATGTATTATAAATTCGTTAGGTAATATGGCTGTATAAAAACGGTTGTTTGCTATATAACTGGTCACTTCGAAGCTCGGGTTATATATATAAACAACGTTTGTACAGGGCTATATAACTTATCAAAAATCTTTATAACAAATAATATCAAGTTATCATAAACGAATCACCATTTTCATAAAAAACGTGTAGAAAAGGGAGGTTATTTTTATTATTTTAGAGTGGTTTGTAAAACGAATACAGTATCATTGTTGGTTTTGGTAGTTATCTAACTTTTAACCACATCTTCAACATCCTACATCTCTCTTCAAATGCACCAGCCTCATTTTCCGTATCTGAACTTCGTGAAAGCACACGCAGTTTAATGTCTCATTTATTGCATGGTGCAATATTGAAATATATGATGTATTTCGATATATAATAAATGCAAAACCAATCTAAAATGGATTTATTGGGACACTATAATATTCATACATTACACAAGCAGGCCTACTATCGGAACACCATAATACAGACACACTATTTCCCTTCAAGCAGGATAAGCATTGATTATCTTGTTACAATCTTTTACATGAGTTACATAACCTTATTGAATAAAACATTAATCGATTTAATAGCTGACTTGAACAACATTGGTAATCTTCTTATCATAGACCCGTGCCGCTTTTGCGACTCCGTAAAAATGGTATAGCACGGCCGTTCATATTTTGACGTGACGTCATTTTGCTTTATACAAACATAGCGTAAAGACGCATGTACATTGTAAGTGCGTCAATGAAAAGTGATTCTTACTCACTTTAAACGGTCTTTATTTTGGATATGTGATAAATAAAATAATTAATATATACTTTGAGGTTCATTACTGAATTTATTGAACTCTCGTTGAATAAAAACAAATGAGCCGCGTCACGACAAAACCAACATAATGGGTTTGCGACCAGCATGGATCCAGACCAGCTTGCGCATCCGCGCAGTCTGGTCAGGATCCATGCTGTTCGCTTACAAACTCTATATCAAGTAGAGAAACTGATAGCGAAAATCATGGATCCTGATCAGACTGCGCGGATGCGCAGGCTGGTCTGGATCCATGCTGGTCGCAAACCCATTATGTTGGTTTTGTCGTGACGCGGCTCAAATATTTTTTGCTCGTCAGATAATCGATCGCATAATAAGATCAAATAAGAGATGAACTGATTATCAATGATTTTATAAAACTGCGCGTGTGTAACTTCGCTATTCATTTAGAAAATAGATATCAAATAAGAGCGCTTTGTTATAGAAAAAAGATTTAAATTCTGAGTGCATTGCTGTAGAATTATGTACAGTTCGAGTTCAAATGCGTAGCCTAGGAATACAATCACGAAGGCCGGTAGGCCTGGATGATTAATTATGAAGCATGTTAGAAGGAAAAACCGAAAAAAAGAATTACATTTTAACATGCTTATTAAAAGGAGAACTGATACAAAAAATAGATCCTTGTTGAAATACATTGAGCGTAGAATTAATTTTCCTGACGTCATTTTGCTGTTTTATAAATTCATTATAGGGGCCTATAAAAATGTCAGACATGTTATATAACCATGTATAAACGGTTGTTACTTCATGTAACGGAAATGTTACTTTACAACCATTTACACTGAACCATGTAACATATAAGACATCTTTATAACTGATATTATATTATATAATATATTTATTACTAAATGTCTTGGACTCGTAGTCTCGTAAAATAAAATTATTCTATTCAACAAGTTCAATGACATCAGAACATATATTCATTCACATCTTTGCATATAAAATTGTTACTAGATTTTACCATTCACTGAAGCTGACCGTCTTAATACCATGTCGCAATTGACATTACGCCAGAGAAGGGATCGCTCCGCCCACTGATTCACGTGACCCGGTCAGTAAGAACCTTAGACAAAATACGGTACCGATGTATTCGCAAAACTGTTAAACTACTTATGTTACCAATGAAGTTACCTTACATAAATTTTGTATATATAAAATTTTGATGCTTTTAATGGTTTTATAGAATAGTAGATCTATTATGCAATGTACTCGTATTAATGTATTAAGATATTTTAAAAATGTCAAAAAAAAAATAAATCTGCATTCACTTATTAATGACGCATGAAGCGTTTTGCAAAGATCGTGTTATTTCTTTTTGACTTCAATGAATATTTAAAACTGACAAAATATAATTATATCTTTCAATTTCAAAGAGAGACTATATGTAGAAAAGTATATGATATGATCGTTTTATTTTGAAATTGAAGTAAAACAGTAAAATTATATTAGTGACACAAATAAAATTTAAAATCATTTTTTCGTGTTTTATGTGCGAAATTAAATATAGATAATACAATAATTTGTTCATGAATTGTTAAAACTGATTGAGAAAATTGCAAGACCTTGCTAACGTTTTATGATACATGTATTTGATTATGTATTGTTAACATACATTTGACATGATTTACGACACAACACAACGTTATTCTCTTTAAAATACACACAATTAAAACTCTTCACATAAATCAGACATGATGTTATTGGTATTAGTTTGTATTAAGTAGATCTATTTGAATATTTTATTTAATTTATTGAACTTTAATAGAAATATTCAGGTTAGATATTTTTACCCAATTTTTTTATTGTATTTACTCATTATATTTGCATTTTACGGCTGCGTTTTTATTGACTCTATACGTTATAAACAAAATATGTCATATCATCTGGATATTCTGGTACCTTATAATATGCAATGTGATTATGAATAGATATAATGGAAATAAAAAAATGGATTTCTTTAAACCTTTTCCCTTTTCAATGCATTGTATAATGTTTTGTACTTATTATTTCCAAATGTAGAAATTTATTGTCCTTTTGTATAATAAACTAACTTACTCGAGCTGTCAATATGTCAGTATATTCTGTGGCCTCTGCCAGTTTGATTGACAGGCGGTGTAATGTCATTTAAGTTTTTTTTTCTCTCTATTTTTGGAAACAATATAGCTACTAGAAACTAGTTGAACGCCTTTGTACCTGTCGTTCCACACAAGCCTGTAATAATAAATATACGGGTCCTCCTGTCCAGTCAATCTGTGTTTATCCCGTGATGTTGCTCTTTTCTTGGCATTGATTTCTTACTTTATTTGAAAATCTCATACATTAAGCAAGGTCAGAATGACGTGGACGCTGGGTTTCCTTTCCTTTTGTATATGTTGGTTTTTTTTTATATTTCAGGTTTATTTAGTAGAAGGGACCCAGCTGTCAAGGTATCTATATCTCTCTCTATATATATATTACCCTTTTTAAGAAACGGTATGCGGGCTCGGACTTTGAATGCGTCCTCTTGGTTCTGTAGATGTTAATGCACGAAAAAAGATGCATTAACCCTATATTAATACACGAATGAGGCTTTAAATGATATATACATTCCGCAATCGTAAATCATTTGCCGTATGGAGGATTCTCTTGGTTTTGAAACTATAATAAAACGAAAAATATCGAAATATGCCGGATTCATTCGAGCTGACGACGATCCGATTAAAATTTCATCATTTTTCTGGAGTTAAAAGGTTTAAATTTTATTCTCTTTTTGCAGGGTGTTCAGCCAAATATGTTAGAAGTGAATGCTGTCAAATATCATGAGACAAATAAAGTTGATATAGAAAAGGCCATGCCAGTTTTACAACTATCAGAAAGCGTACGCAAGGCATGTTCTGCTGAAGTGAAACAATCAGGTCCATCTCGCGTTCTTTCGACTTTACAATATATTCCTGGTAAAAACATACTATATTGTCCCGTTGAGAAAATTGGAACAACATTTTGGAGAAGAGTATTTTATACATTTGCATTTAAACATTCGAAAGACAAGTTACCGTTTGACATCCCTGAAGAATTGGCTCAGGAAGAGATTAAAGATCATTTTTCTAAGTCTTATTCATCCGATTTCCCAACTGATTACTTTTCATTCATGTTTGTACGAAATCCATTTTCCCGCCTTTTATCAGCGTACGTTGACAAAATTGTTGCCCCTAATCCGTTCTACTGGCGGCAGTTTGGTGCGCTAGCAGTTAATAAATACCGCCAAAATGTTAATAAGACAGCCGTTAGAGGTCACGACATAAGTTTCGCTGAGTTTGTGAGATTAGCAACTGATATGGAAAGCACAAATATGTATAAAGATCCTCATATCAAAAGTATTGGAACTAGTTGTCATCCGTGCCATCACAATTATTCATTCATAGGGCGGATGGAAAATTTCAAGGAAGATTCTTTATATGTTTTAAAGAAGATTGAAGCGCAAAATGAAATGATAAAAACACTGGATAGTCAATGGGACACGCTGTCTACAAAAGCATCCATTGAAGTTAATATCGAGTATTGGTTTGACAGTAAATCACAGATATCTAAATACATTTCATGGGAGAAGGCGTTAAAGAGATTTTGGCTATATATGCAGATGCGGGGTCTAATAGAAAAAAGACTACCGCTTAATATAACAACAGATAATGTTGAAAAGATAAGTGCTAAAGACTTTGAAAATCTTGTGAAAGAGGCCAACAATGCCTCAAATAAAGCGGAGCTAAGCAAACAAAAACGTGATGTTAAAATAGAAGCATTTACTAGCGTAGAACCCTCTCTTTTGAAGAAATTTGTGTATGTGTTTCGAAAAGATTTTGAATTGTACGGATATGATCCATCGCCGTCGTATATATTTAAACGTGACGACACAAAAATAACGACGAAGTTTTTCAATTATCCACATTTGAACTAGTAACTATGTCAACAAACATATCGATGTACGGTATATCAGCTGATGATGATAAACCGGAGTTTTATCTAGAAAGGAACTATGGTTGACTGATTGGTATACTCCATCATTTGTTTTGTCCTATATATGTGAATGCCAATGCTTTACTCTCCAAGTTTTATTTGACTTTTGTATGTGACTGGCATTATTCCTTATTTTGCATTATATAAATTTAAATTGAAACTTTGAATGGACGTTTATATCAATTTTGACTTGTGAAGTCGACCAAACGTTTCATGCAATTATACTGAAAATAAATTTTGATACCACAGGTGATCAGTATAACTATGGGATTTTACTCACTAAAGTTGAAACAGTATGTGCCTATAGACCCTTAAAGAAATCATGATCACAAAGCAGGAAAAAATTGCTTTTTTCGCCGATTCACACATTTTTCATTCACTATCGTATATAAATCGGTGTGAAGAGTTGAATAAGGCATTATCAAGTTCATTTCGTAGGGTGAAATCATTCAATCATCCAAGCGCCTTATCCGGTCTATACCGGAATATGGTATTAAGTGTGGTGTTCCAACAAATTTGTTAGTCTCACTCATAACAATGTGTTACTTTTAGAAAAATGGCCAGTACATGTGTTAATGGCCAGAGAAGACAAAGAAAGACAAAGAGAAGACAGAGAAAACCTTGATATCATGTGTATGTAATTAAGTTTTTTGTTTTGTTTTTTCTTTCAACTAGTTATGTTATTTTGTGTGTAAGTAACTTTGAAAGAAATGTTAATTTAGTGTTTGCTGATAAGCATTTACAAAATTTAATTTAATATAGCCGATTTACTAAAGTAAATGTGTTAAGATTCGTTTGAAATACTGCATTTCTATCGGACAAAAATTATTTCAAACACGAAATAAGGTTTTAAATAAACTCTTTATCATTAGCTGAGTAAGCAAACATATATAAAATTACATTGAAACTGAATAAATATCACGTAAATATCACGTACACACGTCGTTTATTTAACAGGAAAAAAAAGTTGTCTGTCAAGTTGAAGCTAGTTTAGTCCGCATTTACAACAACATTGGTAGGAAACTACGTTATCGCGCACCTGCAAAATGCTCTCAATCGGACTGGGCTTTTTTTTGTTAAGGAAAAATAGGTTTTTATTCGAATATCAAAAAAATAATGTGGCACACCAAAGATTGGCTTTAGTACTTGATGTATTTTTTAAAAAAACGTTTAAAGTTTTACTGCCTAGTTTAGTCCTGTTAACGGGGTAAAGTTTTTTTTCCTACTTCCTGCTTCAACTCGGACTCCCAGACTTAATTTATCCCGTTTTCAGGCTTAAACCAGACAGTAAAACAGTCCAAATGAGATCATTTTGCAGGTGCGCGATGATGTAGAATCCTACAATTGAACAACATCTTCAAGTCTTTTGTAGTTCAACACTCAATTACCGCCTTCGTGATCTATGGGTTAGAGTCGATGACTTCTAATCCAGTTACCTCTCTGGCGTGGGTTCGATCCCCGGGAGATGCTTTGGTAGTTTAGCGCAGAGGAAGATAGTCTAGTACTGGTGTCAATCTCCAGGAACGATGGTTAGGAAACTACCCGCCTATATGACTGAAATACTGTTGGAAAAAGGCGTAAAATGAAACAAACAAACAAATCAACACTCAGTTTTCTTTTTCGACTTAATAATTTTGCAATATACAGTGCGTTACTCTCTTAAAAATGCATTTAAAGCCATGTAAAAACAAATAGTTTATATATATATAGAATTTAAAAAAAAAACAAATGCAAACTCCTTTATATTTTGACCCTGGGGAAAAAGAAATAGATCTCGCAATTTCACGATGTCCATTCCTAAATTAGCTTTGGTATTTTCTAAAAACATGCCTATACTTAGCTGAGATTCTTGTTATTTTTTTTTCTATTTTTAACTGAAGTTAATTTAAAAGTAGCTGAAATGTTTATATGCACTATATTTTAAAAAATTTGTTCCTGATTTAGCATTTTTTTCCTCATCGCCTATCATTCTTTTCAAACTTTTATGTAACATCATTATATCAAACGTAAATGATAAACAGGTAAACAGGTATTAAAATTCCCGGCGGGAGGGGGGGGGGGATAAATTATCTAATCTATTTGCTTTCTAAAATAAGTTTGAAGTATATTTTTTCTTCCTGTTTCGCTGATAGATATTGGATAGAGCAACGGGTAAAGTCCATTCGTTATCATTATCAGTTTCGCAAAATATAGTTTATTGGCCTTCGTGATAGTGCATTATTCTACAATTGATGTCTATTTCCTAATTAAACTTGAAAAGTCGCATCTAACTGAAATGTTGACGCACTTTTTTTTATCTTGAGCATAACTGTCGTTGGAAACAGGCAAATCCCCTTAAGCAGGGCCAAGTAGAGGAACCATGACCATTACTTCAATCAAAGGCATGGTTAATATTAAAAGGTGTTTCAATAATTAACAATTTATTTTTTTAAACTGTCGACCTGGCCACTGAATGTGACAAGTTTTGTGTATGTGCCTCAAAAGTATGCTTAGTTCTTTCAAAAATCAATTAAATAATGACATTTTTTGATGACTCGATTTAACCAACGATGTACTTTTATGAAAGCATGGCCGTGATCTAAAAACTACAAACTCATCACAAGTTGTTTTAAAGAATTATATCTTTAAATCAAGATATTAGAAGAAAATATCTCACTGAATGACAAAAGAACATGGACTGGATATGACTATCAATGCACTATCATATTACATACTTAGTATCATCTTTATGAGCAGCATATTTCTGCATACTTCATGTTTCACCATGAATGACAAAGCAATGCAATGTGTGACCTTGACCTTTGTGCAGTGCGAAAGAAACTTAACTATGCCTTACCCTAATTTTTAAATTATTGCCCCTATTTATTTTACTGTTTTACACTTTGAACTTTGTATGGGACATAACCCTGAAACCTTCAGAGATATCAACAAGAAGCTTTGTAGGTAGATAGCTCTCATAAAGTATAAATGGAAGTGCATAAGAACCAAAACTTTGCCTTGTTACTGCCTTTTTTCATTTTTACACTGTGAGCTTTGTCAGGGCCATTATTCTGAAACCACAAGAGGTTATGAACAAGAAACTTAATAGGTAGATATATCGCATTGAGTAGAGGCGCAATACAGAACCGTAACTCTGCCTGGCCTTATTTTGGAATTATATCAACAAGAAACCACTTCTGTGTGTCCAAAAAGTTTTCGGGGAGCGTCACCCGGCTCTACCGACTCTTGTTGTCACGACATGGTATCAGAGCTTTAAAGGTGGGACTGATTCAATTTTAACCAACTATGAACCTCAAATGATCAAAGAAGGAAAAACTATTTTTTCAATCTTTTAATCGATGCACATCAGATAGCTAAATACGGTGCTCAAACATTGTTGAAATTGTTCCCTTAATTCCGCCAGTCTGACTGGCGACGAAATATAGGCGCGCTATTTCCAGCCAACCGAAAGCTGCAGTAATAAAGTGTACATAAGGTTATTTACCCTGGGTCTTTCAACCGTTCATATTCAAAATTGGTGACGGTTACCAAGACAGCATACTGTGATATCGTATTAATTGTTGTTTTTTTTTTCAATTTTAAACACAAAGCACCCAGTAAACGGTTCTATTAGGTGTAACCTTACTGTCTGAGGATGCTCCGACCTACAAGTTTTCGATAACTGTTAGGTGCCTGGTCTACCACATCTTTCTTAGAAGACCTGGCGGTCACCACTTCTCCTTAGTGGTCGAAAATTTCAAACCATTTTTTAGTATTTCAAGAGACCAGACTATGAAGTTTTTATAATTTGACCTTTCATTGTATATAGATCATTTTACTGAAAATAATTAACAGGTCAATTAACCGTAATATGAAAATGATGTTTGGATGGTATAAAACACGTTGGCTTACAAATGCAACATTTTTTACATAATGGAAAATCCAGTCTTTGAATGACAATATCTCACTTTTTTAAGCGATATGTACCCAATTATGTCATATGTGTGCAATCGCTGCATAAAACAAACTTAAGATTTTACTTACATATCTACTTATCTATTTATTGTACCATGCATTCAGTGTTTGTTTTAGTAATTCTATATAAACAGAATAAAATGTTCAAACATTTGTCAGTTTTGCAGCAGAATAAGCTGGTACCCGTAGTGCCACACCGTATTATTTCCTGTACACCTTTCATTATGTAACCTTCTAGCTATATATTTTGCATAACCAAGTTTACACAGCTTATAGGCGAGTAACGTCAAATCGTCAATGTTAGAACAAATATCGGAAAGATAAATGTTGGCATAAAGATCGGCTGTTGTACCTCCATATACCTCAGGAAAGCAAGATTGACAATAGCTCTTTAAAAAATAAATAGCCTTGGCTTCATTCGGTGCAGCAGACTTAATTTTTATGGCCTCGACAACTTTTTTCAGGACATCAGAAAAATACGATTGATTCCTTTGCTCTAATAATGATATTCGTTTTTCATAGATCACAACATGGTGAGATTCTAAGCATTCACACAACATTTTCACGTCAAGGTACTTTGCGATTTCATACAATTCTAACACTCTTTCCGTGTGCTGTAGCGTGCCAAATTTAAGAAAATTCAAAACGATTTTGAACATCTCAACATCGCAGTCAATGAAAAAGCATCCGTCAGAGTCCTTGAGAAAAACGTTGTTTGCCTCCAACATGTTGGCAAGTTTACTTCCTCCTTTTTTTAATGTGTCGTCGGTTGTTGTCATGTATGCTCCTCTAACGTTAAGTTTGACCAACTTTTGTAAAAGAAAATAAGAAGAATGTCGGTGTCACATTAAATCAACAATATAGTTCGTTACGGCGAAATAAAGTGCAAAATAGAAAGAAACAAATGTTGCAAATTTGTAGCTTTGATGTTGACGCTATTTCTATAATTGTACTAAAGACGATTTAAATCTTGCTATCAACATAAAATTATCATATACATATATTTAATTATATTTAAACATTGTATATTATTCAATTATATTTTCCAAATAATTGTTTTGTTTTAACTCATTAATCTTTAACTATGTAAACATATTAAGAATAAAACAAATTAAATTATAGATACCTGTTCAGCCATTTTGGTTTTATAACAGTTGACGAGATTGAAGAATGTTATCTTTATCACTCAGAATGTATAAACCGTAGTAACACAAAGCTGTATTGACATGAAATCTTTATTAGCGGGTAGGAGGAGCAAATTATCAATGCGTAGACCACAGCTGTTCCCTCTGGAGTTTAAAGTGTTTGATCACAGTAAAGTGTCTGACTAAAAGGAAAAAAAACTTGTTAAGTGCACGCTTTATGCGGGAAAAATTTCTATGTACATGTAAAACATATAGTGAAGTAAATAGTATAATTCCCTACTTCTTAAATCAAAGCACAGAAGGCGCTGAATTTGTTTGGGTCTCAGAATGCCAGAAAGGTGAAGGTTGTGAGATTATAAACCAATTTGTTTTTGTAAAGTGCCACCAATGCTTTCCAGTATTTTAACTTTAGTAAATTGGCTATAAGACTAATTGCAACACTGATAGTCAATTCAATGTTTGTTTGACTAAAAAAAAATTAAAAAATGAGTTGCCTCAACGGGGATTTGAACTCCAGACCTCTTGATTCATAAGCGAGCGTGCAAACCCCTCGGCCACGGTGAATAATATTTTATCGGCCTGTATTTCTAAATTAGGGATTCTAACTCTTATTATTTCGACGCTATTAACACAGTTGTAAATAATCATGGAGCTTACTGTAGGCTTTTATATCTATAAAGAATGAAACAATATTAGAAATCCTCGACCATTCGGGAACTACTTTGCTTGAAAATTAATGCACCTGTTATTTGACAATCTTTACGCATTGATCTCCCCTGAATTTGTCGGCGTTAGTGTACATATAAAGGGAAGTAACCGCTTTAAAAAAGTGGACTACTTTAGGCATTTGCAATTAACAGCATTAGACTCTGAAATTTCGCTACCATTATTTGTCTGACGACCCAAACAAATAAAAACTAACAGATGGCACTAGTCTTTTGACCAAATTATTTCGTCATTTCATTATTTTACAAGAATATAGTTATCCTGTTTTTGTAAATAAAAATAAAGCAAGCAATAATAAAATGAAATGCGTTTATCAATCTATAGTTAATGAAATATTACGACCGCTTTTGTTAACGACGATGGTGCTAATATTTTCAGGCACTGTGATTTCAAGCATTGTTGTTTAAGCATTAAGGAAAACGTTTAATGAAAATTACCTGCCCGTTTATCCAACAAGCCCACTCTTGATAAGCAGCCGTCACCCATGATTTCTGTCTAGAGTATTTTTCGGATCGTTGAGGGATCAACAGAAATAACAACAAAATCCTGAGTTGATAAACGCTCAAGTTGCGAAAGTTATCACGGATGTTATCGCATTCAGAAATGTTAAATTGTTAATTGCTCAATTGTGATAGAAATTTATAAAGGAATGTGAAATCAATCAATCGATTGATTGATTTTCTTTAGACCGGGCGGTCAAGGATAACCTACGTAAGTGCAAGCACTTATTTCCAGTAGGGGATTATTCCAGTATTTCCACTAGAGACAGCTATGACATACAAGGGAGTCCGGGAACTAGTCCCTAGCTCTTATTGAATAGACCCCTTTGTTCTTTTACATGCGAAGTGTATATAGCACTGATACATGCGAGGATTATCTGGGTTTCTAACCTCTCTAGGTAGGTGGGAAACACGGAAAGTGTCTATGAAAAATCCCAAGGGTGTTACCCTTAATCTTAATCAAAGATTGTGTATGAATCATGCCATTTTCTCGCGCAATTTCAGCTGAGTCGAATCCTATAAAACGTAAACACCCCATCATGGAATGAAAAAAGTATATTTTTCTTTATTACTCTTTTTGTTTGAAATGACTGAAAACCAGATATATCTATTAACACGCTCCACTATTGTTCAGCTTCGTTCGGTGTATGTTGCTTGCACAACTATTTTGTCAAAAATTATAGAGAACTTGCAACTCGAAGCGGTCCAGAATTGTTTGGAGATTTTTTCATATTGTTTTAGATTCAAATCAATTATATACTCGTTTCAGAGTTAACCATAAACTTCAAAATATAATTTTACATCAATTACTAAAATTTTATTTAAAAGAATTATTTCAATCGGACAAAATTCACTTTCATTCATTAAAAATATTTTTAAAATGTCTGCCTTCATAAGAGAGATCATTTATGTCATTCAACATTGAAACCGTCTCTGAACATGTTTTGTGTCAATTTTATATGGATAACGTTCTGGACCCAACTTTGGTAAAAAATCTGGAAATAAAGTGATTCCTCGGAAGCATTAGTCACAACAATATAACGTAAGAATCGCAGACTCGATTTGATTGAGTCTGTACATGAGGGATAATGAATAAGTGCAACATCCCTCGCGCCTCCTAGCACCGGCTTGAGCGGTTCTCAATTCTCAACTCTCAATAGTGCTGGCATCAATGATCCCGAAAGACCAGAAAAATATAACAACACTGTAGTGAAGTATGGGGCAACTTTTTTCAGCTGCCACACAGCACTTGACACCTGCTGTTGTAACAAAGTGATAAGTTTCCTTATTGACATGCTAAGCTTGACGCGATGTTCAGTTGTATATGGCGGGGGATTTTTGTAGGTGGGGAGCTCTTTATACTAATATTGAAGTGAATACTCTTGTTTATTACAGTAAATGTATAAAATCGTCTGTGTAATTTAAATATTTATTCTGTCAATTTGTTTTGTCGAAATTTGTCTACTTTCTGTTTCGTCTCGACAACGGTGCAGACACCTAGCAATGGTTAAGGAAAGTCTGCGCCGTTGCTTAGTGTCTGCACCATACAGAGCCTCGTTACCGCCGTAAACAGTTACCTTCGAGCAAGAAATGCCCGTCTATACCGCAGCCAGTGTCAGATTCTTATATAATCACCATCGTGTTTTCACCATCGTATCATCGTGCATTGCGGGTAAGGACGAAATGAAAGAAATCACGATTGTCCAAACGGAACACCGTTCCGTGCCTCTATTCCACTTAACTATTTGTGATCTACGTAGAACGAAAGACGGTTCATGTTTTATTCTCTTCCCTAACCTTTTTATTATATTTATTTATTTTCAAATTTTTAATCAAGTGTAGAGGCCGCTCAAATTCGTGAGGAACATGAACATATAATGTTTCCCCGTAAAAAAAGAAATAATTACTGTTTTCGTAATGTCAAACTGCGTGAATACCTGATTCTTCAAACTATAAGCGGTTTCACTGAATAAGTAATGTTTTATAATCGTATTAAGGACACATTTAATAAAAGAGGTAATAAATAATATCTTATCTGTAATCTAACAAAAAAAAAAGAAACACACTAATCTTATTCTACCTTTAAACTGGATAAACATTTTGCACGCATATCATTATTTAATCAAAAATAAAAACTGCAGTTCGTCAACGTATTTATCATGAGACGCTAGTTCAATCCGCTTTTATCATGTTTTAATAGATATGAAGTATAGAACACCCGTTCACAACTAAACCGGATGCTGACGGATTTAATTTAAAAGATACGCACATAGCTCATATATCACAAACCGTCAATGTGCGCCCATTTTACAGAGCTGTTTTCTAAAAAAGCAAACGTATAATATTATTACCTGTTAAACCTATTATTACACATGCTTGCAACTTCAAATTAATGACGCGGCAGATGGTTTGATATTAATGTAGTTATGTTCACAATCACCTCCGAGTTAATTATACTGGAAAGTGGTCAGTATGGACTGTCAATATAAGTAAAATAAAATATACACAACTTCAATAAACCATTGTATGACAAATGATAGCAACAAAACTTTGAATTTGGAACAATCTGACTTTCAATGTTAAAAATACTCAAGACTACCAGCCGTATAGAGCCTGGTCAGACTGCCTGGAGGTCCAGATTACCTAGTCAGGTTTTTGATACTCGTACCATATAACTTCAACGGGCTAAGTTTTAATTTTTGATTTATAAAAGGAGAGAATAGTTCGTTAACTAAAAAGTTCGTTACAAAAATAACTTTATTGTTCAAGTTGACTATTTGATTATCATGTTAATCTTGAATAATGTTTTTTTAAATACCATTGGACCGAGTGGCTTTAATAAATGTTTAATGGGCAACATCATATCTAATAAATCACTAAAACATTTGCTTTTTTCTTCTCAGAGTTATTTGAGATCATATAAGGTGGTCACTGTCCAGGTCATATAACTCTTACAATGAATTTGACATAATTTTGGAACTTGTGAGCTTAGAAAATTCCTGGTCATAGTTTTGCACGCAACATCAATCTTTAATACTACTAAAGTAAAGTAAAAAGGTGGTCATAACTTGAGATCACTTTCCGGTATCTGAATTGTGAAACGTTGGAAAATCTTGTACTCAAAGACATAATTTGAGATTACTATTCATGGCCCATAACTCTTACAATGATTTGACTGACTAATATCCCTTTGTTTTGCATGCAACATAAATCTGAAGGTGACCATAAATACATCAAATCTTCGAATTTTCTGAGGGATATGTTCACTTGAATCCCTTTACATGTCTTTGTTATCATAACTGGTGGTCATGATCAAAGGTCAATAGATCTGGCATATATTTTCTCTGACTTGTAACCCTTTGTGAACTTCCACAAATTTTGATTAAAGCGTATGCATGCATCGTCAATCTTCAAAATTATTGATAGTATCCGCTTGAAAATTAATTCATGTTTTATGAATTTTATTTCAGGTCACTTTCCATGACCTATGTCTGATATGGACTTTTAATACGATATGGTCCTTTATCCAGTTCGTTACTATGTGATTTAGTTTTCGAGATGGAATTTCCCCTCTGTTAATTCCTACATCATCCATGCTTTTTCACTATCAATCACTGAAAATATTTGAGTGCATTGTCCTACTGACAACTTTTGTTTTATAAATTAATCACAACATATAGAGTGGTTATTTGAAACTATATTTATTTTTCATTGTACATACACACTCAATGTGATTATGATTATGAATATATAAGAAAAGGATAGAGAACGAAATGGTTTTTTTTTACAGTTGATTACAGTTCAGCCGTTGGCAAATTTTAGTTCCATTTCAACTGAAATGCAAAACAATACGTTGTTCAAACTAAGTTAGTTTGTAAGTAAGATCAGCTGAAGGCCGTCGTGCCAATATCCATGAGGGTTTCCTTTGCAAGGTTCGTTGTACCGCCTCTTAGCTATTTGTTTTGCATAACCAAGTTTACATAGGTTATAAGCTAGTAACGCCACAAATTCATCATCAACACTCATATTGTTCATGAAAATGTTAGCATAAATACTGGTACCGCATGCCTTTAGTTCATATTTCTGAGAAAAACAATATTCGCAACGACTTCTAAAGAAATGAATGGCTTTAGCTTCATTTGGTGCAGCATTTATCTCTTCTATTCTCTTGATCACTTTCCCTAGTTCTCCTTCAAAGTTTGAAAATCGCTGATGCAAGGAAGCCATTTGGTTTTCATACTTCACTGCATGGTATGACTTCAATTTATCAATCAATGAATGTACATTAAGGTGTTTTGCAACATCATACAATTGTAATACCTTTTCTACCTTTGGCAAGGTGCCAAATCGGAGAAAATTCAAGATGACTTTAAATATTTCAGCTTCACAATCAATGAAGAAGCTTCCATCAGAATCCTTATGAAAAACATCGTGTTTCGTTAGCATGTTGGCAAGTTTACTTCCGGGATCCTTCATTAATGTTTCGGCTGTTGTTGTCATACGTGTTCCTCCAACATTAAGTTTGACTAACTTGTGTACCTAAAATAAAATTAGGTGTTATATGTGTGTTTTTGTCAAGACATATCAGTTAAAATGAAATAAAGAACAAAATAGACAGAGGGAAATGCTGTAAATCGACAAATTGTTTTCAAAGGCACATTATGCCTCAGAAATGGGTAAATATTTGCTTCTTTTAAATGAGAAAGGACAAACATGAGTATGAACGTTCAAACAAATGATTTAGAGAATGTTATAAGCTTATCACCTGTGGCAAATAGTGCTGCATCTGTAATTATGTGTCATAAAAATAGCACCCCCACAAACAAAAACAAAAAAGACACACACCAAAAACCAAAAAACTATATACATGTAGTATTTTTACTTCTTTACAAAGTACTAAATTACAAAAACTGTACTACTATAATTGCTAAAAAGCAGCAGAATCAAAGGATGATTCAGGTAGCTGGCATGCAAGAGAGTAAATTTTGGAAACTGTAAGAGAACACAAAGAATGAAAAGCTTTTGAGACATAAGAAAAAAAGACAATCTAGAGGCATTATGGGCAAATAATGATAGAAAATACATATTGATCCGTTATACATGTATATACATTCAAATTTCATAATTCAATCTAAAGTTAAGATTCATTGTTAACTTGGTAAGAATACTCGAAAAAATTTAATTCAACATACCTGTGACGCCATTTTGATTTTTAAACGAACATGCACTCCATATGACTCAACTCAAGATAACAATTTACGCAAAATACAAAATTGATATCAGCGGCGGGTGTGTGTGTGTGTGGGGGGGGGGGGTATGACAACAAAAGAGAACGACAAATAATCATTTCACATACTGGTAGATGATTTATTTTATTTGACCCTTAAAAGATTTGTGTGTGGGTTGAGTTTGATAAAAAGATAAACATGTAATAGCAAACAAAGACATAAACACTGTTTAACAACACATGAAACAAATATCTTCAAGATATAAACCTTTAAATCAATTGCAAAATCATTTGCATAACATAAATCAATTCTTTAATTAAATGATAAAATAAGTAAAGATATATTAACACATGAGCTGATTGACATGACTGTTTAATCTTTAAGATTAAACATTGAATGACAAAAAATTGAGACGATGAATGTATGTTATGTCTGCAGACCTCTTTATGTTGAGGTATGTCTAGATTGGCAAAGCGGTATACGATTGCGTTTCTCATCAAAATTATTTTCATTGCAATCTTCATCGCAGAATAAAGGTAAAAAATAATGTAAGTTTCAAGCTGTACGTTTTTCAAACTTTTCCTTTTCAAGCATATATAACCGGGCAACACGGTATGGAGAAGCGACAGCTTGCAAAATAAATTTAATGAAAAGAAAATTTCACACACTGGTTTTTAATTCAAAAACAATGGAACAACCATTAATCAAAATATATTTTTCATGTTAACAGCAATATTAGATAGGTTCTTATATAAACTATCCACTTTTTGAAAGTATTTATATCATTTTTGTCTGATATGTATTACTACAACAGTGTTATCATTAAGTTGTTTTAGGATGTTGTGCAAGTATAATCAAATGTTAAGTGGATTATCCAACCTTTGAATATAGTGTTCTTTATCAAATATAATTTTTGTCATAACTTACTACTATACATACCTTTGGCTAGTTTTCTTTACTAATAACTTATTTATGTAAAGAACTCCATAAATAAGCTATATGTTTTTTCTTGATTTATTTACTTTCGAAAGAGAATCATTAGAATTTCTCCTGTATACGACAATATCACAAAACTGACCACCAGCCACTAGCCTGAGACTAATGTACACGCCTTCGACAAGATTTGTCATAAACTTATGTAATGTATGCTAGACAATTCTAAATACCAAATATTTGAGCGTCCAGATAAACTGTGTGCCCTGTTTTACTATCATATACGAGGGCAGGTTATAGTTAAGTAGTTTTAATGAAGGTCCACATATTAGAAATCTGAAGTTCCAGTGAGAATATAATCAATGGTTGTACAGTATAGTGACCACTAGAGCGGCATCATATTTAATATGCATATCTAAAATCCTGTATAATAATTTAATATGTAGTTCCGTGCAAATGATGTAAGCTATTTGATTCAGTGTAATGTAGAACTTTTATAGAAGGTGTAGAGGTTTATGCAATGCTGCTCATCGCTGGATGAAGGGACAATTACTAAACATTTTACTAAATTTAGAATTAACCAAAAAGAGCATTTTCTACCTTGGTGTCAACTTTTGTAGAGACCCACAAGGAAAAAATAGAGTGAAACAAGAATCCCTCAAGAAAGCCCAACGCAGCAAAATTGAAAATGTTGCAGGCTCGGTTTGATTGAGCCTGTTCATGGACGGTACTGTCAAGTGCAAACCCCATTTTAAGTTATTTTGCTGCCTTAAATTTCAAATACTTTTACGTTGCAGCTGATTACGATCGTACATTGTGAACAGAATGCATTTGTCATTTATAAATTTGACAACTTGGACCATTGATTTTTAGAGTATTTCATATCAAGGTGTCATTTATATCTTATTCTATTACAATTATTGTCATATTTTGCATTTACTTGTCATCGCTTCATAACAAGTCCGATGTCGCCTTCACCGCATTTTTAATGTAAAAGGGGATCAAAATTCGTTTTAATTCAGTTTCACATCGATATGCATCAAGTGCATATTTTCAACTTGACTTGCCCAAATATGAGGTCATTTTATTATGAATACATATGTCAACATTCCGATACTGATGTACTGATGGTGACGTATTGATGATGATGTACTGATGATGATGATGATGTACTGATGCTTATTATAATGATGGTGGTACCGATAATGGTAGTGATGATTGTGATGTTATGATGATTTTAAATATATTCTGTTCATTATGATAATGATGATGATATACTGGTGATAATGATGAAGATTAACCGAAAGCTGATATCCTGACAATTATGATTATGATGTCCAGAAAATGAAGATGATGATCAAGATGACCATGTACTTGTAATTATAATAATGATGATGTTTTTGTACTTGTAATGAGAATGATGGAGATGCGTTGTTGTTGTTGTTGGTTGATTTTGATGACTGTGATAATGATGATGATGATATTTATAATGATGTACAGATAATGAAAAGTATGATGTTGATGATATCTATAATATTGTACTGATTATGATTATTTTGATGTGGTATTTATGATGTTGATGATGGTAGTGATGATGTTGATGATGATGATGATGATGAGGAGGAGGATGACGACGACGATGGTGATTATGATGATGATATAGATGATGATAATTACGATGATGATAATAACAATTACAAACATAAACTTGAAGAGCTTTATCCATCAAAATTGGGCGTCTTGACGTTTACAGCTCCCCTTTGTTGAGGACCTAAATTCGATACAATTATAGTAAGGTGTCAACAAATAAAGCTCTTCGGAGAGGTATATTCGTTTACAGCTATATGCACAGTAACAAAGACAGATGTTATCTTCGTTAACATTATTATATTTTTTGAACATTATTATATTTTTTGTCATTTTAAAATTTTTAATTGCTTTTTTATCGATATAACGCAAGCGTGAAAATTGCATGAATAGGAAATTTGTAACATATCCATATTTTCCTGTATCGACTTGATGATATTTATCTACATGTATTTTTGTTTCAGCACATTGTCTGGAAGCTTTTTTTTATTTTAGAAGTGACCTTGACCTGGATGGAAAGACTGCAAAACATTTGTTTGATAATGTATCAAAGTGTGCAATATTATTTTATAGGATAATAAAGTCGTGTCACAGGCATAGTAAATGATACTATCTGTGTGAAACATGCTGTTACCATTTTGATCTGAAAGCATGCTGTTCAAAAGACATACACAGTCTCTGTTTTCTAAATGTTTTACACTTTTATTCCGCCAAATATGATAACAATATATGCTAGCTGGACTATCAGACATGCAAATGCGTTAACAAAAACGTGAACGGTGTCTGTACATATATAGGTTAGTTAATATTTTAATAGCACCAATATTTTAATAGCATCAATATTTTAATAGCATCAATCAAGTTTCAAACGCAGTTTGTTTTGTATCTCCTTGAGAAATGAATTGTCTGTAAACTTAATTCAGAAGAGCTAACATTACACTCATATATTCTTCTTTTTCTTTCTCTCCTTCTTCTTCTTCTTATCATTATTATCATTATTATTATTATTATTATTATTATTGTTGTTGTTATTATTATTATTATTATTATTATTATTATCATGCACTAATGCCACCCTAAGACCTTACAAAAGGAAGTGCAAGTTCAAGCTAACTAGTTGGTCAAACTTGATATAGAATACAATATCAATTGTTGGTCAGAATGCGTTAGTTGATCGATGAAAATGTTCAAAAGTTTCAAGTTCCTCATTAGTCAAAGAGTTGTCAAAGTTCTAGCAGATTGCAAGCCAATATAATTAATGATTGATCAAAGTGAATTAATTTAATTGCTTGGAGCTTAAACATCTTTTATAGTTATACATTCTTTATTTATTTATCTATTAATATTGTTACTTTCCCTGGTGATTTCACGCTACAAAGGAGGTCATCATTGATATTACACTTTGAATTGTAAATAGCTACCAACAATATATAAACATATTACATTAAAATGGTAATAACTTTTATATCTGTTCAGTGTACGATCACGAAATAATTTATTCATTTTTAAAGGCTTTATCTATCGTTTCTTATTAATTCTTTATATTTTATATTTACGATAAACCATGATAGCCAAATTTATCGTATTGCAAATTACGTCTATAATATGCAAGTTATGTTCAGGTGTAAAGAGAAGAGTAGTTCTCGTCACGCATATTGACAACATGCGTGCCATTAGCTTTGATGGGTATGTAAAGTTAATAACTTCAACGGGTAATACGCATTGAACCAAATCTTTAAAGGCATTGATGTTGGACAACTTAAGCGGATGTTAAGGATTTACTTTTAAGGTAAACTTATATGCTTTTATTATTTATTTATTCTTATATATTCTTAGTAAGGTGAGACAAAGTTAAAAGGCCCCTAATAGGAAATATTAGCATTTTTTACAAAGACTAGAGTTACGTTATAGGGTTATCTGGCATGGAAATAAACACAATCACAATGTCATTTTTAAAACTAAACTGTTTTTGTCAATCATAATTTACAAGATAAAGGTCTTCTTTAAAGACAAAAAGTGAAAATGTTTACAAGATATACATATACGTAATGCCATTTTTGCAAATGTTTAAACATTACAAGCCCATTTCAAAATTTTCGTTTTTCCTAAATATTTGGACCACATGTCATTGCTAATGAAAACGTATACATGTACAATGTTGGCAATCATTAAATTTTGAAAGGAAAAAAAAAAACAGTTTCATTTCAATCCAAGTTGGGTTCCAAATTTCTAAAGGTGTTAACTGAGTTCTGCTTAAATACTGAGTGCTTAAATACTGAGTACTGACTTTTCTTTTAATTTGCAATATGAAATATTTAAGGTGGAGTTAAAGATGGCGGTCGACATCACTGTGCAATCAAATAATTATATTTTGTGTCGTTTAAATTCTGATTTTGCAGTTATTAAAACTAAATGTTTTTGTTGCTTAATAAATGTAAGACATTGTTGAAAAATGTTTTATGAATTATACAATGTACCATTTTAAATATCACAAACATTGTGACTATATAAATTTTAAATGTTTTCCTAAAAATAACAAATGTTTCGAAGAGCGTGTTCTATGAGACATTTACTCGATAAGTTTTGGTGGCATATTGAAACCCAAAATGAAACATGATGGGAATGTAATAAAATGCATTAAATATCACCTCATTGCATCTTATTTTCAAACACTTCATTTTCTGTTGAAATGACTTGTAATAAGTATGTTAAAAGTAATGTTCATAGTAGTAACTTTGTGTGAGGGTTACAGCTGTAAATCGATTTCAATCCTTGCTTGAAAGAATTCGATGAATGGCGCGGATCGAACCTACAGCGATGACAGGCAAGTGGTTTGAAGTCAACGACATTGAAAGAAATGACACAAGTTGAATTTAATGTAAACATATATTTACAGCACGAGACATTTTATACCCTGAATCAATGAAATCTTACAAGTTATTTTGGGATTTTTGTATGGTTTTACAAAATGCATCTATTTCCTGTACAACGAAAACGTTGACACTTTGAAATGATCGCTAAATCAGAATAGAGATGAATTTCGTATTTTCCTAAAATTCCTTTATACGTGTATAAAAATAATTCTTGCGATAAATGGACGTGCATTTTATTTAAATATACACTACAATTATAATCTTGATGGACTTTTAAAATTTGGCACTAATTTTGGTATCCGTCTTAAAGTAGTGTTTTTTTTCTAGTGGTGGCAGGATGGCACCCGCATAGCACCCGCTACCTGCTGAATTCTTTTCTATGAAAGTCTTTTCTACAACATTCAACAGAGAAAGATCTTTAAATCAATTAATATAGAAATGTTACCTTTCTTTAATATAGCTAGAAATAGAGAAATTCATCATTTTATTGTTTTAATTTGTGTGACCGAAAGTGCGTTAGTTTGTCTGTTGAAAAAAAAATTGCATGTACTCGTATACTTGTATAGCGCACTTTGAAGTCAAAGTTTCAATACAGAGGAAAGTGCTCCAGTTTGGTCCTCTATTCGAGAGGAGCCCTATAGGGTAGTGTAGAGCGTGTTAGATATCAATCTCGCGAAGAAAGCAGCGTAAATTTATTGTCATAAAATGTAGAAAGAAATTTCGAAAACAGCGGTACGCTGTATTTTAATGGATCGATAGTACATTCATTTATATTTTTTAAAAATATCAAAAGATTAATTGACTAAGGCGAAAAGGTACTTGGTAAATAGAGAACCGTTCTACATAAGTTGAACTTGCTTTTCCTTTTCGATTCCATAAAGGGTTCACCATGAAGACTTATTGTTCGGGTTTTTACGTAAATACCTAATATCTATAAATACTAAATACATTTTTTAGATTTTGTCGATTACTTCTGGGGTACGTTTGTATAAGCTTCATTTTATTAAAACATTTCTTTGTTGTTGTTGAACAGACAGGTTATATCTTATTATACCTTCAATTTTCTTATGTTGTCATATTTCGGAGATGTGTATCTACACTGTACTTAATTATCATTTTGCATAAATTCCTCCAGATAAACACTATCAAACATTTTAAACGAGTTTTTTTCCTGATGGTAATAAACTTAATGGTATATTTCACAACTGATTAAATTTCACGTCTGACCTACATTACGTATTTTTATGAATTGTTAATATTCGGAACGATAAATAAATGAAACACGATACATTCGATAAATCGTATATGCAAAAACTGCATTGAAGAAAGAATGTTCGCGACTGTCATCTCTGAATGAAAAATGAAATGTTAAAGTTTGCGCCACCATGGTTGAATTAATTCAATATAAGAAATTATTAATGTTATCAGACTGAATATTAGATTTTATCAATGTTGACGACGATAATAGTGTATTTATGCCACTAATGTATTGACAGCTTAGTTTTCAGCGGTTCAACATGGCCAGGCCTGCAAAATATAATATCCATTATAAAATCCATTAACACTGTACTCGAAAAAATCTTAAATGTTTCACACTGGCACTTTGTATTTTTATGCGAAATGTTGTTTGATTTATTACCTATATCAATCATTAAATGTCTACCCTTTTGCCAAAAAGAGGCAATGTTATAACTGCTTAGTTTAGTTTATTAATGTTCATTTCTGATTTTTTAAAGATAGTGTTTTAGCCAAGCCTTAATCTCTTTATTTCTGCACTATACAAAATCATAATTACTTGGATTTTTTCTTACAAGAATTCATGAATTGTGTAACATAAGTGTTGTCTATCATTTTATTCTTTTTAAGGGCTCTCATTAAAACTTTTTCTAAAATTTTTAATAAGTAGAGCTTAGGCCAGGGTTGATTAATGATAATGATGATCATGATCATGATAAAGACAATTGTAATAATCAAAATTATAGTGACGACGATAACGAATAAAATCGACGTTAGTAATGATAATAATCATACTGATATTATTGATGATGATAATGAAGAGGTGGAGGGCGAAATTGACGATAAAATGATTAAAACTTCTCCCAAAATTTATAATAAGTAGAACTTAGGCCAGGGTTGAATAATGTTGATGATGATGATCATCATTATAAAGAACATAATAATAATGATGATATGTATACTGATGACGAAAACGAATAAAATATGACGATAGTAATGATGATGCTGATACTATTGATGATGATTATGATGATGATAATGAAGAGATGGAGGACGAAATTGACGATATATTATTGTTGATTGCAATTAAAGAAAAAGTACATACCATTGAGGTACTCATAGAATTGTCGTAACCAACTGGTCAGCCTGCAAACATTCGGCTGAGGTTCGTTCTATGTTAAGGACTACCTGGGGGTCACTATAAAGCTATGAGGTCAGAAGTACTATGTGGTGTGGTATTCCATATATACTACCCCACTTTACTAGACTGTAATGGTGAAAGCAGTCCGACAAAAACATAATAGTTTATTGTTCATACAACAACAATCTATGAACAGACATATTGTAGTGTCAGATTTATAAATTATACTGCTTGCATTTTTGTTTTCTTTTAATTTTTATATTGAACGCTTGTACATGTATTTTCAATAACTCATACAGCTTATTTCGCGAAAAATGTTTTATAATAAAACAGTTTTTATAAGAAGTCAAATATAGCTTGCAATTCGGACAAGCTTACTTGACTGTTCCGACACATTTGATCAGTAACTTTTGAAAATCTAATCTTGATGATGTTAATTGTTTCCTATTACAATACAAGTGATTTCACATTTGAACCATTTGTGTCTCAATTTATAGTCATACATTACTGATCTTTCATCTAATTAAATACTTCAAGCGGCACGAAAAACACGGTGCCTCCATGACCAAATGGTTAAGGCTGTTGATTTGAAAACACTTGCCTCTTACCGCTTAAGGTTCGAGTTCCGCAAGGGACATTGGATTTTTTTCAAGTGAGGAAGCTATCAAACAAGCTTACGAAACATCTTTGGTTCTACTCGGATGTCCTTTTGTGCCTAAAGTAATGTACAGAGGGGTAACAGAGGTATTCCTCGACAGTAGAGCTGGAAAGTCGCCATATGATCTTTACAGTGATGGTGTGACTTAAAAGAGATAAAACAAGGATGAAAAAAAAAATGAACATAACAATTCGAACGGTATATATTGACTATCATTATAAATTATTTACATTTGAAAAGAAAGTTAACTTTTTTGGCATGCACTTTTGAAAGAAACATTCATTTTGTTTGGGCTCAAAGTTGATATATTCATATGGTTCATTTCAATTTTGTTGGTTACCTCTATGCTAAGGTTAACGTCTGTCAGAGCATGTGAAATGTTGGATAATTTAGTAAAGCATAAGAACATACTACTAGTTAGTTGTCAATGGATACTCTCTTCCAACTAAAACAAAGCAAATTTTATAGAAAAGCACTTGACTTTATTGATAAATACCATTTAATTAAAGTAAAATGTAATGTAATTTTGCAGAAAAAAGGTCTATAACAGATACTACAAAAAATGGACTTAAATGTATTGCTACTGGTGCTAGCATATACCACAAGATGTTTGTGTGTGTTTGTATCAACACCAACCAGCAACGCTACGGAACGACATCGTCTATACACAGATCTATTCGTGAATCAGGGTTACAACTCTAAGATACAGCCATATACTAATCGGTCTGAAAAGTTTGGTAAGTGCCTGATAATTGCGTCTTATCTTTCCTCTGATTATTATGAAAACAGTTTAAATTGATTTCTTCCCATTTATCCTTATTATGTGCTATGGATATAAAAAAATAACAAGAGTTTCAATCAGAGATGTTATATTTCCGATCCTTAAAGATCGTTCAGCACGACATTATTGTTGTGCTTGTGGTAATTTAGTTCTTTTTTTTTGGCTATTTTCTTGTTGGTTGGTTCCAGTATTCCTCACTTGAATAATGTTTAATCACCCTAAGATATGTAGCCTGCTTTTTAAATTTGTTTTTTGACGTCTTATCTGTGATATGCAGGCTCCATAACCTCTGATCCCCTTTCAAAATTATATTCTATTTATTTTCGCCCATTTTTTCTCTGCGGATGTTTCAGAATTCAAAATTGTACCAGTTCATGTTAAATGTAGAATTCTGCTTAACGTGGACGGTAGTTTGTACTTGACAGTACCGTACCGTCCATGAACAGGCTCAATCAAACCGGGGCTTTTTTTAGGGATTCTTATTTTTCTATTTTATCTGTTCATGTTCATAGTCCAGTCAGTGGAGCCAGAAAAAATGGGTCAACCTATATCAAATTGCAAAAGTTTAGTTTTCACATTGTTATTTATTTATTTCAATATGTTGTTAATTATTAGTAAAAAGTTGCAATCATTTTACCTTGGCAAAATTGGTAAAACTTGGGTTCAGTAGGACAATGTTAAAAGCGCAATTCATTGTTATTTTTATCACAGTATATCTCATTGATATGAAAACAATGCTTTTGAACTGGATTATTTTATACAAAAATGATATTTTCATAAATATTCTGTTCATTATGATTTATTTTAAGCAAGTTTTATTTATTTTCCTTTTTTCTACCATTTAAAGAAATAAATATATATATGAGATACCCCACCCACTATTGTAAAAAGGTAAGTTGTTACTTTTTTAAGCTTTAAGAAACATTTAAAAAGTAGTATTGAGCATGTAAAACGAATTATTTTCAACACAGTGAATTCTTAAACCTACTATCAAATTAAAACAAAACAGTTTAGAAACATTGGCTGGAAGAATTTGTAAAAATACATATAAATGTAACTACGCGATTTTTGATAGACATTATGATTAAAACGATAATTATAATTCCTTTTTCGCAAGCATAATTTGTTTTCTTTGATTACAAGAAACTGTTGAAGGAATTACCACACCCACTTCTAAAACAATATTTTTTTTGTTTTTTAAATTCAAGAGACATATACAATCTGTTATTCTGTATGTAAAATTAAAGGTTTGGTGTTCAATAAAACAAAACGCATAAAAAGCAATGCCATTTGTTGCACCTATTCATAGTAATTAATACTTTCAACACATTTTACATTCTTTAACCTTCTATGATATACCAATAAAAACAATTATGGCATGCAAAATTAATAGATTTAATGTGATTGCATCGTGTTTTTTTTAAAGAAATTAAATAATAATTCATTTCTCTGCTGGCATAATTTCTTTTCAATGATTCAAAAACGATATATTGAAGAGTATAAATCAAATAGCATAAAAAGTAATGTAATTAAGTAATTAAGTGCACTTATTCTCAGTAATAGTATAATTTGTGTGCATTCTGCACAATATTTTCAAAACAATATATATTATTTAACCTACTATTATGTTAAAGATCCTGTGTGTTGTAATTAAGGATGTAACCACAAGTAAGTGATCTTTATATATGTATATGTAATTGTTCTTCTAAAACAATTTTCAATTCCCAAGAATATGTTAAATTTGTACTGCAAATGTATATACGCATTATATACTGTATACGCATTTTATTAAAATATGTGCATTCATTTCTTAACTGAAAAATTTGGCTCAGACTTATGCTGTTCACTCTTTGTGTAGTTCTTCCCTGTGTATTGCTGCATAACAACATTTATTTCAGTAGTTGCTGGTATTGAAAGTTACCAAAGTGCACGCTGTTCTTCTGTCATTCCTCTATCTCTTGTCAGTCCTCATGTTTTCACAGGGACCTCATTAGTACCTGTTCAATTGCAAGTTCTGTTGAAATTCCAGATCAATATCTGTCACTTCGTCTTACTTCATGGTTTTTGTCCAGAAATTGCCTGTACAAATCAAGGTGTGTTTTTAGCTCACCTGAGCACGAAGTGCTCAAAGGTGAGCTTTTGTCATCACTCTGCGTCCGTCGTGCGTCGTGCGTCCTTCAAAAAATGGCGTCAAACTTTTCAAACAACATCTCCTCCTAAACTACATGGCCAATTGCAACCAAACTTTACAGAAATGATCCTTAGGTGGACCCCTTTCAAAGTTGTTCAAAAATTTAAATTCCATTAAAAACTCTGGTTGCCATGGCAACCAATAAGAAAAACTTAAAAAATCTTCTTCTAAAAAAACCGTAAGAGCTAGAGCTTAGATATTTGGCACGAAACATCTTCTAATGAGTGCCTACCAAGTTTGTTCAAATCAAGGCCCTAGGGTCAAAATTGGCCCCGCCCCAGGGGGTCATTGATTTTCCCTATATGCATATAGTAAAAACTTAAAAAATCTTCTTTTAAGATATTTTGCATGAAACATGTTCTCATGGGTGTCTACCAAGTTTGTTCAAATAAAAGCCCTGGGGTCAAAATTGGCCCCGCCCCGGGGGTCATTCATTAGCTTGACTTTTTTTTTGAGCGACTTTGGGCCATCATGGCCCTCTTGTTTCTAAAGCAAGCATGTTCTGCAAATATATATAGGCAGATTTCAAGCAAAATGAATGTCCAGAAGAGCATTTTCCTTAGCGCTGTAAGATTTCAAGTCCAACTTCCATTTCCACCAGCTCGTATAAACTGCTGTAGAATTGAAATAATTTTATATATTGGATCCATAATGCGGTTGTTCTATATTGCTTCAAGTTTAAAATAGAGTAAATTGAGGTTTATGTCATTGTTCAAAATGCCATCTTTCAAACTATTACTATTACTATACATTGATTTTCAGAGCGTATATCCGCAGCATTTTCTGTTACAAAGTTGGATACAATATCAACTTCAATTATTTTTTCCAACAATACTGTTTGTGTTTACCGAAAAATGTCCCCTTACTGCTCTTGCAACTGCATTTGGTGAGTACACTGTTTCTAAGAGATCGTTCAATCCGGAACCACCCATGATGTGACCAAATGCGCTCAAAAAGCTTATTTCTGTGTGAAAGGCACCAAACCTTAAAACTATTTTCTTCAAATAACTATCCGAATCTTGAAGATTGATGATATTTGTTGCTTTCATGAAGAAAGGCTGATCAAAAGTTAAAACTGGTGTCACATTAAATTTGCCATATATATATATATCACGGTTGACGGAATATACAAGATGGATCAGTTGGACTCATGTTTATCATGGGAAGAAACGATATACTGGATTTGCCAGGGTGGTTAACATGAGTTTTGTCATAAAATTTCATGAAGCCGGACCAGGATGGGCATAAGTTGTTGATTGGCCAAAGAGGTTTTACAAATTGTTCAAAATTGTCTCTTTCTTCTGATAATGAATTAGAAATGTTTTTAAAATAAACAGGAATTGTGTCGATGACGGTTGAACAAAATACTTTATAGTTACTTTAGCTAGACTCTGTAGCTCCTCGAGGCTCACATTTCGTATTCATGAACAGCAGCCGCAGCTTGATCAATACTTTTGCGTTTCCCAATTTGATACACAAAATCCAAGAGACTTTAATACATCTATAAGATATTTTGACCCAAAGTGCTGATGTACTAGTATTTATACTGCAAGGTCGAGTTGCAATAGTGCTATAACGCCTCTTGGTCAACATGCTTGGATGATGACTTGACCAGTTGATCCAAGTTTAACGTCATCATAGATCGCTTAGCAGATTTTAAAGACTCTCTGGAATATAATTCAGATTTTCTACACCAGAACCTGTAGATGAAAAAGATAGATATATCCCATTTGGTGCATCAAATAAGTCAATGCCGGCACGAATGAATTTGGCATCTGTTTTTACAATACTTCTCTTCTTCACTCAGAGATCTTTTTTCATGAAATCATGTATAATGGAACTTGTGGTTTCTCTCAAACTAAATATATATCCTTTACCATCCTTTGAAAAAATCATTAAAAAGCTCCAAAAGAGTTCAATAATCTTTTTCCTTGAATATTTACTTGAGTTTGCATTTGCACCAAACATTGCATGCATTTGAAATACAAGATGTTTAAGTGGTACTGGATTTTTATCACATGCATTTATATAATCAATGAGATTATTAAATGCTTCTGTCTCATGTCGGGATCTTCTTGTCTACCAACATAATTTTACCTCAAGGCATTTACATCATTCTACATTTTTGGTAATTGCTTTCCTGTTCTAAAATTAACGTTACATCTATGGTGATATCGTGCTTCTGCTGCAAGAAGGTTAAGTACATGTGATAAAACCCCAAGAACATTATCAGCCCATTAATCATCCATTTCTACAAATTTATATGTAATAATTGTCTAAAATTCTAAGCTTCTTACGGGAAATACATCATCACCTCTTTACGATGTCCATACTTTGCTATTTGATAACAAAACTAGAAATTACTTTTAAAATCATATGTGTTAATAGAACGTAGAATTTTCACACTTCTATAGTAACAGTTAAAGCAGCACGCCTCCAGATTCATGTTAAATTTCATGAAAATTTTGATAATGTATTTGACAGTAAAATATTGTAAGGTGAACAAATAAAGTTATTTACATATTGCAATTGGCACTTACAATCCATAAAAATAACCAAAAAAGAGGTCAAAATGTGCAAAAAAGCCCTTACTGCGTTAGTAACGCAGTAGAAATATGGTGATAAAATACTGCAAAATCAGTCTTAAATCGCAAATAACATGTAAACTTTAACATTGATCTTGATTGTTTTTACCTTTCTTGAAATATTAGTACATTTTTCTAAATTTTCATTTTCTTGAAATATTTTTGCTCATTTGGAGGCGTGCAGCTTTAAACTTGAAGTTGCGATATTTCTTTGATGTATAAAATTTCTTCTGCGGTTAACTTGGCCCGGCTCTGTTTTAATACTCACAACACATTGAAAAAAAATGTTATATCTGGATTAGTTATCACATAAACCTACGTCACTAATTTCAACGTCAATTCTTTCCGCCTGATTGATCATAAGATTTCAAGATTTTATTCCAAATACATGTGGGTATTATACCCATGAGCACACAGCATATATACAAACATACATACATACAGAAACATAATATCAAGGTCATTAAACATATATAACATATATTTAACATTTACTGTATATTTGAGTCATAAGTTTGCTTTAATATGAACAGAATAACATATTACAGCAAGGTTTAAATGAAGCACAGGTTTTGCATAATGATATCAATTAAGTAACATTACATTTACCTTCCTAGGTACTATAATTTACGAATATTCAACATTTGTTCTTAATTCAAACATTTTAAAGATAAACATTGATAATTTTCTTATAACATTTTCATTTTGAGTTGTTAACAATTCAATAAATTTTGGTATATTTGTTTTTTCCAATAATATTTATCTATGAGCTGTTTTCTCAAAACATTGTATTGTGGACATTCTAATAATACATGAAATTCATCTTCTAGTTTTAAGCAAATTTTACATTTTTCTTTCATTATAAGGAATTGCTTCAGGTTTATGCCATCTACCAGTTTCTACTTTTAATCTATGCGAAGAAGTTCCTGAAACGTGATAAAGAATTTCCTAAATTTTTCAATATTAACCATTGACAGATATGACTTAAAACTTAAAACCAAAATCACAAATAATACATAACTTCTTGCTCTTGATGAATCTCTTAAAGTTGCATACCAATTTTGTATAAATGTATCTGTTAATCTTTTTTTGCTACTTTAGCTAAAAATAAAATTTATATCACCAAACGCCCTGATTAATCCTACTTCATTGAACCTAAAGATTGTAACAGAAATCATAACAGACTTAGCCCAAGACTTTTGAATTCGTGTTAAGTTCATAATATGACATTAAAGAGTCTATGTTGTTATTGTTGTTGTTGTTGTTGTTTTTGATTGATTGTTTTTAAATAATTTTGTGATTTTGTGTTCTAAAGTTATTGGACTAAAGTTTAGTACTACATTGGCTGAAATATATTTGTTTTCACTTCATCTTCTGAGACTTTTTTATGTTTCAGGTGTATTAATGTCGTTTGTTCTTAAAACGATAATTGATTTAGATGAAGTAACAGAAACATTGAAAACATCATCTTACATGGTCATAGAATGGAACGATACATTCTTAAAATGGAATAGAACAGAATACGACTATTTATATATAACATACTGGCCTCAGGTATTTTTCTTATTTCTAGTTACATATATTCATTAAGCATTGCCCTTATTTTACTACTATTTTGATACATTCCAATGAACACTTTATTTGATGTCCTCTTTTCACACCTCTCTCTATAACTAGCTCAGATCGCTCTTGTTTTTTTAATACGTTACTTGGTCGACATTCATGTGGTGAATCTTATGTTGGAACTAATTTATCCCACATTTGCATCTTTTAAAGCAACGAATCACTATAGAAAAGAAATAATCTATTTACTTCCATAAACAGAGCACATTTCTTGCCACCTATGCCAAAATTAAGACGATTCTTAATATTGAATCTATGTCACAGTCGTATACGTGAGAAACAATTTAGCAATCTTCAGTTGCAGCATAAGTGAGTGAGCATAGTTTATATATGGATCAAAACATGCTTTAACTTATCTAGGCTCTCGTGACTACCTGTCGTTGTTGCACGTTTAATTACATTCTACGACACGTAACTCAGTGCGAAATGTAAAAAACAGCTTCATCCAAAGTTCTTTTTTAAATATATATTTTAAATGACATCGCACTAGCACGCGGAAAGCACGACAAAAGCAATGGTTTCTTTATACGAAGTACAAATAACGAAACGCCGAATCACCTCTACGATGTGAACAGCGCTAATGCACCTTTGTTCGTGCTTGAACATAAGCAGAAGATCCCGGCCTTATTAAATCACTCGCACTGCGAGTTTTGGTTTAAATGCGTCCTCGTGATTTTTACATGTTAACGCATTAACCCTCTAGTGGTATCAGTTTAAAACTAACTTAATGATCCCGTAGTGTTTGCATTATTTTTGAGAGTAAAATATAATTTAAGTTCTAGATGCATTTCATATTAGAACAATCCACATAATATCTATTTAGACAAAGTTAAAAAGTTTTTGATAGGTTGTATGGTTTTATATCAGTAGTTGTAAATATTATTTAAACCTAGCCACAGGGCAAAGCCGTATGTATTTGAACTAACCACAACATGTTCCTGTTTATTTCAGAACGATGTATGGAAGCCAGACATAATTCTGGCTAATTCAGTAAGATCCTATGAAAGTTTAGGACATGAAACTTTAATGGTTGAAAACTTTAATGATGGCACTATAAAGTGGTTCCCTCTAGAGGTATGTAGACGTTTAAATAAAATCCTCTTATTTATAAACTAATTATAATGATATCATAAACATATAGTACCCAATCATGTATTTAAAACAATATCCGCCACAATGCCAATTCAACAGGATTTATCAAATTTACTCACTTTTATGTTGACTTGTTTCTGAGAATGATTTGCTTAACCTGAAGATTTCTTGATTTTTAAATAGTTAGAACCAAAATTCTGTGATAAAATGACTTAAAGGAGTTTTGTTTTAAAACATATTATAACGCACGTTTTGTTTAGAAGCGAACTGAAAATCCCTTTTTGATACAATCATAAAGCGATAAATGTGCATTTGTTATGAACTTTATATTGTCGAAAAGCAACCACAAATAAAAAATATATATAAAACAGACGCACGCACGCACACACGCACGCATACACCAACAACAACAGCAACAAAACAACAGGACAGGTGACAGGTAATAGTAGCTGAAAAGCACCGTGTATATCAGTAACGCTGGGTAAACTAATAAAAGATGGAAACATTTTCATATAACTGTCAAAACACTATTACATGTATTAAACGAAGCAAAGATAAATCTGTTTGTTATTTCATTATTACAATAAACACTAGACCTGTCATTTTAATGCTGTTCAACATACCAGCCGGTTAGTTGAAATAGGGTGGAGTGAATGTAATAATGGTAAGAATTTTGTTTGCGATAACACTTTAGCAAAGTATCATAAAGTTTCTCTATGTGAATTGTAAATTAATGCTGCGTTAACACTGTGTTCCCGCCGTTCACGGAAGATGTGACCATACCGCGGTTATCATGGAACCTTCAATGTGACACGCAAGTGTCAAAAACTGGAGAAAAAAATCAACTGTTGTGGAATACGTTAGATTCCTTTCAAGCCCTATTGCGAACTGATATGCATTAATAATTATAGCAATTATAGTTTAATTGTTAAACGTGGGCAGTCCCAATATTCTGTGACAAAACAGATTAGAATCTTAATAAAATAAATTTTGTAAAATAGTCATGAACTAGAATCAACTGAACATAACCTTTACCATGAGAAATTGGCGATAGAGATTGGTCTTCCTACTCTTCTTTTCTTTATCGCAGATTTCTTACTTCTCTTATTTGTAAATAAGTGCTTTCGATATGTTGCTGAACTATTCTGTTTGTAAACAGGTGCAATCTTGATGTCCTAACAAAACATTAGAAAGCAACATGATTGTTTCAGACGTAAAACATAATATTTGAAATACAAGTGCAACATATATAATTAATTCAAACATACTCATGATAAAATACAGAACAAATTGACGTGGGCCGAGAATATAGATGTCTTTATTCATGAGCATTTAAAAGTAATTGGAGAAATATTCTATTAATGAATAAAGGGAATGTTAAATGATACATTCATAGATAATATGTAAGAATTATATTTCACTGGCGGCCAATGAAATTTGTCATGGACTTTTGGGACAAATATACTAATATTTAAAACAAGCAAAATCATGTAATCATATAATTACAATGATATACACATATACATATGATGTTATTATGCTAATTTCTGAAACATTTAACTGCAACATGTTATTATGAACTTTTATACAATATTTCAGATGTTTGAAACGTCCTGCGATATAGACATGAGATATTTCCCATATGATGTTCAAACTTGTGAGATACAGTTTATGTCTTGGAGCTATGTTAGCGTAAGGAGCCTTTCTTGTTAAAGCAATCGTTTACAAATAACTATAACAAAACAAGTGTCCATATAATATCGCCATCAAAACTTTCCTATAAGATAAGATATTTGTAGGTCCTGCTCACACCGGCATTTATATCACTGTAAATAAAGAAGTTTATAGAATGTTTACATCATATTTTGATCTTTGATGAAGACATTAAAACAAACAAAGCCATCTAGACTGGTTAACCTGGAGATCGATGGATCAATCCTTGTGCCAGCACGGAAACAGTCAACTAAAGGTTTTTCTTTACAAATGGTATCGTAAAACATTTTACAATATGTGGACCTGAAGATCTTGTAGTCTTTTCTTTTATACGACATTTATGTCAGATTTGATAATATCCTATTTAAACAGGTCATAGTAATTCCTATGGGTACTTATTGTGCACCTTTCGTCTCCGATTTGTTTTAACATTGCTATAGAAGAGACTTTATGTTGAGTCTCTCTGAAGATACACAACAAAGATGTTATAATAGCATTTAATAACACTTCATGATACATTTATGAAATTTTTGATTTAAATAATTCTTATTTTGATCAAATGGTTTTTAATATCTAACCCAAAGAACTTCAACTGAATAAAACGCATTCTTGATATTTACCACATCATTTTTGGATCTTCATAACAATACTATTTACATAAAATCTATCATAAGATAGATGACTTTGATTTTGGTATAGTCAATTATCAATACTTAATCCAGATGCACCCATGCAACATCTTACGGGGTATATGTATCTCAGTTAATAAGATTAGCCAGGGTTTGTAGCGATGTAAAAGATTTTCACGAACGGAATATTTTCATTACTAGCAAACTTCTCAAAAAGGGCTACATTTATCATAAATTATGGAATTATTTTCCTAAATTTTATAATCGTAATTTCGATTTTATATGAAATTCAATAGCGATTTGAAAACTCGTCTACGACTAGGGATTAGCAAGCCTGATTTCTATGGAGATGGGATTTACAAACTTTTTGAGTCATGGTAATATTTATGTTGCCTTTTTTAAGATATTAAAACGTTTTTATAAAATACGTTATGGCCTTACTATCTTAAGACATACTGCATGGTTAGTGTTAAGCCCGTTTAACAGTTGGACACTACGCTTTCCTCTTTTGATTACAACTGACAGACCAAGTGAGAGACTATGATGGACAGTTCTAAAAGCCCATCGAACTGAATTGTTTCATCATCTTCTGCCATGCTGCATCGAGGGGGAGGAGCTTGTAGGTGATATTCTTGTTTCTCTGTCTTCCTTTAAGACATTGGATACTTTTGTTATAGTCATTGTGTTTACTTTTATATGTATCTACATGAGCACTTCTGTGTTCTACTTATTTATCTCTTTTGTAACCATAGACTTTGTAAAAATTACGCTTGGCGGGGATTCATTTTATTTATATTGTCTCGTTTAAAAGGAACATTGTGAGGCTATGAGTGAGGTTTAATGCACCAATAACCGGTTTAAACTCCTTAGCAGTACTTATGCTGTTACAAGGCGGTGCGCCCCTGTATTCATTAGATGTACATCTTGTTTATTGTTACATATAATTGTGGTGATACTATTGTGTCACTTACGTTTTTCTTCTACTGTGATAACCTTCCCTTTTCCTTATTTTTTTTGTTAATTTTACCCACACCATTGCCCCCTTCTTCTTCCTTCTGTCATCCTTCTTCCCGTTCGCCCTAACCCTTTTGTAGGTTTTTAGGTATATTTTCATTAATTAATTTTCATCCCGTTTTACCTTGTAAGTTTTTATGATTTCCTGTTTTATAATAACATCCCGTCTATTTTAAGACCTTGTGCCCCGTCCTGTTTGGTGTCCATCCGGGCTCCCTGTCGGTGGTCCTGTGTTGGAGGATGTGTTCGTTGAATGTCTCCCTGCCTTGTTGATGTTGTTTTTCATATTTTCCTCTACTCCGGTAATCTTCTACTTGTAAATGATAAACATATAACGTATGAACCTGGAAGCGTTGGTGGACACTCTACAGAAATAGAAGTAAAATATATTTTAATCAGCCAAAGTTACATTCCGGATAGTTACACTCTATTTTTCAGTTTTGTTTGTTTATTTCAGTAATGAAATAATGATTACGCATAAGGCGAAATTGTCTGGGTTTTTTTCTTCATTTTGCTAAGAATTGATCAAAGTATTGATATTTAATTTCTTTTCTCTATCACTGCGATATTTTTATATTCAGTAACAGATACACAATTCCAGACATTAATTCTTTCTATTTAAAAAGTTTTAATAGCTCAAATTATGATTGATTGTATAGCTACAGTTCAAGTGTGCAAGTTACAGTGAAAGAATTGTTAAATTTTGACTAAGCCATTAAACACTATACAATCATAAATACATAAATTGTACACGAGATTCATTGAAAAGGTTAGCTAAGAGTTGGAGCAAATAAATAATTAAGACAATTAGCAGAATATTCCATCATAAAAGTTTAATGATGCCATTGACGCACGCGCATTGATAAAAAGAAACAATTTATCAAAATTGAATGTCTAATCACATATAAATGTAATGTAATCATGTATATTTGAGCGAAATATACTGTTGGGATGTAAAATTGCTCTAGCATGTCGCTCAATATTAGGGAAATATTTTCAAACGGTGCAGTTCACTGCTATGATATGATATTCATGTCAGTGATAATTATTCTATGACTATCAAAGCCTGTTAACGTCGCTGCACGGGTGTGACATAAAGTTCTACAACTTCACAGACGTGCCACAAAAATCATGGAGAAAAAATACGGGATGAATTGCATCGCCACATAGGGAGGACGGGGCAGTGTCAAGACCTCTGCCAAATTCAGTTATTTATCAAGAGTTGCCAAATCTGTACAAAAATATGTACAAGTTTATGTCAAATTCGTGCAACGACGGATGTGATCAACAGTCAGGGTGGGAATAATCATCACTGACATCATTTACTTTTCACGTAACATCAAATTTAATGAACATGTGTGTTGTGTTTGTTAAGAAACTGAATGAATGGAATTTAAAACCATGTCTCTCAACTTTATTTATTTCAGCATGGTTGGGTCAATAATTGATATTGATACATTGAGACCATTTACACATGACCTTAAGTGTACTAGTACGTACTGATATTTTTCTTTCTCATTGCAAGTACACCTTAAAGCACGTGCAGATGAAATATCATTGAGGTATTACGATGTAAATCCTTTATGGGAAATCTTAGAAACAAGAGTAAAATATTCAAAAAGAGCTGGCATAGATGTCTTAATATATGAATTAAAGTTAAAGCGGAAACCCCAGCATGCACTGTTGACTTTATTTCTTCCAGTTTTGTTGCTAACCATTTTAGGACTTTTCGTGTTTGCAATACCTAATGGCGGTGATAGATCAGGATACGCGGTTACAGTGTTCCTTGCTTTCTCCGTCTACTTAACTCTTGTAGATTCTGTTATGTCTCCCAATTCCGAGAAGATATCACTGTTTTCGATATATCTAGTTGTTCAAACTGCCCAGTCAACAATCATCACAATTCTATCTGTACTTTTAACGAAAGCAGAATTAATGGACAAGGACACGACAGTACCACATTTTCTTGTGTTTCTAGTTAGAATTAGCAAGGTTTGCTGTAAGAAAAAGTTGAAATCCTACAACGTCTATACCATTGAAAGTATTGAAACGGAAACAACTTCGGATAGCAAGAGCGATAACAAAAAGGAGACCAAAAATGTCAAGGAAACATCACCTTGTACTTGGGACATGGTTGTAGACGCCGCTGATAAAATAGCATTAATATTCTTTACTGTCACTTTCATTGGAACAACCGTATGTTTCTTTTGTGTAATCATTCTTGCTAAACAATAACTGTTTTATTTGAGGGAAAAAACTTATCATGTAATACTTACTACATATAGATGCAGTGTAAGTTTTATCTTTTATCTGAAAGGTTGTAAATTAATTCGATGTGTCATCCAGCTAGTGTTCGCGATGTGTAAGACACCATGCGTTCTTGGTTGTGCAATACGAAATATATCTGATTTTCTATTCACATCTAGTTTATTTCACTGTCAAATGCATAATGCTAAAGAGACATGATCATTTAACATGTTTTGAGAAAAAAATAAACCAGGAGAATAGACCGCCATGAATACATGTATACATCACTGTTAAACACATATTTTTTTCTAAAATCTGCCCCTTTTGGATAAAAGCTGTTATAAGAACTGTGTTGAAAAAGTGTAAGAAATTGTTCCACATTAAACACACTATTCTACCTGTGAAACAGTGTTCCTGTAATAAATTCATAGCTTATTATATAGTGTTATAATGTATGCTAATGTATAGTAAACAATGTGTATTTCGATAATACAGGACGAAGGAACGAATGTCTCACTATCTCTGAGTTGTGGTTACCTTTTTCGACACAAATGACTGTCATGTCATGGAAACTTCTACAACTGTACATGTACTAATCTACAACTGTACATGTACTAATAACTAATAATTTTTATTGGTAAAAACGTTCATAGAATTACTACATTGTGTATCTTCTATCAAAATAAAAACCAATGTATGTACATGTATGTTTTGTATATATATTAACTTAATCAAGACTAAAATTTACATAGGGCTATTTATTTAAGGAGCATATTATCCTTTCTTTACAAGGAGTAATTAATTTCAGTTAGATTTTCTCATTTTATCATTTCTACTCAGTTTCTACATAATAACCAGGGCAACCTGTTTTATCTCAAAGTCCACAATCCGTGCTGCTGCTTAAACTAGTTATGAAATCCAGGACGAAGTGATCTGGCAAAACCTTTAAGCGCTATGTCCCTAAAAGAGAGTTTAATATCGAAAGGAAAAACAAGCAGAGATCCTGAATATATTTTAATACTTAACTGAGATAAGAAGATTGGATAAATCCGAATAATGAAAATTCAAGAGAGATACCATTCACTGAGGTTTGTCTCGGTTAACACAAGTCCTCAAACTTCTCGCACAAATCGCAAGAGATTAAATAATGGTATATTGTGCTTCTGGCATGCCTTATGTGCTGTTAGCTCGTAAAATCCTTTTTTTCTCAGAGCCGAAATCACTTGTTGTGCTTCAATATGTCTTTTTTTGCTGGTAATGTTCAGTAACAAGCTTAGTCATATGATATATTTTGGAGAAGTTACCTTTTTATCTTTTTAAAATTGTCAGCCTCCAAAACGAATTAACCAGTCTTATAACAATGGGTTATGAGACACAACTTTGCTGTCATTCTTACCAAACTTCCCTTTTACAACATATTTACTTCTTCTAAGAATTTGCACTAAGTTATCGTTGCATTATGTCGCCAGTGACATTCCGTAGTTCTCTAACCGCAATCTCGCTATAAGTCTACATGCAGTTCAAGGTACGTACGGTGGAATTACAGTAGTATTAAAACGTAACATCCGGACTAACTCCTGATGTAATTTATTCCAGCTTGATTATTTATGTATACATTGTTTAATGCCATGATCGTCATTGAACTATTTATTGTGATATCTGTCTTTACTTCAGTGTAATTGCTAACTTGCAAACACGACGGTCAAACAATTGTGCTCTGTTGAAAAAACTTAAGACGAGTCTACGAAATGCCTCTGCTCAGGTGTTGAGTTTCCAATGATAGCATTTAACCAATCAACCGGTTGCTAAGAAATCGTCTTATTTCATTTCATTTCATTTATCTTAACAATATAGTATGATTGAGTCAATCTTTAACTCAAGTTCAATAAAGCTTTAATATGATAAGCAAATAATAACAATTTTTTCCTTAAGTGTAAATATACGCCTAAGGTTTAAAGCATAATCAACGTATATGTCAAATCCTAACTATGATAGAGTAATCAAAATTGTTGGCATATCAAAGGCATGTTTTGAAAGGCTATTATTATCACATAACTTAATATTTGGACCATAGCCTTAGATGTATATATCCTACATCTGACTTTCACATTTTTGAAAGGAAGGTTGGCTCTTCACAAATACTTGTCTGAATGCACCGGATAAATACGGATATACTCAATTTCATTTTCGCCATAGGTTGGCATTTATTACGCACATTAACATATTATGCAGTGAAGTATAAAACAAAAGTCGCCGTGAAAAGGAATGTCTTCTATGTGTACAAACATTATAAACCACCCTTAACAAATATTCGTAGTACTGCATATGATTAAAATGGGAAATTTATAACAACGATCTTATATTCCCTTTGTAAATGAAATATATAAAGCACACGGGCTTGAAAAACTCATATAAGAAAAATGAATTTGAAAGTAAAGCTTATTTACCGAAATATAAAAATGATGTCGGGCAGGCAAAAACACAATGAATTTCAAATATAACAATGTTTTCATTATGAACATTTAATCAATCATTAAATGACAATATTTTTTTATGTCCCTTTTATAAAAAAAATTGTTCATAATAATTTTGTCAAATCTGTACAAATGCTGTATCAAACATTCTTAAGATCTTAGATTCAGTTCTCCTTATTGTATTATGTATTCATTGTATTTCTTGGTAATTTAATATATACAGAATTATGTTTTATTTCATTCTAATGTGAATTTTATACTTAGTTATTAGCGAAGCTGATCATCAAACCAGTTTTGCAGCAGAGGAAGCTGTTAACCCCTATGCTAAATCTACTTTGCATTACCAAATTTACACAGATGATAAGCCAGTAACGCCAAAACGCTACTGACCATAAAAATACTGTCATATTTAGTGGTACCGCGTGCTTCCAATCCATATATCTCAAGTATTTTCAGAAAAGCAAGACGAACAATATCTATCTAATCAATGTATGGCTTTAGCTTCATTTTGTGCAATATTCATCTTTTCTGTTTTCTCAATCCCGTTTCCCAGAACTTTGGAAAATGACGACTGAAATTGTTTATGTAAAGAAGACATTTGTTGTTTTGTTTATACTCCACAACATGGTATGTTCTTTACTTTTCAATCAATAATGTCACGTTAAGAAGCTTTGCGGGATACAATTCTGGTATACTTCCAGTGTGTAATAATAATAATAATAATAATAATAATAATAATGATAACTATTGTTTCAGGCAGTCGACCGACAGGCAGTTTTAATTTGAGAAAGAGCATTGACCATAATCGAGATATTAAAAAAAAAACATTTGTATTTGCAAACGATGCAATTTTATTTAATTGGATGATAAAATTGTGTAACAAACATAGAAAATGATACTGTCTATGCGAAACATGCTTTTATCATAATTTCAATCTGAAAGCATGCTGTTCAAAACAACATACGCAAACTCTGTTTTCAAAATGCTTTCCACTTTTAATATCGATAATGAGTGACACCAAACAGATGCATAACCGAACATGATTATGATATAATTATGCGTGAGAACATGTTTATGATATAATAATGCATGAGAACATGTTTATGATATAATTATGCGTGAGATCATGTTTATGATATAATCATGCGTGCGAACATGTTTATGATATAATTATGCGTGAGAACATGTTTATTATATAATAATGCGTGAGAACATGTTATTGATATAATCATGCGTGAGATCATGTTTATGATATAATTATGCGTGAGAACATGTTTATAATATAATTATGCGTGAGCGAACTAACAGACATGGATGCCAAAATTGTGGATGTATATGTAGTTATTTTTTAATAATTGATAACTTAACAAATTAATGTTTCTATTGACACTAATCTAGTCCGTGTGCGGTTTGTTTTGCATTTTTGTGCATTGTATTGTCTTTAACTAAAACCATAAAAGCCTCTAAACGCTTCAACTAAATATCACTATTTGATGAAAAGTTTTACCTTGGAATATTCGATGTTATTTGATATCTACTCTGTATCATTTCCTATGTTTGAAAAATGTACTCAATGTTATTATTTTTGTGGCCTAATACCGGTTTGACTTTCTGTAAAATTTACACGGAAGAACTGAATACAAGAAGAGTTTTCATAAGTCATTTCAAATTTACAAAATGAAATATTGGAATCTCATTGGCTATTCTAAAGAAAATGTAAGGGATAGTTCTCGTCATTCTAAGGTAGTTCTAAACAAAAAGTGAAAAGGATAGTTCTTGGCGTTATAAAATAAAATGGAGAGGATAGTTCCTAACAAAATATACAAGATTCTTCTTTATCTTTCTAGTAAAATTGTTAAGATGTCTAAATTCTCTTTAACAATACTTCCTTCAACAAAACATATTAGACAGGATTCAAATCCCATTTCATTTTCTAGAAAAACAGTTTATTTTACGTAAGGACTTACTGAGTTTACTTTACACAAAACACAAAATCTGAGTTTTAAATTTTGATCAAAATAACGAGAATAATATAAGAACTTTTCAGGTACCCTTACTTTAAGATGTTCAATAAGTGTCAAATATACATTGTATTATATGATAATTGATGTATTCAATAAATATGGTGTATATAATTTCCATATAATTTTGCATATTAATCAAGTGTTAATAAAAATAATTGCCTACAGACTGCGTAAATGTTGGTGTCAGAAATTGATTTCAGATACTGAAACACGACGGGTTCGTTTAGAAACACATACATTTTGAACTTTAGTGTTCCATTTTTCAAGATTTATAACCTTACAAGAAATAAGTATGTCATTTTAAGCAAGCTATGCTAACATTTCTATGTGACTTTGCGCAGGAGATTGTTTTCCTCCGTTTGCACAATCTGCACGGAAGTTAAACTTTGGCGTAACGGTAGACAACTTGTTCAATTGTCTATATAAGTCAAAGTGCTAGCAGATCACAAACTCACTGACGGATTAAAGTGTAATAATTTGATTACTTTTTCCGTTATAATCTTATTTTGATAAATTGTTTTACACATAACATTTATTTATAATGCTTCCGGTGTCCTTTCCTTCAAAGTAGCATTGATATCACATGGAGGTTACTCAACTACAAATTGTGAACGCTACAAATGATATAGACGCATATTACATCAAAATGAAAGATATCAGTCCAGAGTGCAGCGGTGTATTTCCGATCACGATTTAATTTAATTTATTTCTAATTTAATTATTCATTATTTCTTATTAATTTGCAATATTTTTTATTTTCTACAAAACATGACAACTGAATGTATCATATTGCAGATCGCTTCGCTTATACGTATTCATTGCATTTTCAAGTACAGCTGTAACTTTTTGTAAGTAACGCTTCGTCAAGCATATTGACAATTTACAAGTCATGAGAGTCTCATTTTGCATAATTTAGGAATTTTGTTTAAAATAGGAAATGTGAAGTTAATAACTATCACAAGTAACAAGGAATGCACCAAAGGTTTATGTAGGCATTTATATTGTACAACATAATAAGGTATTAGGCGTTTACTCTTAAGGTAAGATTTTTTTTAATGGACTAAACGTGTTGGGAATCTGTAATGCTCTTAAGAAAGAAGTGTACATTCAACTTTTGATTAATGATTGACTCAATTTGCCGAATGTGTAAAGATCATTTTATGCATTTGTTTTCAATTCATATAAAACTCTTATTTGCACATATGTACTGAGTGTTTTTCTAAATGATTATATGTTTTTGTCATCAATACGTAGTTCATCAAGTAATTTGTACAGTATAATTGACCCTTTTGTAACGTGTTATTGACTCTTGACCTAGTGTCAAACTTCCTACATTTAAACATGTAGTTCAAAGTGGAAGTAGCACTCTTGGTCTCCTTATAGCAAAATTAAAAAATTAAGGGGGTTTGCATTTTAATGTTTATACGAAATTGTAATATACATAAGTTGTACCTGTTATAACAAATGGAGTTTCTATTTGGGGTACCAAATCTAATAGTTGTATTAATAGTATTCATAACAGAGCTATGAGGTATTTCTTAGGCACGGGTAAATTAACACCAAATGCTGCTGTATATGGTGAAACAGGTTGGAATCCAATTATTGCTGAACAATGTAAATCAGTGGGTAACCACTGGCACAGAACACTCTGTCTTAGAGAAAGTAGAATGAATAAGAAAATTTTCAACTTGGCTTTTAACAAAAAGGGAAAAAATTGTAAAAACTGGTGCTACATTGTTGAAAACACTTAATTGTCATAAGGACTTGATGTTTATCAATATGTTCATTTCACGTTAAGTCGCAAAAGTATGGTTGATGATTGAACTAAAGCTTTGGTTGATGTTCATATCGCTCAGAGGACAGCGGATATTTCCAGGGAAAACAGAAGCAATGGTTCCGGGAAAAATAAACTTCGTACATACAGGCATTTAAAAAAAGAGTATGTTACAGAGAAATATTGTTGTTTCTAACAGGCCAGCTTTGGCTAAATTCCGTTGCGTAGTTGCACCTATCCGTCTTGAAACTGGTCGATATGAACATTTACCAGAACATGAAAGAATATGTCTACTTTGTCTAAAATGGTATTGAAAATGAAATGCATGTGATAATGGAATGTTCTATGTATGAAAACATGAGGAAATCATTGTTAGATTATGCCAACTATACTTGTGACTTGTTTAATTCAATGTCAAAACATTAAACGTTTAGTTGTCCACAAGGACACTCATGTGATAAGATTGCTCGCAAAAACCTGCTGTGATATTCTTAAATATAGAAACAACATGTTGTATAGTAAGAATACTAATTAAATTGCAAAACAAAACTTTTGTTTGACTATACAATAGCACAACTTTTAACACGTTTACAATTGTTTTTATTGTTAATACAAGTACAATTTAAAGATGTTTATAAGCGAACTGGAAATTATTCTTCTTAAAGATGTAAGGTTTTGTAATTAGGACCAAATAAATTATTTTGACTAACTGTACAAATATAACATTTTAACTTATCATATGGTTTTAAGTAATTAGTATTTTACCATCTTCATTTAGCAATATATATAAATTAGTTTTTACAGGTACTTTGAAAAAAAACTTTTTTTTATCATTTAGCCACTTTGTACTTGATTGAAGTAAGAAGTAGATTTCTTTTATGTGTGAGTGATTTCCTTGTCTCTTGTAATTCTTATATAGAATGGCTGTGTACATGTCTCATGATATTGTTTGTTTGTAATATACTATATGTACAAATATGAGACACAAATAAACAAATATATATATAAACAGGTAGTGAAAGTCGAATTTGTAAAATGAAGTGTTTCACTGATATAGATAATGAGAAAATACGATGAGTGAAATTATGAAACAATCATGTCAGATAACAAATGGTAGTAAAATTACATACAATTATAATGTGGAAGATCACAATGAAATAGAAAAAACAACTGGTTAAAATTTATCTAAAAGAAGAAAGCCCAAAGACAGGCTAAATAACATCAATGAAGAGGAAATGAAAGAAATGAGTGAAATTATAAAACAATCATGTCAGATAACAAATGGTAGTAAATTACATACAATTATAATGTGGAAGATCACACTGAAATAAATAAAAAAAACTGGAGAAAATTTATCTAAAAGAAGAAAGCCCATAGACAGGCTAAATAACATCAATGAAGAGGAAATGACAGAAGACCATTAAGATGACATATTTAATGTTGTTATAGCTGAAGATTTAACAGATGGCCAAACATTATCGGTGTTTATTAAATAGTTTCATTTAAATATTAATATTTACTTATAAAATGGGTTTATATATAAAATTCCAAAATAACATCTTAAGATACTTAAAATGTCAGCATTTGAATTGTTTTTAAAACAGCAAACGTTATGTTAAAGTTTTCTCCAAAAATGAAAATTGGTTAATACAACAAATAGTTTCTCAGGTGACATGCTGTTTGGCAGCAGAGCTTGCACTTGTCTCTCTTTTCTGATTTAAGCCCTAATGGAAACATTATGGAGAAATTTTCCTCGTGTTTTTACCCAATTGTCAAGTCATGTTACTGAAAATTTTCTTTTTTGTCAATAACTCAAAAGTGAATATCGCACAAATGTCTGTAAAACTTTCATTTTGTAAACAATTGTATAGATATAATTTTTTCTGTTTTGCTTATTTGAACACATTGTTGATACCCGTCTCTTATCTTTTCATATTAATTATTTTATCGGAGTTGTTTATCAACTAGATAATCATTTAGCATTTAACGCCCTACATAAATTGTAAGTGAATTTTTTACTTATGTAAAATTTAATGATATTCATCATTGTTTACGGGTGTGAAAGCTACATTATGTAAATTATATATCATTTTACTAGTTGTTTATGTTCAAAATGATAGATAAATGACATAGATAAATGTATGCAAAACTTGTACTGAAGAATGAATGTTTATGATTAACAACTGCGCATCAAAATTTAAATTTTAATGTTTTGCCACCATAGTTGATTTAATTATCATGAATGGTGTCAGGCTGAACACTAAATTGTGTTCATGTTGTTGTCGATGGCGTGCTTATGCCTACATTATAGTGGCAAGGCTCTATTCTGTGACCTGCGCAATTGTAATAATTTGGTATTGAAATCCATTTAGATATATTATAACATTTATCGATTTTGCGACTCCGTAAAAATGGTATTGCATGACCGTGCATATATTTTGAAGTGACGTTATTGGCGTTACACAAACATATTGTAAATCAAACTGCTCACAATGACAACCTCCCTTGGCAGAATTGTACGCCAGAGAATTAAGGGGAGATCACTGCGTAGAGATTGAGTGCACTGTACTGCATGCGCGTCAATGAAAAATGACTCTTTTTTCGATCTAAAAAAAAATTATGATATGTGATAAAAAGAATATTAAATTCATGTAAGTAACTCAATTTATTGAACTCGTTGAATAAAATGATATTATGCTCGCCAAAGGCTCGTATAATATAATTTTGTTTAAATCGTGCAATAAATTCAGTATTGCACTGACAGTCATTCATTATCCTCCATATATATGTATATTTTCCCTTCAAACAACAAAATACTATAAATGATAAGAACAAAGTTTATGAATAAGTAAGATGACATCTATTACAAATTTATCATACATGTATACATGTAGTCAGACGGCAATAAAATGTCGTAGTAAGACACTTAGTTGTTGTTTTTGGATTTTAAGCAAAGCTCCGAAATTTTATTGAGAAACGCTTACTTTATGTGGTATAAATTGCAGTTTAACCATTAACGTAATAATAATGTTGTACACATCAAGGCATATCAAGACGAATCTTGTAGCTAGAAGGTTCTGTCAACGAAAATTGTCACCATTTCATGAAGAATATTTTTTAAGATATCTTAGAAGTGAACATTTGTATTTATTTGAAATAAATGAATTTTGCGAAACTAATACTTACAAATGTACAAAAGTAGATGTTTTCGGAAAAATAATCCTCAAATTCTCCACCAGTATATTTAGCGTTACAAGATAGTGAGTTTAAACCGCAAATAAGTAAAATTATTACACCCGAATGGAAAACAAATTGGGACAAACTTCTTTATATCAACCCTTGTCTTGATAAATTACTATCTCTATCCTCCTTTACTGTTCTTCTTTTATACAGAATTGGACATACTAAAAATACATATTTTTACCTTTTAACATGTAACGATGGAATGATTATCTTCTGTCAAATATTTCCATCTTGAATGCCACAATCTTGATCAATTATTTATTTAAAGGAGATGAATAAGAAAGGGGATTAGAAGTTATTATCGAAAATCCCAAAATTACACTATTATAGATATACAAATTGTGTATGACGAGGCTATCATATGAAAATTACTACTTTTTTACAAAAACAAACACAAGATTTCTTCTTACATGTACAATAATGTGGATTTCAGCGCATGCACTTAAAACACAAACTGGAGCACCTAGAACACAAACTGGAGGTATGGTTAAAATAGATTAAGTTTGTAATGTTAATATAATGTATTGATTAATATTTTGTATCAATAATTAATATTTTAATCATTTTAACATTTTGAAATCAATTGATTATATACTTTGGCACACAGAAACCTATGTTGTATGAAAATCTAGAATTGTTTATTTTTCTGGTAAATATCTAAACTCTCCGGAAAATTGTTGTGTTTCTCATTGTATGTGTATATTTGTATTTCTGTGGTTATAAACATTGTACATGTACTACTTAATAAACTTCGTATTCACATTTGCATAATATCCGGTATTATATTCAATTATCGTTTGAAAACATTTTTCTGATATAAAAATTGTTTTCATTTACTTTATTAAGTTAGGAAATTTAATGGTGGTTAAATATTAACCTTTTCCCCATTTAGATTCTTATCGTTTATATGCGACTGTCTCTAATCTTTTTCAAATTATTTATTTTATCACCATTTTGCATTATAATGTAAAATACAAACTCATTCAGCAGACAATCTCTATTAAACAACTTCAATGCTTTTTACGTAATTATAAATGGGTAAGAAGGTTTCAAGTAATGCGCACTTTGTAAAGAATGTAAGTAAAGAATGTAAGTTTTTGTACGTAATGATAAATTGGTTAAATACGATTAAGTAAATGCAATACTAGCAAGAAGGATTGTTTATGTCTGTCAACTTTTTTTTAGATTAAAATTTCGATTATAACTTCACAAAGTTGAAGGCATTATCATAAAGAAACTATAAATTTTATCGGATTGCATGCAAGTTTTAATGTTCAAGGTATGTTGCAATAATTCAAGGTTTGTTGCGATAATTTTAGGTTTGTTGCGATAATTTAATATAAGGTTAGTTGAATAAATACGTGTCTTTGTCATCAGTGTAAAGGCAAACTGGCCTTCATTATCATTTTACGTGATCAGCCTCTATACCGTGGTCGCAATAATTTCAATATTTTGATATTGAAATTCTTTTTAATACTCGCGTTCCATCTAAAATATGATAGGTAGGTAGGTAGGGCGGCAGGGAGGCAGACAGGCAGGCTGGCAGACAAACAGACGGACAAATAGATACGCAATAAGAGAGAATTCTCACAAGAAAAATAAACATATGCGGAAACTTCTATTGCTTTATGTATATCAGTTCAGAATGGAATATTTTATTTGATATTGCAGCAGATTTCTACATTTATAGGTACAAAAGAATGGACTTCAAGATATTAGTACTGCTTCTAGCGTCGACCACAAGATGTGTCTGTGTGTTCATATCAACTCCTACCAGCAACGCTTCAGAAAGACATCGCCTTTACACGGAACTTTTCGTTAATCAGGGCTACAACTCTAAGGTTCCTCCATTCCCATATGAATTAGGCGCTTTTGGTATGTTTTTTTTTTGAATAATTTTGTAGTCTATACTGTATATCCAATACAAATCGAATGTATTGAAAACTGTGTAGCCTAAAATATGTGTACAATATTTATGACATTATGTGAATACGGGTGTAAAATTGACATTGATTAATTTTGTTCGAAAATATTTGCGAAACATTAAGAAAAAATAATATAAGCCAAATCTTATATTTTATGTCACAAAATAAGACTTTGTGTATTTGAATGAAAAGCCGACAAAACGAAATTGTATAACCTTTTACAATAAAACAAACAATAAACAATAAATAAAGTTTCCTTTAAAAAGGAAAGGCATGCCTAGTTTTGCCATCATCCCATCCCTTTAAAAATGATTTTTTAAACCTCCTAAATCAACTCTTTATGATAAAGAAATAATTATAAAATAATTATAATAAATTGACCTTATATACCAGTTAAAAACAAGGTACCTATGTTTTAACAGGTATAGAGGGTCAATTTATGATCACATATTTTTTATTATTTGTATATCATAAAGTTAAGGGTTTATTTAGTTAGTTTTTTTTTTCGAAAAAAAAAGTTTTACTTTTAAAGGGGTAGGTAGGGTAACCCCAAGACTGGACGAGCACCTGTGCTTATTTGTGCCACCAGTGTTATGCGTGCAAATTTGGACAAAAGAAGGACCAGAAGTCCACTGATTATAACTGAGCCGGAACATGCTGACGATAACAGTTACAAATTTTTTTGTATAAACGAATATTTTTTTGTCAAAAACGATTTAAAATCTATTCTCTATTGTATAAAACTAATAATGAAAATAATCAATCATTGGCTCTCCCACGTGGAGGAAATAAAAGTATCTATCTATCATACTGAAGGGAAACAAGCGTGCACATTTCATTTCCACTTTTTTCGCAGAAAGGGTCATTCGTTTTGGCAGTTGCTAATTTCATTTAATATCAGCCTTATAGACAAGTAAATGCGCTAAAAGACTTCGTTACGTGGTACCAATTAATATGCATGTATCAACTATGTTATACCTAATATATCTATGTCCTTTGTCTATTGATCACAGATAAACTGACCACAAAGGATGCGCTATCTGTAGATCAGCACGTGGTAAGGTTAATGATATACATGGGCTATTTTTAGATTACCGATCACCAAGACGTTATACTGTAGTTTTAAACCCACTTTGGAATTGCGTTTAAATATAAGGCACAGTAGATCTAAATATAACTCGATCGCAGACAAATGTGATAGAGCTATGCAATTTTAACTTGTCATTCGGTCATGATCTTTTGGTAAGTAGGACCTCCATTGAAGACGGAATACTACTACTGTAGCCATTTGCTATTGTATAAAACTAATAAAGACAAAAATCAATCATAGAAGAAACTAACTTTTGCGACTTGAAAACGAATTGAAACGGAAAATTTTCGTTTATAATTTGTTTCTTCATTCTACTAACGCTTTAAACGGATAAATCAATTAAAAATAGAAATCCTATATACAGAAACAAATTGGGATTACCGAAGTAACTAAAATAGCTTAGATTTCCGTAATATTACTTCGTCTGATTATTCCGCAGTATGACGGAATCGCCCGAATTGTCACGATTGCAGTGGAAACCTAGACTGGTTTCCCGTTCCATCATGCAGTAACAAATGTAAGCAGGAAACCACCTAATTGGAACAACAAAACAAATGGCTTGTGACTGTGGCCGCAAGCCAAAAAGGGCATTTTCTCCACTATTAGTATTTTCAAATAATTATCGACGCCATATTAACTGACATTAAAAGTTATTCGGATATTGGACTAAATGTAGTTTTATCTGTATAATAATTGTGCAGAAATATGTATTATAGTGTTATTATTTGTGCTATTTTTGTTGAAAGCAAATGAGTTTATGTGGTAAACATGTGGAAACATTTTTCTCATAAACTAGCAACGCGACGCTGTGAAATTGTAATAGATTAAATCCATAGTTTATGTACATCGCACTTATTCTATTGAACAACAGGTATGATTAAAATGTGTTGTCTCAATTTTGGGACGATGGGATGATTTTCTGTTACAATAAGTAGTTTTGGGGCATTAGATTGTATTTCAGTAAATGATCTGTTTTATTTTTCAGATGTAAGCATATCTTTCGAGCTTGAAACGATAATTGACTTAGATCAGATAACAGAAACATTAAAGACAGCATCTTATATGGTCATAGAATGGAACGATACATACTTACAATGGAACAGAACTGAATATAACAACTTATATTTGACATTCTGGCCTCAGGTAACATACCTTTCGTATTGCCTTTCTCTACTTGTGTCATGTACACGAGGATTATTCAGATATAAATATCACTTGGCGCATAGTAATGTATCCTTAATAGATATCACTGAAAAACATATTTTGTATTCACCACCAAGAAATATACAATGTTTCAGTTTTGCCATTGAATGCAATTTCATAGAATTTTAGATATAGTATGAATCACAGGAATATTTCAGAACTGATGTGTTTGTGCTTGGCAAATTTTTGCTCTGATAAGATCTTCTTGATTTAAACGTATTTATTTAAGCTAGATTTCGGAACAAGTTCTTGCAACTTATATTCATCACTTTTGAGCCCGCTTCATGGAACCAACCAGTACTGTTGTCATATGAAGAAACACGGTCGTGACCCATGGTCACTGGGTTGAGTGGCAGACAACTTAACCAATAGGCCACCGCTCCGCTAAATGGTGGGTTTCGAGTTGTACAGAATATGACCTACATTACCTGTTTTACATATACGGTAGCGATAAAAGGACATGGCTTTGTTGCCAATAGTTTAGATTATGAACTTTTCATTGTACCGACATGTATATACTAGAACGGTTGTCTACCCTGTATTCATTATACTTAAATACAGTGAGTTGGCCAATAACGGGTCACTAGCGAAACTTTTAGTGGTTATGAACGAACGATTTTTAGATTCATATATAAATGTATGATGATAAGAAGTATTTTTATTCCCCCTTTACTGTATACTTCTTGTGAATTCATATTTTGAATGAATCGTGGTGTATTTATCGTTTCCAAACCCTTTGTAAACATGCCAATAGCGGGTCAAATCGGCCATTAGCGGGTCATGTGATATACGAACGGGGGTTTTCTCAAAACATTAATTATCTGTCAAATTCTTCCCTAAGCCTGGAAAATATTACACAACTATGTGTTACCGCTGAGTATTAAAGTGAAAAGGGTACCAATAAGTAAAGAATCCAAGTGGCAGCTGTTTGATTGTGGTAAAAACAATAATGATTATAATTATGCTGATCTAGATATCTGCTTAATGAATTGTAAATTGTGTAGATAACACATTTATTTCATTTTCAGGGTTACAGGGGACAAAGCAGCTCATCGAAGTAATTTTGTGCACATTCTATGTAAAATTCCATTAAATTAACTGTAACACAAGTCTCTTGTTGTGAATCAAAAGCTCAAGAAATTTGCATGTTCTTCTATGTTGTCATTATGTGGATACACTTTCTAAGAATAACAAACAAAATTGTCAACTGATTTTCTCTTTTTGAGTACACTCTGTGATATAAACAAACAAAATTATAACAAAATACATGTAATGATGTAAAACAATATTGACTACATCATTTAACAATACTGACTTGGTTCAACGTCAATCCTAAAAAAACACATGTGAATAACGTTAAACAATATTGACTAGATCATTAACAATACTAACTTGGTTCAAAGTCAAACCTAAAGAAAAACCCATGTAATTATGTAAAACAAAATTGACTCGATCATTAAACAATACTGACTTGGTTCAACGTCAAACCTAAAAAAACAAAACATTTAATTATGTAAAACAATATTGACTTAATATCATTAAACAATATTGACTTGGTTCAATGTCAAACCTAAAAAAATACATGTAATGATGTAAAACAATATTGACTAGATCATTAAACAATACTTGCTTGGTTAAAAAAAATTATGAATTTTCAGTCATTAACAGGCACATTTTGTGTATGAAAGATTAATAATTCTGTCGAAAGTGCAAAAATGAGATTAAATATGTTGTAATATGGATTTATATCATATGAGATGCTTATCATCTGATAAAAATTCCTTTGAATATAAAATCATTGTGATAAAGCAAGTAAATAAATATAAAATACTAATTAACTTAACCTAAGCAAAAAGGAAACTAAAAATGAATATGACCAATAAGTAACTTTTGGAAAGTGCAAAATGGACATTAAAAATAACTAAGCTTTGAAAAAATAAAGTGATAGCCTTAAAATAACAAGACTTTGAAAAAAATAATGATAGCATTGTTAGGCTTAATTAGCCCTCTGTATTTTTCACCACTGAGGAGGCTGCATTCTGGGCTGGACTACATTGAACACTTTTCTCTTTCTCTTAGGTATTAGAATCTGAAACAATAAAACAAGTAAACAAATGAGCTTGTCATGTCATGATGTGAGTATAATGACAAAGAACAATAACCAAAAGTCCGGGAGGGGGGTGTGGGGTGATTACAAAAATATTCATACTAGAGTGATAAATCTATCACATGCGATGTGTGTATTAATAAGTAACAAACATTTGAAGATAAAAGTAGATACCACAAGAAATGAAGAAGTTATAATAATAATAATAATAATTTTTTTTTATTAAATTTTAAACAAAATTCTAAGTTCAATTGGGAAATAATTCTGTAAAAAAATGTGTGCTAAAGTAATAAATTTTGTCACACATCCTGTGGGTGATGATAAAATACATGTATTTAAAGTTTAAAATGGATAACTTAAAAATAAAGAAGTTATTGTACAGTTAAAAATAATATTTTAGAATCTAGTCTAGAACAATTATAGTATTTCAATGTTGCAGCAGTTTATACTACATAAAACACCATATTTTAGCATGGACTGCATAATTCACTTGAAATAATAACATAAATAAATTAAATTTTATATTTATTTGTATAAAAACCAAAATTTGCTTTCTTTTTTTCTTTTTCTAAAACCTGTTTAATAACTTTGAGGCGGTCCCTTCCTGGAAAATTACATGACCCGTAATTGGACAACGTCATGCAATTTAATTGACCAGCGCTATCACTATAATTCCTCATGCATTTTTTAAACGGCTGCTGCTGCAGATAGTTAACATATTGGGCATCAAATACCTACCAGCTTTGATCATATATCTTTTGGGGTTTTTCAGCAATAAAGCAGCGACTGCGAATTTGTGTTGTTACTGGCGCAATATTTCGCGACAAACGGAAACGCTTGGTAAAGCATCTGAATGAATCTGATTAGAATTATCCGGATGTTTACATTTTTTTTTGCTGTCGAGGAGCTAACATCCAAATGCACATGACTGTTAGGTTATAACACTTTTAAGTTCAAAACATTAAGTAAAATAATTTATTAAATTACTGACTGACCCGTTATTGGCTATGATCCGCTATTGGCTAACTCACTGTATATAGACAATGGACGAATGGACCGACGGACGCCGGACCCAAAGCGATCACAAATTGAGCTAAAAAGAAAAGCTGCATGTACAGCAGCCATTATTTGATATAATATTCTGCATCTTAAACTGGTACATATATATAAACTTTCATAACTGTACATGTATATAAAAACACAAACTTCATCCTGTGAAGCAGTAATATGCTAGCTTAGAACATTTACTGACCAATTTACCGATGTAATCCAATTTTATTATCAGGTACGCTGCATGTTAATAATCTGATTGATGCAAGATAGAAATTGATCACTTTTTTCTCTTTTGGTTTCATTAATTTAGATATTTTTCTTCTATTAAATACTGAAATTACTTTGAAGTTATTTCGTTTTGAAATCGGAAATGCGTGATTTCAACACCGCTCAAACATACAGCGCTTCCTCCATATTCAAGTTTCAAAAGATTTCAAAATACTTTAATTGGATTTTTTAAACATTTAGATTATTTTCAAAGTAAAATATATTTTGAAAAAGTTATATCAGCCTGCTTATATACATTTTCAGTTTTCCCTCAAATATTCAAAATACGGAGCAATAAGCTCACAAGCAATAAGGGTCACAAGCAAGATCAATTTATAACTTGATTTTGCATTCAACAAAGTTATGCCTTTTTAAAGCATTTAAAGGAACATTATGATTATTCATTTGCTGTCAAGTTGAGCTGACTTAGTTTTATTATTTCAAAAAAGTTGACATTTTATGGTTACTTATCAATAATTGATATAGACAAATGTTTAGATAAAAATATATAAAAGCTGCTTGCCTCAAAGCTCATTCTGATTTTCATGAATTTTTTTTAAGTTAGATATTGCCGAATGAACATAGAAAGCAATTTACATTTTGCAAACCACACAAATAACCCACGTAAATTTTCATTTAACAATATGAAAAAAAAAACATATTGCGTTAGTCACACAGTAGAAATACGATAATAAATATTGCGAAAAAAAAATTATTACTCGCATTTAGATTATTCTACTTTTCGCAAACATTGAAGGTTCCATGATAAACGCCGTATAAACACAACACATCTGCGGATGTTTCTAAATTCAAAAAAATTTACCATTTAATGTTTAAATGTTAAATTCTGCTTAAGCCGGTGCTAGGGGCATTGATGGAAGTTTGCACTTTACAGTACCGTCCATGAACAGACTCAATCAAACCGAGTCTGCAACTTTTTCAATTTTGCCGTGTTGGTCTTTCTTTAGGGATTCTTATTTTCTCTATTTTACAACTTTTAAACAGAGAAAAATCTAAAAAGATGTCTACATTTTTCAATGAACATTGTGGATGCATTGTATTCATTATGTTTTTATAAGATTTTTTTTTATTATATTGGGTTTTTGATTCCTGGAAAATTAATATAAAACTTAAAACAATCACGATGGAATCAGAGTTGTTTTAACACCACTTATACTTTGATTGTTATTAGAAACAGGACAGATAATTGCTTGAAATTTAAAATGTATATTGATCCTAACAAGCAAGCACAGGAGGCAAAGTTCAACAACTCTCTCTACTTTTATTTACTGTCACACTGGTCTATCTGTGATACCATTTGAAAATTTACAAGCAAGCTTATCTCTAAAACACTGAGTACATGCAATTACTAACAAATTACATTAAAACCATAACAGATACATGGTTATAGGCAAGCTCAGAGTTTCACAATTATTAATGTTATTTCTAAATGGTTGTACTTTTTAAAAAAGAATAAGTAAGAATTGACTGTTTTATTTCATAAGAAAGCACAATCAAAGGTTATATTGTCGTATTCAAACCTGTTAATAATTGAAACTGAAGTGAAGTCCACACGGCACTTGACATCTGCTGCTGTGAAGTATAAACATCTGGAAACAAAGTGATCCCTCGACATCTGGAAACAAAGTGATCCCTCGGAAGCATTAATCACAACAAAATTACATGAAAATTGCAGACTCAGTTTAATTGTGTCTGTACATGAGGTATAATGAATAAGTGCAACACCCCTCACGCCCCCTAGGATCGGCTTAAGCGTTACTCAATTCTCAACACCTAAAAGTGCTGGAGTCAATGATCCCGAAGAACCAGAAAAATATAACACTTGAGTGAAGTACGGGCAACTTTTTACAGCTGCCACACTGCACTTGACACCTGCTGTCGTGAAGTATAAGCATTTGAAAACAATGTGATCCCTCGGAAGAAATAATCACAACAAAATTACATGAAAATTGCAGGCTTGGTTTGATTGAGTCTTTACATGAGGGATAATGAATAAGTGCAACATCCTTCACATTCCTTAGCACCGCCTTGAGCGGTACTCAATTCTCAACACCACTTAATAGTGCTGGCATCAATGATTTCGAAGGACCAGAAAACCCTCAGTTGAGATTAAATGTTTAAAATTTGTTTAAAAATACTTTCACTCAAAAGGCCCATGACGTTAATATAGATATTTCAATTTGAATATGTATTTGAAATTTATATGACTAGACAGGACGTTCTAGTTTACTGGTAGACCTCAGGTGCCTCTCTTTTTAATTATTTCAAACACAAACCTAGGAAGAGCCACCGATGCTTTATAAGCTAGCCGAATGGCTTTGTCAAAAATATAAATTGTGATCTGAATAAGGAACTGAAGCGTATAAACAATGAAATATGATAAACAAAATCAACAAGGAAATGTGGCGTTCAATGAACGCAACCTCATTCAATGCCTCATCGCACACCTTGGCATCGGACAGGGAACACTAGAAATTCAGTCCTGGTCTGCCTTGGTCTGCCTAAGGTGTATTGAGTCATAAATAGATATTGTGGTCTGCCTAAGGTGTATTCTGTCATTAAAATATACATTTTGGTCTGCCTAAGTTGTATCCCGTCATTATGAAAAACTTAGGCAGACCTTAAAAAATATATATATTTCAGAATCCTGCATCAGGATTCCTATCTCACAACTGTACTGTTTAATGTTTTGTAGTTTTCAATGTATATTTCATAAAACATAATGAAATATTGATGTTTTAAAAATATTGATATACTTGTATGAAAGGAAATACTGTTGTTATAATATTTTTTTTCAGAACGATATTTGGAAGCCAGATATAGTTCTAGCCAATTCAGTTAAATCGTATGAAAGTCTTGGACATGAAACTATTATGGTGGAAAATTTTAGTGAAGGTTTGATTAGGTGGTACCCTCTTGAGGTACGAATATTTAATCACTCCCAAGAATACCTTATTCTCTCAAATCACCTGATATGAACTATATTGTACAATGTATTATGTACACATACATTGTAATTAATCATGTATTAATGCGGCATGACTTCAAATAAGTATTTTAACATGTCTATTGTTAAGGAAATATGCGAATATATATTTTCTAATCTAGGTAAAAATCTAAATTTAAAATTTTGGAGAATGTACTATTTTTAACACCTAAGTTTTGTTATGATACAAGCGTAGTAAATTTGTGCATTGTAAGTGCCACCATTTTCAACTGACAACATGTATATCAATATTTCAGATGTTTGAAACGTCGTGTGATATAGACATGACTTATTACCCATATGATGTACAAACTTGTGAAATACAGTTTATGTCTTGGAGCTACACTAAAGTAAGCAACTAATAAAGATAAAGCAATCGCTTGCATATAACGTGAACCAAATTGACCACATAATACTACTACCTTCAGTAATATTTTATGTTAACGTTCAATGGTAGGATACTACGTCATCGCACACATGCTGAATGCTCCCACTCGGACCATTTTTGTAGAAAATCCGTCAACACGATTTTATAACAAGAAATAGAGTACCAAAACATAATGTAGCGCATCCCTCGTTGAGATTATTGTAAGAAACGTTTAAACATTAATTGCCTCTTTTAGGCCTGAAAACGTTTTCTTTTACTCTGAATGCTCCCATTTAGGTTGAAAACCTTCTTGAGAATTACTTTACACATACCAATGTATAAACCGAGTAATGTCTACACATTTTTTTGAGATTGTTTCAAAAATTTGTATTCAAAAGTCAATTTATCTTACATTATATGGACACATTTACTCAAACGTCTTTCTTATAAGTTATATTTCTAAATATTTATCAGTTGTGCTTTTGAAGAACATTCTATGATAAATTTTTCAACATAGGAGAACAGAGGATAAATTTGTGAAAAAAGTACATTTTTAATGTATACACTGTATAGATTTAAGATAATTTAATACGAATGTTTTTAAAGGTGCCTTTAAAGTACAAATTACCAAAAGTGTATTCCATACACTTCGTTCGTTTAAATATGTAGACAGCAAACTTTCTCAGTCCGAGTTTGAGCATTTCTGCAATCGAGACCGTCTTGGGGCATTTTTCATTTTTTTTTAAAGTAAGAAAAAATGATTTTTGAATAGAAATATTTGAAACCAATCTCGAAAAATGTGTAAAGATTACTCGGTTTATGGTAAAATAATTTTCAAGAAGGCTTTAAAACCTAATTTCTTATAGGTTTTTGAAAACGTCCGAGTGGGAGCATTCAGAGGAAAAAACTTATTCCGCGTAAGAAACACATTTAAATTGCCCTGGGATGATATATGCACTAATGTGTTCTGTTTTTTTTATCATATTGCAGATTAAACTAACTGCAGATCCAGACCATGTGATGTTGAGCTATTACGATACCAACCCTTTATGGGAAATCTTAGAAACAAGTGTAAAACATTCCACTAGAGCTAACGTAGATGTCCTTATTTATGAAATAAAGTTGCAGCGGAAACCCCAGCACGCACTGTTGACATTATTTCTTCCAGTTTTGTTGCTAACAATTTTAGGACTTTTCGTGTTTGCTATACCTAATGGTGGTGATAGATCAGGGTACGCGGTTACAGTTTTCCTTGCTTTTTCCGTCTACTTAACTCTTGTAGATTCTGTTATGCCACCTAGTTCCCAGAAGATACCACTCTTTTCGATATATCTAGTAGTTCAAACTGCCCAGTCAACAATCATCACAATTCTATCTGTACTTTTAACGAAAGCGGAATTAATGGACAAAGACTCCACTGTACCACGTTGTCTTGTGTTTCTAGTTAAAATTAGCACAGTATGCTGTAGGAAAAAGTTGAAATCTGACAACGTCTATACCATTGAAAGCACTGAAACAGAAGCAACTTCGAATGACAAGAGCAATAAGAATAAGGAGACCAAAGTTGTCACGGAAAAAACGTCTTGTACTTGGGGCATGGTTGTTGACGCCGTTGATAAAGTAGCATCAGTATTTTTTACTGTCACTTTCATTGTAACAACCGTAGGTTTCTTTTGTATAATCTTTCTTGCAAACAAATGACTGCTTCACTTGATGAAAACAAACTTATTTACATTTGCTTCAATGATATTTACTACCGAAAATGATGTGAAAGTTTTATCCAACATTTTGAAGTTTGAATAGATCATTCGATGTTCTATAAATCACGTGTTAATCTATATCTTCTAGCGAGATAGAATTCAACACGCGTTCTCGAGAATATATCAAATGTTCTATCCAAACTGACGAATTAATTAAAGAAATAGTGTGTTTCACCGTAGAAATTGGCGAATTTATCATGCTTTGAGAAGTAATGATACCACGAGGATAATTATGCCGTCAGGAATACAATGATCCGTCACTGTTGAACACGCATTATTTTCAACTGTTCTAAATTAAGCACGATAACTAGCCTGTTAAACACTGTCACTGTTTTAATTCATAGTTATCTCTCTGATTGATTAACCTAAAACATAATATTATGTGCACTGTATATTCATGTATACTACGCATTTTGATAATACAGGACGAACGGCTTACTATCTCTTATGTTATTTTCTGCTACTGTTTTATACAAAACTGGCTACCATAAAGTTCACAAGTCACGATGACTTCAACAACACTAAAAATGACAAATAAAATCTTCAAATAGATATTTTTCAGAAAAAAAAACATACATGTTTACCTATTACTGCTGATTATAAATACATGTGCTGTATACAGGACATGTGTATATATGTACACGTGTATTCACTTTATAAAATGTAATATGAACATACGGAAAATGATAAAACTTCTTAACAAGGATTTACTTTCATTCTTTAGAATTTTCTCATTTTATTATGTTTCATCCAGGAACCGTTAAATACTTTGATAGCGAAAATTTAAATTTATTTAAATCTAGAAAATTCTTGCTAAATTTATTGAATTTGAATAAGATAATGCACAAACTATGTTTAGGAAGCTGTGTCAAGAGACATTTGTCCTATCTGACAATCTCTAGTATACGTTTATCATTGCGGATGATCACGTGACCAAAATCGTACAATGGGCTCATAAAATGGCGGCAAAACGCTCGGTAAAAGCAGTGAAATTGAAGTAAGCATACAGTTAACGTTAAATTTATATGTAAAACTACGCCGCACGGAACTCCTGTATAAAGACCACGTACAGTTTGTTATTGGTTATTTTGTAGATCTCTCTGTTTAGGCCTGAAAGTCGAAAAAATTGTTTTAAGTACAATGGCCGAACAGGTACTAAAATACGTTGTTTTCAGTAAAAGAAACGCATTTTGAGCAAAATAAGCAATGACATCTTGTGCACAATTGGAAGTTTGCCCGTCAAGAATTATTTCCATCCTTTGTAAAGTTGCATAACGAAGTTGTGCATCTTTTTAAAAACGAGTACAATGGACGAACTAAATTTAATGAGTACAATGGCCGAACGATTTTATTGCCTGTCCTATTTCGTCAAATTTTTCATTGAATTATGCTTGTTTCTCGCTTCCTGTCTTTGAAATCTTATAAATATGATATTTGAAAATGAAAAGTAGGAAGAAGTATTAAATTAAATGAATTCAGTTTGCTTGCTATAAATTCTCATCTTACGAGTAGTAGTATTTTGCTTTGGTAACACACGTGTACATCATATAGAATGAATTCATTTCACCAGCAAAATATATGTTTCAATCACATACATAATATTGTCAATTATTTTGGAAATAAAGTCAGATTTTGTTGTTGTTGTTGTTGTTTCTTTTTTGTATTTCAGACGAAGAAAAAGTCGTTCCTTTCCATGAAAAACATGTTTGCGTATATGTTTGAAATATATACATGTAATGTATATATTAGATTTTAAAATTGTGCTTATATTATCTTTAAATACTTCATCACACCATATTAAGTAATTCAATATCTTTACAGGAATTGGAAATTTCTTATGTGTTTATTTGCCGGCATTTGTGTTTATTTGCCGGCATTTGTGTTTATTTGCCGGCATTATGGCAAGTCGTCTAGAAGACGATTAGCTTCATGTCGTCACGAGCAAGTACACAAGGGGAAGGCACATTGTGGGACATTGTTTCCAAGTTTCGGCAAATTGCAAAAACATAGGTCTGTAAATTACATATCACACAAGAAGTACGTAGCTGTCTGATATTCCTACAAACGGCTTGTGTGGCAAAGATGGAAAGAACACAAAAATGGTTACATAAAGAAAATGGATTAAGAAAACGAAATAAGGTAATCCTGGAGCAATATATTGTCCTATTATTTGCAGCGGCATACAATGTACCCTGTGTGTTGAGAAATGAACGCATTACATATGTTCCTAAAAGGATTCAGTTGAAGTACAAAATTTCTTATGAGATCAAATATTATGAAACCCAGTTATAATAGCTCCCAACACCGTTAAACATAACATGGAAGCCATATTTACATCAATAATTTGATAGTATTTCTAAAATTCTAATGTGTTTCAGTTGTTTCAGAGCAAACAGCCATGGCGGATCAACACCGTTTCAGGCAATCAGTTCGCGACAAAATCTGATTAAGCAACATAAGTTATTCACTCAATAAACTTTATTGACGTTTCTGCATGTGACAAAATATAATGATATGGCCATAACAAAGTCTTATGACATAATAAGAGGCACTTTTGTGACAAGAATAAAGTTTCACTGAGTTTGCTTTGATATTACACACTTTGATCCGTGATTACTCAAGCCCTGACTATATACGTAGGATCTTCCATATGCACATTTGTATTTCTATTTGCCGGAATGGGAAGAAAGGTGATCAATCAGCATTGTCCTAGTTCGAAAATCTTTGAGCAGATGCTGCAAGTTAGAGTGGGTTAGCATGGAATAACTTGTGTTGCTCAAGTTCAGATTTTGTCGCAAACGCACTGCCACATTCTTAGCACTGATGCAGTTTTGCTCCGCCATGGTTGTTTGCTCTGAAACAACTGAAATAAATTAGAAGTTAGAAACACTATCAGTTTATTGATGTAAATATAGCTCCCATGTCGCGTTTAACGGTGTTGGGGCTATAATAACCGGGTTTCATAATATTTGTCCTCATAAGAAATTTTGTACTTTAATTGTACCCATTTAGGAACATATATAATGCGTTCATTTCTCAACACAAAGGGTAAATTGTGTGTCGCTGCTTATAGCAGATAATGGAGCAATATATTGCTCCAGGTTTATCTATCTTCTTTTTCTTAATAGTTTTTCTTAATTTACCATTAACCTTTTCTTTGTTTTCTTTCCATCTTAGACACTCAAACTGTATGTAGATATATCAGACAGCTATGTACGAAGACGATTAGCTTCATGTCGTCACGTGCATGTACACAAGGGGAAGGCACATTGTGGGAGATTGTTTCCAAGTTTCGGTAAATTGCAAAAACATAGGTCTGTAAATTGCATATCATACAAGTACATAGCTGTCTCATATATCTACATACGGCTTGAGTGTCTAAGATGGAAAGAATTTATAGCAAGCAAACTGAATTCATTTAATTTAATACTTCTTCCTACTTTTCACTTTCAAGTATCATATTTGTATGATTTCAAAGACAGAAAGCGAGAAACAAGCATAATTCAATGAAAATTTTGACGAAATAGGACAGGCAATAAAATCGTTGGGCCATTGTACTCATTAAATTTGGTTCGTCCATTGTACTCGTTTTTAAAAAGATGCACAAGTTCGTTAATTTTTCTTGACGGACAAACTTCCAATTGTGCACAATATGTCATTGCTAATTTGGTCGAAATGCGTTTCTTTTACTGAAAAAAAAACATATTTTAGTACCAGTTCGGTCATTGTACTCAGCACCCCAAAAAACTTTTTCGACTTTCAGGCCTTAACAGAGAGAGCTACAAAGTCACAAATAACAGAACAGTACGTGGCTTTTATACAGGGGTGCCGTGCGGCCTAGTTTTACATATAAATTTAACGTTTACTGTATGCTTACCTCAATTTCACTGCTTTTACCGAGGGTTTAGGCCGCCATTTTATGAGCCCATTGTACGATTTTGGTCACGTGATCATCCGCAGTGTTTATATTGTATTTGTCTTTGATTACGTAACTAAGTTTATATGTCAAATTGCATGATGAAAACACAGTACTGCAGTAGTTCCATTATATTTGTTAAATGTGCCATGTATAATTTTGTCTGTTACATCTTACCCGTGCGCATTATTAGTTTGTCTATGTAACACATATAACATAAACAGATAATCCCACCAAATTTGAATATTCCATTTTTATTAAATATAATAGTAAAATTATTTAAAGTAATGTCATGTTAACCCTGGCGTCAATATCTCTAGGCATGTTTTCATTTTTTCCATAAAGTCGGTAATATGGACAAAATGTTAAATTCATTTTTTTCCCCTTGACTTACGTTGCAACCTGACGTGACGCCCATTTCAAAATGGCGATGACCATACAGACGTCATTTAGGGTTCGTCTGACAATTAGCGTGAAATGTACTCGGTAATTATAAAAAATGATTATTCTTATTTACTTACTGATCAATAGCTAAATGTTACCATTAAGATGAAAAATGAGAACAAAGTTGGTGTCAAAAAAGGCAATTTTAATTGCACACCATTATTTAAAATAATTAAAATCATTTGATGTGAAATATCAGTAACCACTCTATAAATTCTAACAACAAAGATTTATATAATAACCATGATACACTGTCGTATTTTATATTCTTTTTAAGAGAAAAAGAGCAGTGAAGTGATTTGATTAGATAGCTTTTCAATCAAGCGCGTATCTTGAACATAATTATGTAGGAGTCTGAATTCTGTATCACGTCTATTTAAAAATAATTAAATTGACCAGGCCTGATGGGATACAAAATATGTTACCCTTCTTAGTTCCGCTCTAAAACTTTTCGTAGGTTTCAACTTTCACAACAGAAACCTGACGTCACAAATCGCCAACAAATGCTACATTATCATGCAAATCTGACAAGAAATATATAGAAAGGGGAACTGATTCACTATATGTTTAGCATTGGTTTGCTTGTAACCACAGTGCCTACTTTAACTAGCTCCCCCGCTAATGAGAGAACACAATCGCATGCGAGGAAAAATGTAAATTATACGAAAATGATATCATGCTTTCTAGTTTTAGCAACCAAACGTATGCCTATACACTTTAAGCTCGAAAATACATATTTAACTTCCTCGTCTGACAATTTAACAAAATGTCCATAAATACCGGCAGTGATATGATATTATTAAGAATCAGTGTTGAATAGGAGCGTTCAATAACGGACAAATATTTTTTTTTTTTGTAAACTCAAGTGTTACATATTATTTTAAAAGGGG